AACAAATTTTACTTTATTTATGTAAGCGCAATTCACACACAACTATAGATTTAACAAAAACATTTTAAGTTCGACAAAGATTTAATATAAACATAAAGTATTTCTTATTGCCATGACAATATGATAACAACTATTACTTTGTTTGGATGAACATTTTTTTAATAAAAGCTCAACATTGCTGCTTGATTATAGTAAATGAGAATTTTATTAACAGTAAAAAAAGTTTATTCTGTAAATAAAAATAATCCCATTACTTTGAAAAATTGTAAGTTTTTGTCCCAATAAGATTTTTATGAGTGTACCGAAATTGATGAGACCCATATTTTTTCTTTTTGATTAATTTTTTTTGTTCACCAGTAGGAAATTTTTGAAAAATAAACAGAAACATCGATTTTTCTCTTTTTACGAGTGAAATTTCGGTAGAAAATCTGTAAAAAAAATTTCGTTAAAAAATAACGAATTAAATTACTTTTATTAAAGACCTGACGACTACTTGCCACGGTTAAAAATAAACCCATGTCTTATTTTAAATTTAGATTTTATAGGTCTTCACCCTTTCTTTATTTATAAAGAACAAATGTTTTTTCACTGCATTCATTGGAATGGTAAACAAACAGGATACAGCATATATTTTGGGATTTGTTTTCTTTTTGTCAACATATTTTATAAGAAGCTTTATCTAGGATTTTTAAGTTTTACTTTTTTAAACTTAAATACCATTAACTCAACAATTATTCGTCAGAAAAAAATATAGTGCCATTTTTGGAACACCCTGTATTTTTATAATCATAACATTATTTACCGAGGGGGTAACAACTGAACCAAAATTTGTACATGTATTGCGCATTACGTGCCTTTTTTATAGTAATACCAGTAATACCAGTGTAATGTCAGTAATTCCAGTGTAATGCCAGTAATTTCAGTATAATGCCAGTAATTCCAGTGTACTGCCAGTAATTCCAGTGTAATACCAGTAATTCCAGTGTAATGCCAGTAATTCCAGTGTAATGCTAGTAATTCCATATTTACTCATACATACATTTTTGTTGCAAGAAAACAATATAAAAATAAAAGAAATCTTTACCATTCTTAACAAAATAAAAAAATGCATAAATGTTATATTATGATAACATATTGTGGCAACATACATGAAGAATATTTATATGAAACAAAATATAATATACAGTTTGGACATATTTATTATTTTATCTTATCACATATATACACTGTATATTATACAGGGTCCGGCATCAGAATTGAACGGTTTTGAAAAGGCTGCTATGGAAATACCTCGGGAAATACTATTGATTTGGTATATGTCAAATAGTGACAGACTTATACCTTATTGCCGAAGGTTTTGTGTGCAATGTCAAACTGGCCGGTTAATCAACGGATATTTGCTGTAAATTCGTTTACCCTGACCCATTCCTTCGTATACAAACGCAGAGACGCTTTCGTCGTGAATATAATTTTCAAATGCGAGCTGAAGTCCCATAAAAAAAATGCCATTTTGAGATGGGTAAGAGATTTTAACGAAAAAGGCAGTGTAAAATCAAAATTTGCCGCTGGAACTCGTACAGTTTGTACACAAGAAAATATTGGAAGAGTCAGAGAAGCGTTTGAGCGGCACTCGATTGCTCTACACATTTCAGACCGAAGTTTGCGACGAATGTTACATCTGGATTTAAAACTCCATCCAAAAAACCGACAGTCCAGAGGCTAAATCCCATTGATAAAGTCAATCGACTCAATTTCTGCACACAATTTTTAATTGCCATTGTACACGAAACTTTCGGCAAATAGGGAACAAGTCTGTCACTATTTGACATATATTAAATCAATATGTAGTATTTCCATAGCAGCCACGAAACTTTCGGCAATAAGGTACAAGTCTGTCACTATTTGACATATATCAAATCAAGAGTATTTCCATAGCAGCATTTTTAAAACCGTTTAATTCTGTTGCCGGACCCTGTACAAACATACACAATGTATTACACATATATACGAGGTACCTACAACTAAAACATATTCTTAAACTATTTGTTCACGCGAATAAACATTTTAGTCGATCATATTTTCAGTTAAACATATTTTTCTTAACATCTTTGTAAAGTTTAATAATTGTTAATTTATCGTGTCTTGATAGTTGAAATGGTCCTGTTCCGATGATTTTTATTGGTCCAGTCGTTTTTTTTAATAAATTCCGTATACAAGTACTTTCTCGTCTGCTTCTAAGAGTTCAAAGAGGTAATTTCTTGCAAATAAATTAATATATTCAATATGAATATCGGTGATTTTTGATATCGAATATAGGTTGTCATAATCAATGGAAATCATAAGGTTTTTTTACATGTAAACTGGTAACTGAAAACCATGTTGTTGAACTTTACTAATACAGGCATTAACTGGACAAATTGATTCTTCTTCGGATAATATTAATTCTTTTTCTGATGAAGACATTCTAAAAGATCAAATAAACTATAAAACAAGGGACAGAAATAGCTGGGTCAGTCCATATCAAATCACCCGAAGGCTTTTTCCTCACTATCTCCGATTTTGATTATTTTTGGTAAATTTGTTTTAATCATTAAAAAACTCAAAGATCCATTTTTTTGTAATAACAAGTTTGTTGAAAATCAAAAAATTGCAATATGTCAAATACTATTTAAAGTAAAAGGTGGGTCCTGTTTTAAAGGTCTTTTAGGGGCCTTTTTATGATATATCACAGGGACTAATTTTTTCATCATTTTGAGAAAAAAAATTAAATATGTCAAAAATGCCTTTTTTATTTTTTTAAGAAAACTTTATTTTATTGCAGCATACCGCATTATTTATAAGTAAATAATTTTACATTGTAATTTTTCCTGACCTTAACATTAAAATTAATTATAAAATTTTTTGTAATTTTTGCAAAATTTAATAGAATTTAGTTGTCCTTGTTTGAGTTCTTGCTAATTTTAATATTTTTCAGCTATTCAGTTCATATTAATTCAACCGAAACTCGAAATCAACCAAAAAATGGATACTTTTTTTGTATACATTGTGGTTTACTGTAATTTAATACGTTTTGTTTTAATTTTTTAAAGAATTTGTAAAAATGGCAAATGTCATGAAATCTTATAATGTAAAATTATTTAAAGCAGAAATGCCAATTTTCGATTTAAAATACAAAAATCTTAGGCCCGTATGGATATTTAGCTTTTAATACGGCCTTGTTTTCGTCAATCACGTGAACAGCGTCTACATTAAGTTCTCGTTAAATAAAAATACACTTCATCCTGGGTAGAAACGCTTCTTAAAAAATTTCAGGAAATTATTGAGAAAAAAATGCTTCAAAATACAAAGTTTGTGTTTTAAGGAGAACTGTGGTTCTTGGGGTAATTCCCTTTCTTAGCAAATGTGTATGATGAGCAAAAACTAAATATCTTAGTAAAATTAAAAATACCTATAAATGATTTTATTTCACTTAAGTAAGGTAATTACCTCAAGCTTAAATACCTAACTGTCTCTTAAATTTAAATACCTAACTGTCTGCTAACTAACTAACTAACTATAGTTATAACTTCTAAACAAACACTGCAATTCACAACCACAAAATTCAACCTTAATGCCATAAAATACGAGCGTAATGCCGTAATTCGTACGTAATGCCGTGAAATTTTTAAGTAATGCAATGTAATGCCGCCTAATACCAGAGTAATACTGCGGAATGCCAACATAATGCCACATAATGCCGGTAATGTCATGTAATGCCGCCGTAATGCGGGGTAATGCATCACAATTTGTACATGTATTGCCAGCAGTTGTTACCCCCTCGTTATTTACGTTATTTTTCACAAAAATTACTTTCTCTTTTTTAATATTTCTTTAAATAAAAAATAAAATACCTAATACATTATTGAAATGCGTTTTTTTAATTATGAAAATATTAAATAAAATCAAAATATTTCACCTAACGCAGGCTTTGCTAACACCCTGTATAAAAACAATTATAAAACACATAATTTAATAAAAAACAACAAAAAAAAATATTAACTTTTTTCATTCATCGCACATTTTTCCACACACTGAAAAAAATCTTCCAAACTAATCGCGTGCCGGCGTTTTTATCTCCATATTCCGACCGAAATTTTCAGTTAACCGGCAACCTGTTGTTACCGGCCGACCTGACGCAACTGGAGACAGAATCCGGAGTCCGGAGTCCGGACCCGCTCGGAAAGATCCGGAGCTAAACCGGAAACTGCGCTACACGACCTATGCCAACAAAAACAACAACGAAAAACTGTTTTATATCGTGAAAAACCTATATAGTCACTTTATATTTTACTGGAACGCATTAAAAAATTTATATCATAACGTCCATGCTTTTTATGGTCTCTATAATAATAAACGGTAAATTTTCATTTAAAACATAATGGAATGCCATTGCAGTAACTATTTAATGGGGCAATTAAACGTTGCAATCGCTTAATTCATTTAAAATTCAGATGGTTTTAATTTTTATCATACCTATAAACCGGATAAAGAACCTTCAAATGTCCATATAGTAACAGAGAAAACTAATTGAATAACAATTATCACCTGAAGTATACCCTGATTTTTGCAACAAGACAATAATGATTTCAATACCAAATATGTCATACTTTCAATAAAAACAAGAATTCTATAAAGATATAACATAAAACAAACGTATTATTCGTATTATTATTCATAGAAATAATGTTTAAAAACTGATTTAATCTAGTCAACCTTGAATGGTAACCTATAGAAAACTCTGACAATAAAAAAAGGCCCACCTGATTGTTCCATTTCCTGTTTTATTCCACCATACAAAATTACCCATAAAAACACAAAACAAATGCACGAAGCTCACTATAATTAAAAAAACAACACGTAACACCACATATTAACCACAAAATTCATTTACAGTGACTACAATCATTGATAAAACCAAGATAAAACAAGTATAAACAAATACGATTTTAAATAACGCTTACCCATAATAATGCCGTCCATTTGAAGCAGGGCCTGCTCCAAAAGTTTACTGGCTTCATTTTGTGGGGACAAACCCGGTACATTCTCGCTAATTTGTTCACTTTTACCCATTATTAACTAATTAACCAAAATTGCAACAAAGTTTTTGGAGGTTCGGAACCCTCTTTCGCACCGATTTAATCGCGTTACGGTCCGTCGTTATTCGCGTTGCACCGCACTTGCACACAAAAAACAATCCGCGGTTTTTTCTGTTTACCTTTAATTAGATTTTTCGTAAGTTTAGACTTGTAATCGCCACTTCTATCTTTGTTTACATGTGACAGAAAACAAGTTTACGTCGAGAGCGACATCTAACAACTAGTACCAACGATGCGGCAGAAAACTTCAATATTGTTTGACATATCACCGCTAGATGGCAGCTTTATAGAATATAAAATTTTAATTCAAATCAGTAAATTTGGGGCTTTTAAGCCCAAATAAAAGCAAAAAATAGCAAAACAAGCATTTATTTACAGTAAAAAAATAATATTAACATTATGAACTCCTAAATGGACATAGTAGCCTGTTCATTAAAATTATCAAATTCCTCATTAAATTTCTCCATCGTAACATCACAAACCTTAATTAAATCATCTAAACCTCTTTTAAGGGCATCCACAGCTTTACCTTTTTTCATTTGTATTCTAAAGTGCATTTTTGATTCGGCTGGATGCGGTACAGTGTAACCACAGAATAAAACATCAGGGCTGAAATGTAAACATTATGATACGTCTTTATATGCTTTTTTATTACCCACTAGCTCGATATAACGCATCTTAATGCGTTTCCCAGAGTGTGGCCTTCATCTTTGAACACAAATGTTTTATTTGAGTCGTTTGTGGTCTCGCTACCAGCTAACTACAATAAAATGCATGTTATTTACATAATTAAATTAAAAAAGTAAAAACAAACCTGTGCAATGGGCATTCTATGGTTTTGTTATTGTAACCTATAAATCTGACGTGCAAAAGTAGGGTTATGTTTTGTGGCTTACTTCAGGCGGTAGGTCAAATAAACCAACACTTTTCGTGCATAAAGTTGGCACTACTTAATTCTGACATTCAGAAGAAGAAGACCATACTTTAAGGTTAATTCAAGTGTCGCATGTGTTTTTACTTCAAAAAACAAACATGGGCAAGTTAGACGTTGCTATAATGCGCTATTTAACGCCAGAGGATTTTAGAGTGTTGACTGCTATCGAAATGGGCATGAAAAATCACGAATTAGTGCCTGGACCTATGGCAGCTTCAATAGCAAATCTACAACATGGGGGTATGTTTACAGCTATATCTAGCTTGTTGACATTCCTAGGAGTTTTATTATTATTATTATTAAATGGCTTTTTTTAGGTGCCCATAAATTGTTGAGAGATTTATGTAAGCATCGCCTTTTGAGTTATGAAAGAGGCAAAAAATATGATGGTTACAGACTAACAAACTCAGGTTACGATTATTTGGCTTTACATTCCCTCACAAAACGTAATGTAATCGGTTCTTTTGGCAACCAAATTGGGGTGGGAAAAGAAAGTAACATCTACACAGTTGGAAATGAGGAAGGTGAAGAAATATGTTTGAAATTGCATCGTTTGGGTAGAGTTTGCTTTAGGAATGTTAAAGACAAGAGGGACTATCATAAACATAGGAAGTCTGCTTCTTGGTTGTATTTATCGAGGATTTCTGCTACCAAGGAGTTTGCTTACATGAAGGCACTATATGAACGTAAATTTCCTGTGCCTAAACCCTATGATTTCAATAGGCATTGTGTTGTTATGGAGTTGATACGTGGGAAGTTACTTATACATGTTATGGAAGTGGAGAATGTTGAAGGTAAAATTATTTTTATTATTATTATTAAATGTTATTTAAATTAAATTAAAAATAATCTTTTAGGGTTATATGATGACTTGATGAATCTAATAATGAAATTTGCTGACTCAGGAGTAATACACGGAGATTTTAACGAGTTTAACATAATTTTAAATGAGGAAGAAAAACCAGTAATCATAGATTTTCCACAAATGGTATCCACTGAACATCCAAATGCGGAATATTTTTTCAACAGAGACGTAAATTGTATTAAAACATTCTTCAAACGACGTTTTGACTATGAAAGTGAATTGTTTCCTAGTTTTTCTGATATTCAGAGAAGTAGTGCCATGGATGCAGAGGTTTTATGTTCTGGATTTACAAAACAAATGGCAAAAGACATTAATTTGGAACTGGGCATAGAAACTGATGATGAAGAGGAAGATGAATCAGATGAAGAAGATTCAAGTGAAGAAAACACAGAAACAGCTGTCAAAACAATTGACACACCTGAAGAAACAACTGTCAAAACCACAGAAACAATTGAAATCTCTGAACCAACCTTACAAAACTTAAACACAACAGATGAAATATTTGACAGAATAAAATCTTTGAATGTGCAAGACTCAAATTCAGATTTTTCAGATGATAACTCCGTAGATAATTTTGAAAGTGGAAGTATTCGATCCACAGCCACAACAATTCACCCAGATGAAATTAAAAAGAGAGTTAGGAAACAAATATTGGTGAGAGGGAGGAAGGATCGTAATAAAAATGCAGTTGCCAAAGGTGAAGCCAGTGCTGTTACCAGATCAAGAAGGGAAAATAATGATAATATTAAGCAGAGTAAGGGTATATGGGAATAATATTTTATTTGTTAAGTTGTGCAATACTTTATGCATTGTTTGAATAAAAACGTTAAACTTAATAATTTTGCTTATTTTTTTTTAAAAGTACATTCAAGTACATAAAAAAAGGCTTTCAGGGCTGTCATCAAACTGTCAAATTTAAATTTGTGGGTTATGATAAATTTACCTTAAAATTTGATAACAGCCCTTTCGACAAATATGCCTGATTTATAGATTGCCTTCCTTCCGCCCGTAAAAGATGAACAATACGAAAATCGTAGGGCCATTTATAGATTCCCGTACGGGAATCTATAAACAGCACAACGGTTATTGTATTGTTCATCTTCTACGGGAAGAAAGGCAATCTATAAATCAGGCTTAACAAGGCTAAATTAAAACAACCCAAGAACAACACTATCAAACGTCAAAAACAGCTGATGGCACTCTAACCTAACTTTCGACTGCCAAATATCACATAATTCCGTGGAAGTATGTGCCAAATATACAAAAATGTATACATTACGATAACAAGGCTAAATTAAATAAGAATAATGGACTTTTTACGGCTTTTATACATAATTTTTTTAATGAAATGTGTCCACACATTTCGTACGTATACAAAACAAGATTTAAACAGTTTAAGGTTAACTTTAATTCATGGTTTTTTATGTTTTTCATGGTTTATTTTGTAGAAATGAAGTTAAAGACATGTTTTATCATGCTTATAACAGTTACTTGAATTATGCTTATCCTTATGATGAATTGAGGCCTATAAGTTGTGATGGGGTGGACACTTACGGAAGGTATATATTGCATTTGAATTTGAGATGGTTTTAACTTATTTTTTTTAGCTACTCTCTAACACTAATAGATGCGTTAGATACATTGGCAATAATGGGAAACTACTCAGAATTCCAAAGAGTCGTTGATATTTTGATGACAAAAAAAGATTTTGATGCAAACATTAATGTTTCGGTTTTTGAAACTAATATAAGAATTGTAGGAGGGTTACTAAGTGCTCATTTACTATCTCACAGGTTTTATTAATTTTATACTCCACAAATATTTCTCACAAATCATTTTTAGAGCCGGCATAGACCTTGAACCTGGCTGGCCCTGTAATGGGCCTTTACTAAGACTAGCTGAAGATGTCGCAAAACGTCTAGTAGTAGCTTTTGACTCTAAAACAGGAATGCCATATGGAACTGTAAATTTACATTCAGGGGTACCACAAGGAGAGACTACAGTCACTTGCACTGCAGGGGTAGGGACTTTTATACTGGAATTTGGAACACTCAGTAGACTCACTGGAGACCCACTCTATGAAGAAGTAATAATATTAATAATTTATATTGTTTTTTTAATATTATACTTTAGGTTGCTATCAATGCCCTGTATGCTCTTTATAACCATAAATCCCAATTAGGTCTGTTTGGAAACCACATTGACATTGATACAGGCAGATGGACAGCCCAAGATGCTGGTAAATACATATTTTAGGTTATAGCAGTGCTATAATCAGGGTTGGGTCAGTAGAAAACCTTAGGTAATTTACCTTGGTAGAAAAGGGTAGAAAACTTGTTTTCGACTTGCGTCGAAAACCTATAGGGTTTTCTACCTACGTAAATTACCTTATTCGGCCTTCTCTTTCCACTTCTCTATAATTGATAAAAATTTGCCCTCATGCCAAAAATTATGTTGGGGTCTCCCAACCAAACGTGGCCCTTTTTTTCCCACCATAATAATGTTAAAAAACTCTAAATAACTTCAAATTTATGGTAGGTGTCTGATTTTTCACAACATTTAACAAATCATAATAAACAACAAACTTGCATAACCTCACATTTTTTGATATTTGACAGTATTCTACTTTTTTACGTTTTCTACCGTCGAAAACGTCGAAAAAGGTTTTCTACATGTCGAAAACAAAAATGTAGGTAGATACCCAACCCTGGCTATAATAGCACAAATTTTTTTGACATCTGTCAAACTTTGACATTTGTTTCATGCCAACTTTATAAAAAAATCAAAATGATTGATTTTTTTACATTTCTGCCATAACACATTGATGAAAACGCCAAAAACTAACATTATGAACATTTTGAAGGCATTGCACTGGTGTAGACTCGTTTTTCAGTAAAACTTGAATAGTCCTTTCAAAATCAGAGCTGTGTGTGGAGGAAAAAAGTCAATTAGTTGATTTGACAGCTGTCAAAAGCTTTTGTTTTGGTCTCAATTTGATATTTGTTTTGTGACAACTTAATGAAAAAATCAACAATTTTTAAATTAACAATTTTTGATGATACTTGCATGGCACCAAAAACAAAAATTTTGTATGCACTGGCTCTGGTTTGGACTCGATCTTTGAGTATTTACTAAAAACCAGAGCTGTCAATTGACAAGCACATTTGACAGCTGTCAAAGACAACTTAAATAAATCAAAGTTGACATTTTTTCCATGGCACATTTGACCAAACATTAAAAACCAACATTTTAGGCATTGGCTCTGGTGTGGACTCGTTTTTTGAGTATCTACTTAAAGGTTCCATACTTTTTCAAAAACCAGAGCTGTTTGAAATGTTTTTGGACGTGAAAAAATCGATTGACAAGCATTTAAAAAAGGAGGATTGGTACATGTGGGTGACGATGAATAAAGGGCAAGTAACTTTGCCTGTATTTCAGTCTCTGGAAGCATATTGGCCAGGTGTATTAAGTTTGATGGGTAAAAGATGTGTTTTTATTTTAACTTGGGTATGAATTGTTTTTTTTGTCTAGGTGAGACCTCAAGTGCTATGAAAACGTTACATAATTACCACCAAGTGTGGTGGCAGTATGGTTTCACCCCGGAATTTTACTATATTCCGCAATCTGAGGCCGGAAATAATAGAGAAAACTATCCCATGAGACCCGAACTTATCGAATCGATAATGTATTTACATAGAGCGACTGGAGATCCATTTTTACTACAAGCAGGTGAGTTTGACATTTTAAATGTCAAATGTCAAAAAATTAAATTTTAGGAGAAGATATCCTGCGCAGCATACAGCATAGCGCCAAAACGCCTTGCGGGTATGCAACCATCAAAGACGTCAGGGATCACAGAAAAGAGGACAGAATGGAGTCGTTTTTCCTGGCTGAAACGACGAAATATTTGTATTTGTTGTTCGATACCGATAATTTCATCCACAATCAAGGAGATCATGGAAAAATCATAGAAACGCCAAACGGTAATGAACTTTTTCATTCATGAAGTATCGCTAGTAGCGCCACCACTCGGCTGTATCATCGTAACAAAATTAATAATCAGCTGTCAAATGCTTAGGTTAGAATTTGTAACTTACAATCGAGTGTTTTTGAGAAAAAAGCCGGAAAATGTTAAAAATTTTGGAAAAAACCGTGGCTAGATTTGTTGTGTTGTTGGGTGTATTTCGAGAGGAAATCCTGGGTTGAGTTTTTACCGGTTTTCCAATAAACAGTGTTAATCTGAATGAAAAAATAAATTGCATACAGTCTCTGTAAATATAAATTGTACCTATTAGATACAATAAATGCACATTTTAGTAGTGATTAACGTGAAAAGTGTAAATATTTCAATTCAGTAAAAATCGTCAAACAAATAAGTCGTCTAAATTTAAACTGCATTTAGCATTATTAAAAGCGTTGATTAAGAAAGTCTCCACTCAACGGTAAATACCATTATATGTATTATATATAATATTATGTTGCCATGAATTCGTAGGTATATTTTGTTGTTTAAAATGCAGTTGTCGGCGTTTTTTAGAGAATTCAAATATAAAAATGGTTGATTTTAAGGTTATGTTTGTGCAAAAATTATTTTTACTACTTTTCTTATAAATGTCCAAACTTAAATATAAATTATATTAGGTAAAGTTATCATTAGTTAATTCTGCACCAACAAATGTACTTACCGAATTGGATCCTTTGGCAAAACATGAAAATGCAACGATTTAGTTGTTGAATTTTATTTACAATTAAAAACACAATAATTCACCATGATCCCTTTAATAAAATACACACACTAACGTAACTACCCAAGTAACACCTCGTGAAGAAATCGTTGCAAAATTTGTTACGATTTCTACTTGTCGTGAGCTCAACGTGATCCCGAAAATTTATAGATTCTGTGACTGATACAGTGGCCAAACCGCACTAATTTTAACCCCCGAAATCTTCACGAAGGCGTGCCTACAAGTCGTGACAATTTCTTTATGTTTTTTTATCACAATAATGTGACGAATTTGACACTAAATCCGTGGTAGAATCTGCTTTGCAGGGTTGTGACGAATTAGTGACGAAGGCGTGCCTACAAGTCGTGACAATTTCTTTATGTTTTTTATCACAATAATGTGACGAATTTGACACTAAATCCGTGGTAGAATCTGCTTTGCAGGGTTGTGACGAATTATTGACGATTATTATTTACTGTAAATGCGTACTTATATTAGATTTAATTATTGTCCATGGTCGCTCAATAATGAAAGCTAATTTTTTTTACAGAAATTTAGCTTTCATTATTGACCGACCATGGTCAATAATTAAATCTAATATAAGTACGCATTTACAGTGAATAATAATAACCAAATTACATAAATTAATTTCCTTTGCTAAATAAGTAAGGCACATTTATTAATTAATTATTAATTATTTATTAATAAAAAATGTACATTTAATTACATATGTAGATGTACTAAAGTTCAAAGACCCATTTTTGTGGGTATACAAAAATATTCTATAGAATATATATATGTATAGAATAATCACCAGACACAAAAACTAAACTATACTAAAAAATTTATAACAAAATAAATATTTCTTTGGCTATTTATTGCCACATCACATAGGTATTTAAATTAAACAGAGAATTTTGATAAAATACAAATTAAAATAATTTCTTTAGAATAACCACCAGACACAAAAACTAAACTATACTAAAAAATTTATAACAAAATAAATATTTCTTTGGCTATTTATTGCCACATCACATAGGTATTTAAATTAAACAGAGAATTTTGATAAAATACAAATTAAAATATTTTCTTTAGAATAACCACCAGACACAAAAACTAAACTATACTAAAAAATTTATAACAAAATAAATACTTCTTTGGCTATTTATTGCCACATCACATAGGTATTTAAATTAAACAGAGAATTTTGATAAAATACAAATTAAAATATTTTCTTTAGAATAACTACCAGACACAAAAACTAAACTATACTTAAAAATTTATAACAAAATAAATATTTCTTTGGCTATTTATTGCCACATCACATAGATATTTAAATTAAACAGAGAATTTTGATAAAATACAAATTAAAATAATTTCTTTAGAATAACCACCAGACACAAAAACTAAACTATACTAAAAAATTTATAACAAAATAAATATTTGTTTGGCTATTTATTGCCACATCACATAGGTATTTAAATTAAACAGAGAATTTTGATAAAATACAAATTAAAATATTTTCTTTAGAATAACCACCAGACACAAAAACTAAACTATACTAAAAAATTTATAACAAAATAAATATTTCTTTGGCTATTTATTGCCACATCACATAGGTATTTAAATTAAACAGAGAATTTTGATAAAATACAAATTAAAATATTTTCTTTAGAATAACCACCAGACACAAAAACTAAACTATACTAAAAACTCACCTTATCTATAAACCAATGAATAAGAACAAATGCAGCACGACAATGAAAATGGCTGACCAGAGAATCTGACAGAGATAAAGAAGGTTATAGAACGCCCTCTCTCGAGAGATCTCGTTCCTAAAAACACGAAAACGTCACGAATAAAGTGCACTGCAAACGTCACAAATTTTCTATGAAGTATCTATTTAAAAAGTTACTTTATAACGAAAAATCTTCACGGTTCCGTCACGAATAAAGTGCACTGCAAACGTCACAAATTTTCTATGAAGTATCTATTTAAAAAGTTACTTTATAACGAAAAATCTTCACGGTTCCGTCAAAAATTTAGAAGTGACGCAGGCGTCACCTTCATTTTGATAACGTATTTATATAAAAATGTACTTTATAAAGAACGAGCGTGACGATTTCGTGAAATCTAGTAGAATGCCGTCACGTCGTGTTACTTGGGTATATAAGGATTTAAGCGTTGAGTTTCTTAATCAATGATTTTGTGAAAAAACTACCTATTTCTTTAAAAACATTTTTTAGGTGAATGTGTCATAGAAGCAGGGGGTTACATTTTCAACACCGAGGCTCACCCCATTGACCCCAGCGCCCTGAAATGTTGCCAAATCGACGATTCCTCAAAATTGTATGACATGAAAGGTATAAATGAGAATAGAGACTTGTTCCGGGGTCAAATTTTGGAAGAGAAACCAGTGATTGTGAGTGCCGAAGAAAACTTCACCTACGATGAAAATATCACGGTGGAAATCACCGGCGCGGCCGTCATAACAACGGAGTCAACCAGCTCGTACATGAAGTTGGAAGATAACGATAACATAAGCAAGAAGATAAGCCAAGACGAGGATTTCGACGAAAATTTGAACATTCTGAACGAGACGGAGGAAGTGAGTCTGCCGGAAATGCTGAACCAACTTCTGCAAACCGCGAGTAAAAAGTTCGATCCGCAAGAAATGCTGGAGCGGCTGAGGAGGGAGAATAAATTTCCCAGGAACGACACTTGGACGAGGAGTTACGAGAAAATGCAGTGCCAGGCGCAACCCTTTTTGCAGAGATTGTCCATATGGGGCGAATTTTTTGATAAGTGAATAAAAGTATAAAATTTAAAAAGATTTTTTTTTTGGTTTTGGAATGTACAAAGAGATGAGTGCCGCCGCTGTCGTGTTTTTTATTAGTTGGTAGCTTATGCCAGTTTGATTTAGTAATTTTAGCAGTCAAAGAAAACCGCGATATTTTTTTATAAGGGGGGACCAAGGTAATTTTTTTTCTGAAAAACATGAAATGGAAAGTTGACCAAAAAATTTGTTAACATGTTTTCTTTACTAATTCGACCACACTGATTTCAAAAAATCAAACCGCAGTTCATTACTCTTATTTAATTAGCCTTTGTCAAAATGTAAACATTTTTTTAAATTTGGCAGTCGAAAGTTAGGTTAGATTGCCATCAGATGTTTTTGACGTTTGATAAAGTGTTGTTCTTAGCAGAGTCTCTGGTTCTTAGGTTATTTGAAATAACTTATTTCTTGGTCGTTTTTTTAATTAAAAATCGGATTTTGTGTTATAATTTGTTACAAAGTCTTGGTGAAAATATAATTAAACTAACATCAGCAATATCTACATTACATTATTATACTAATATTATAAAGAAAAATGATTACAACTACTTTCACACCGTTTAGGGATTTAGTGGAACATAACCTATTTTTTCCTTAAGGGGGGACCAAGGCAAAAAATTTTTCTGAAAAACATGAAATCGAAAGTTGCCCAACAATTTTTTTTTTCTAATTCGATCACGCTGATTTCAAAAATCAAACCGCAGTTTCGTACTCTTCGCGTTTGGGAGTTACGTACAAAATGTATGGACACATTTCATTAAAAAATTAGGTATAAAAGCCGTAAGTCCATTACTCTTATTTAATTTAGCAAAATGTAAACATTTTTTTATATTTGACAGTCGAAAGTTAGGTTAGATTGCCATCAAATGTTTTTGACGTTTGATAAAGTGTTGTTCTTAGGTTATTTGGTATTACTTATTTCTTGGTAGTTCTTTTAATTAAAAATCGGATTTTGTGTTATAATTTATTATAAAGTCTTGGTGAAAATATAATTAAACTAACATCAGCAATATCTACATACAATATACTAATATTAAAAGAAAAATGATTACAACTACTTTTACAACGTTTAGGGGTTTATTGCGACATAACCTCAATGCAATCTCATGTGGCTGAGCACCGCCCACTTGGACACGAACATTTTCCCGCACACTTTGCACTCGCAATTCTTAACCTCGACGATGTCGTGCTTGTTTTTCTTGTGGACGCGCAGCGAGACGTTTTGCCTAAAGCCCTCTCCGCAGATGTCGCACTTGTAGGGCGCATCGTTGGTGTGCTGTCTGACGTGCGTTCTCAGGGCGAACTTGCTCGAGAATCCCTTGTTGCAGTGCTCGCAAACGTGCGGCCGCAACTTCATGTGCGTCATGCGGATGTGCTTGTTCAGGCAGTAGTGGGTGAAGAAGCCTTTGCCGCACGTGTCGCAGATGTGGTTTTTCTCGCCTAGTAATTATAATTATTTTTTACAATGTTTTAAAAGTCTAAAACCTATCCTCCGTGACTGTTACTCTTTCTAGGTTACACATCCAAAGCAATAGAATCAAATATAAAATATTATTAAAAATTAAAAGAAATAATTTTTATAACCATTCGTGTAGGTGTTACAAAAATTGATTCTATCCTCCGTGAATCTGTTTTTGCTTTAAATTTTATGCAGCGGATGGCGCTTTAATCATTTTAAATAAGAAAAAACCTCTGTTTACGACATTATAGATGCATGTGATTCCTGAAGGTCAGTTAAAATTTATATGCAGATGAGAGTGTTGCTGTTTTATAATTCAAAAGTTTAAGTTCATTAATTTGCTATTTAAAAACCTATCAACCGTGAAGTGAAAAAACTCAGTAACTTTTTTTTATAAATATTTTATGTATGTACAATGGGGTAGTTAAATTTTTTCTGACCTATACTTTTTATGGTTTTATTCAAGGCGTTTAGTAATTTTAAACATTTTTGTGAAATCGGAATTTCAATTGAGTTTACCGTTTTCGAGATATTTACAAAAAAAAGTCTCCTTATTACGTCACTAGGCTATTGACAACGTTGCCAGCTTTTTCTATGGTGTTTAGTTTAAGATTTTTACGATAGATGGCGCCACGTTATAATATTTTAGTTTTAAAACTACTTGATCTAAAATTTTAGTTGAGGAGAAGAAGAAGAATTGATTTTTTGACGTTTCTTTTTTTCGGGTTATGTTTTTTTTTAAATTTAGATTATTGAAAATCAATGTTATTGTTATGTTATTTGTAATTGATATTAGATAAGTGATTTATTAAATTTTAGTTGAGGAGAAGAAGAAGAATTGATTTTTTGACGTTTCTTTTTTTCGGGTTATGTTTTTTTTTAAATTTAGATTATTGAAAATCAATGTTATTGTTATGTTATTTGTAATTGATATTAGATAAGTGATTTATTAATAACGGACTCCAAAGCAGAGGAATCTTGTGGAATGGTTGGTTACATTGAACATTGGAGCTTTTAAACAAATAAAGTAAGTACCTATAATTATAATCATATTTTGTCGTAAATGCATTTCATTAGTATAATGCCTAGTTCTTTATATTCTTTTAGATATATCTTGGACTAAAATATCAAACAGTAATAAGAAAGATAGGTACTTAATGAATTTGGTGACCATCTGTTTGAATAATTTTAATAAAAATGTCTATTTGTAGACCCTGCAGTATCTTTACCTACCATGTACGTTATTGCAGCAATATTTAAACCAGAATTGTCGAAAAGTACAAAAATGTACTCTAGAGCATAGTATCTTCGAACAGTCCAAAAGTTTGTCATACATTTTTTAAATCTTACAAAAGGTTTTGATGCTCATCATCAGGGATGCAAGTTTTATAAAAACTATACACAAATATCATAAATACCATTGTTAACTTACATTTACTGTTATTTTTTGTAAATTTATTTCATTCATTTTCAGCTTTATTTTGCCACTTTTTTCTATGAAATATATTAAACTCTGCTTTAGACAGTTATTAGGTACCTATTTATTACATTTTATTAGGTTTCACACGGTGTTTCAATGTGTAAACCTATCAATAAAACTTTTACTTTCAGAATCTCTTCTTCTTCTTCTTTCACTCAACTGACAGTGACAGTATTTGTACATAACCTCTTCGGGTATTTTCTGACATAACCGAATGAAATCATTGACAAGACAACTTGACAACAGGGTAATTTTCAACCAATAGAAATCTTGGAATGTTGGTCACATGGTGGGGTTTGTGACGTCATAAAAATTTATATTTTTTGTAAATATCTCGAAAACGGTAAACTTAATTGAAATTCTGATTTCACAGAAATGTTTAATATTACAAAACGCCTTGAATAAAACCATAAAAAGTATAGGTCAGAAAAAATTTAACTACCCCATTGTATTTTTAAAAAATATTAAGGTGTCAAAAGATACAATAACTTATTTCAAATATACAAATTATTTTCACTTCTCAATATATTCACCCATTTATGTATATAAAACAGTTTTAGTAAGTAAAAATAAGTTTTGAAAGTCTTACTTTCTCTTAAAAACTCTGAATAAGAAAACGTCAAATCAGACAGTCTTATTACTTATTAAGTAAAAAAACGTCTGAATAAGTCTTAGTAAGTCAGAATAATAGCAAGATTTGGGAGTTAATAAGACTTATCTATAGCGATAAAAATAAATATCCGGAATAATTCAGAGAGGTTGTATTTGCATGTTATTATTAATATAAGTTTAATTTTATTTCAATATTTTTTTATGGATAACTTAACAGAATAAATTTTTTTAGTCATTATTGTGCACTTTTTTACTTAAATTTTTTCAATAAAATTTAGTAAAGGTGCCAATATGAATTCTTAGAAATTTACTCTTAAAAACTGCTCCAAAACTGTGTCAATTTTCAATATCCAAATCTGTATAACAATGTCAAAGTTTGACAGCTGTCAAACAGGTTATGCTTGTTATTGAATTTTTTTGCATAAAAAACATTTCAAACATCTCTGGTTTGAGAAATAGTATGGAGACTTTCAGTAAATACTTAATAAACGTCAAAAACGGTCAATTTTAATTTTTTTTTAAACAAATGTCAAAGTTTGACAGCTGTCAAATCTTTGCCAATTAATATTGTTATGTCCAAAACATTTCAAACAGCTAATTTTTTTATTAAATCATGAAGCAAATGTCAAAATAAGACCAAAACAAAACATGTATGACAAATGTCCAAATTTGACAGCTGTCAAATATGTATATTAATCAAAAACTACTTGTCGTGGGTACGCCATTTTCTGGACACACTGTTTTTTTATTTTAAATTTGTTTTAAACAAAAATGGAACACAATTAAGTTTCAAAAATAAAAAAATAAAATTAGTTTAAGCTTTTTGACACAAACTGTAAAAAAATTCATATTTCAACCACAGCCACCTTATTTAAATTATTTCAACTTATAGGAATTACAGCGTTGCAGAGTTTTTCAAAATTTTCAAAAAAAAAAGAGTTTTACATGTAGTTAGTTATAACGGTTTTTGGTTTTGAAAGGTTTGTTTTTGTTTCAAAAAAAAGATGTTTTTTAAATTATTTGTTTGCAAAAAATTTGAGAGTTGAAAAAATATACAAAAAAGAAAAAATCCTTAATTCACAAGTTCAAAAAACGATCAGACATCTTATTTCGTCAATTTTTTATTGTTTTTTTTAATTCTAAAGATTTAAAAAGCAGCAGTAAATCCGAAATATTTTAAACAGCTTACCGGTATGTTCCTTCTTGACGTGCAACCTTTTGGCGTAACTTTTCTTAAAAATCTTGCCGCAATGCTCGCAAGGAAAACTATTGGTAGAATGCGTGTAGTACAGGTGCCCCCTCAAGCTGTCGTAATTCTTACAGGTGGCGCCACACAGGTGACACACGCTCGGCGTCGCCGAGTGCGCACTCACGTGCTTTTTGAGGTTAGAAACCGTTATCATCGCGTGACAGACGGGGCATTCTTTTCTTTGATGCACCTAAATAAAAGAAACACGCGAAATATCGACTATAGAGGGCTTTGATTAAGTTATGCCAACTTAAAATAATGACATTTAAACTGTCAAATAAACCAACAACTATAAAACAAGTATACTTGTTTTTATTTATTTCAATGAAGTTTGCTTTATTACCTTAACATGTACTTCAAAGCGTTTTTTCTCCTGTTCATTGAAAGTTTTATTACACACAGGGCAAGTATATATTCCATTAGTTGACTCATCTTCAAAAGTGTCAGTTTCACTAGTTTTTTTTGGACGTACCACTAAAAAACAACATATCAATCATTTAAAAATCTAAAAAAATAAGGTACTTACTCTTCAATGCAAACCTCTGTCTTAAATCCGTGTTATGTGCCTTTTTAACATGCAAATTATACAAAGACTTGTACTGAAACGAGGCATTACAATTGGAGCAATTGTAAGTCTCAAACTTTGAATCGTGATCAGACACAATGTGGGCCTTATAACTGTTTAGGTTAGGAAACGTTTTGTCACATTCGTCACAATGTTGCGGGTTCAAAAAGTGCTTCCTCACATGACTCTCAATGCTGTCTTCTGTTAAATTATCACCACAAATCACACAAGTGAACTGAGTACCGCCTGTGATAATTTTCGTGATTGTGGGGTTTTCTGAATTTTCTTCCGGTGCTTCTTCTTCATTTTCTCCATTACCTTGCTCTAATTCCTCGTTTTCATCATCTTGTTCCTCTTCCTCTTCTATTATGTTTTCAAATAGTTCTGGTTCATCAGTAAATTCACCTTTTATGAGAATAACACCATTTTCAACACTTTCAAACAAAGAATTTTGGTCATCTTCAATAATTTCTTCCTCATTTAAAATACTTGAAACAAAGTCCTCTTCATTATTCTCATAACCCTGGACTTCTTTTTTAATATGCGTATTATCTTCTTCAACTTCTTCAACAACAAAATTATCATTTTCTTGTAACTTTTGATTAGCCTCCAAAAAAACCTTGCTGTATATTGTAAGCAAGCTTTAAATTAAGCCAACACTTAATACAGGCTGTAGTAGCGTTTTTTTCTTGTTCTGTGACCTACAATAGAAAATATTTTGTTAAAATTACGACTTAAAAGAAAATGTCTAAACATAACCTTAATATTTATTAAGGCCTCCAGCATTTCCATTCCATTTTCGTCCAGCAGCGAATAACTCACTACAGCCTGACCTAAGCATAATCTGCATATTTTTTCGGACATTTTTGTGGAATTTACGCGGATTATCGCATTATTATAAACGACACCTTACTTGACAACACATCCAAAGAACACAACTGTCAACTATTGTCGAAGTTATATGTCTATGGTTTTTAACGAAACATTTGGAAAATGCTTTTTACCTGTAATAAAGCTCTGTTAGGAAGCATAAGTAATCAGATATAAATAAAAATTACAATTTAAGTGTAGTTTTAAAGCACTAAGCTCACAAACTTACGTTTTCTTTATTATTTTTCTTTACATGTTGGTCTATGGTGTGACGTTTATTTCTTTATTAGCTTCATTGCCAGATTTACATAAACTTAACCTTCATATTATATACTTTTTAAAATTATATTATAATTAAATTTAAAACTACAACCCTTTTAAAGTTTAAGTACATTGTCTATAATCGAATGCAATGTTTTACACATATATGAAATATTGCTGCTGTTTTTTTATTTTTAAATTCTGCGTTGACGTTTAGATTAGCGAGGCTTGGCAACGGTGTTGCACAAGCGTCTTGATATGTTAAAGATGGTGGTCGTTTAAAATTTTCTGCTTAATTTTGTTATTTTGCTTGTATAACATTTCAAAAATGTTAAACCAAGTACCTTCTGAGGCAGTTTTCTCTGCTACGTACGTGGAAAATTATTTGGATTGCGTGGAAAATCTCCCTGACGAGTTACAGAGGTTAATTTCGAGAATGAGAGAGTTGGATGTTAACTATTTGGGTAATAAAAGTCCTATTGGGAAGTTTACGGGTGGTTTTTAGATTTAATTTTTTGTTTTTAGCGAGGGTTCGTGATGTGGCAAGCCAAGTATCGAGCTGGAAGTGTTTAAACCACGAAAATCCCAAAAGAACACGAATTGGGGCTAGAATTCAACAAGCCCTAATAGCTGCGCAAGAATTAGGCGACGAAAAAATGAGTTTACTGCAATCAATCCTCGATAAAATCGAAGGTAAGACGCGTATGCTGGACCTAGACTACAAAAACCTGGATTTTGGAAAAGAAGAAGTTGTTGCAAGTGAAAACAAAGAACAACAACCCCCTGTGAACAATACTGCCAGCACAAACAACAATTCGGTGCAAAGTAGCGAACGACCCAACAAAAGGTCGCGTAGATCACGCCACGATGCCTTCTCAGGCCTGGAAAACAATCAAAGTGACAATATCCAGCCTGAACATGTTTTGCGTAGCCAGGTTCCTGCCACTTCTTCAAGCAATACTCAGAAGAAGACAACGCAAGGGAAGAAGAAGAAGAGGAAAGCGAGACAGGCTGCTCAGGCACAAAAAGAGGAGTCTCCACCGAGGGAGGAGGAACAGGCAATTGATCCGGACGAACCTACGTATTGCTTGTGTGATCAGATCAGCTACGGGGAGATGATTATGTGTGATAATGATTTGTGTCCCATTGAGTGGTTCCATTTTTCATGTGTGTCACTAACCACAAAGCCAAAAGGTAGGAAAATTGAAATAAATATTTTTTTGTTAATATTATCTTCTTTTTAGGAAAGTGGTATTGTCCAAAATGCAGGGGTGACAGGCCAAATGTTATGAAGCCAAAGGCCCAGTTTTTAAAGGAATTGGAAAAATATAATAAAGAAAAAGAAGAGAAAACATAGTTTTTTAACATTTAATTAATAATTATTGTAAATAAATATTTTGTGCATTTTTTTATTTAGTCTACAAGTTAAAGAAAGTTTTTTGATTTTAAAAAATTTTAATTGTATTTTAAAAATATATTTGTATTGATGTGTAAAATAATGAAATTTTTTTAATAAAAGGTTATTTTATATCTTTGTTTTATCGCAAAAATCCCCTTTTTATCAATTTCACACAAATTAAAAAAGTCAATTTAAAATATACCTACTTATGTCTGATTTTACTATAAAGACCTCCCAAGGCCGAATTGAGGTTATGTTTTTAAACTTTACCTAAATAAATAATCAAAAACATTTTTAAACTAAGGCTGAAATTTTAATTTTTTTATTTATTCAGTAAGGACAAACACCTATTTTGTAAACAAAACATGTGACCTTGAGCCATTAAATATTTTAAAACGTACTAGTCTATAGGTATATTATGATAATATTATTATCTTTAATTAATTAAATCCTGCGCCTATACTTACCTCTCCAAAAGAATTAGGTATAAAATTGATAGGTATAATTTAATAATTCAAAATTACTTATATATTTCAAAACCGTAAACAAACCCTTAAAAGTGTAATAGAGAATAAAACAAACACGTTTATACAAAATTGTCGTTATTAAATTTAACAAATAATTTCGTAAGTTTTCTATTTTTTGTTTCCACGCAAAGATCAAAACTTCGGCAGGTACCGATCTCGCCCGAACGAAGTTATCGTCGATAAATTGTGTTTAGAAAATATTATTTCGGGCAGTAATTTATTACAGTTTGGCCCTAATTTAACTTGTAAACTTTTAAAAACTTTTTAAGCTGTTTTATTCATTCGTTTTGGGCTTAATTTAGTGTTTTTTTTCGTGTTTTTGGGAGAGTGTACATTTTTAAAAGTTGTATGCGCTGCATTTCCCTTTTTTGTATGTTGTTGAAAAGGCGACCGAGTTTCGTCGGGTTTTGTGTTGTAATTTTTATTATAATTTCTTTATAAAACGGTTCGCGAGTATTATTAAATTTGTGTCAAATTAAAGATGAAAGATTTAGAGATAAGTAAGGCATTAAAAACGGACATCGAAACGAACCAAAATCAATTAAAAAATGCGATTTGTAACCACCAGGTAAGTTCTTAATTTTCCTTTACATCTTTCTTAAGTTTTGCACGTTACATTCCCTATGTTTCGTGTGAGAGGGATAAAGATAAAACTAGGAGATTGTATTGTTACATAAAATACTCAAAAAATATTATTTTTTTCAGATAATCGTCAAAAAACTTAAAGATGATCCAGAAGTAAGTAAAAAATATTTTTGTGTTGTATTTTTACCTATAACGAATTATTTACAGAATGTCGATGTACAAAAAGAATTAAACAAAGCAGAGGAAAATATTGTTTTTATTGGCCTGGAACAGGTGAGTTAAAAGTGTAAAAAACTAATTTTGTAAATAAATGCAACAAATAAATAATATTATAAAATAAAAATCAATGTCAAATTTTTAGTTTAGTTAAGTTAATTTCAGCCTTGAATAATTAAAGTATGTTATAATTCTAATACCATTTCATATCAAGAGAATTTTCATATTAAACCCTTAGAAATATTTATTATTTATGTCAGGAATTTGTAAGCTATAAAAATATATTAAAATATAAAATACAAAGTTGGTCCAATAAAAACTTTAGATTTGCAAGTTTTATTGATTTTCCTATAAACGCAGATGCACAAGTAAATTTCCTGCATCAAATTAACTAGGTTATAAATAAATTTAGATCAAAATTAGGTTATAAAAAAGGCCATTATTTTTTTAGAAAACTTTATTAGAAAGACTGAGAGAAGAATACAAAACTCATCAAAAATCCCTGAAAACTTCTGTGGTAAAAAATGGAATTGAAGAACGTAGGAATAATCTGAGCAATGCCTTAAATAGAGCTCGGAAGCAAAATATGTAAGTAAAATAAAAATTTTAACTAGCAACAGTTAAATCTAAATATTATTTTTTTTAGTACTATAACTCGTTCAGCATCAGCCACTTCAGTTTCTGATGACTCGAATGATCATTTCACTATAGACTTGTCCCCTGAAAAAGTTTTGCCTTTAAATCCGCAAGATGTCACTCAGGCAGAGTTTCTCAATTATTTTATGCTTTCCACTCATGAGGTTTACAAGGAGATGCAAAATAAGAGGGCTGAACGGAAGAGGAGGAGCACTGCCAATCCACACTTCTTGTATGGCAGTCGAGGATGGGATTTCTTGTCAAATAATGTAAGAAAAATAAAGTTTTTTTATTAATTTTTCTGAAAGCAAAAGTTTACTGCGCATGCGTAGAATATGTGCGCACAGAAATATTTAAGGTTAAAATTATTGTCAGTTGGATTTTAAATAATAAGTCATTTTAACTTTTATAGACAAGTTTTTTACAGCAGAAATATTTTTTTAGTAGTCAATCGAAATTTTCATTAAACAGTTTTTGAAAATGAAAATAATTTTCTTTATAATAATTATTTTAATTAAAAATTTATTTTAACTTAATAAAATAAAAAAGCATTTCTATGTTAATTAAAATTAAAACCATACAAAATTTTTTTAGGAAACAAAAATTTTTGGGAAATTTAAAATATTTGTTTTTTCTCATAAAATAGTTTTCTAAAATTATTTTTTAATGTAATGTAAATCATTAAACAAATTTTACTGTACAACAATAAATACATATACACTATTTTCATAAACAATTTTAAAAAAATTTTACTTAATTTTAATTTTTTTGTATTAAATTTATTATTTTATTTATCAAATATTAAATTTTAAAAAAATGCTGTTTCTATAGCTGAAATAAGGATAAAAAACTTTCCTCATATACCTTACAAAAAAAACACAAAAAAAAATTAATTTTTACTGCCAACTTAAAAATTTAAATTATTTTCTTAAACAATTTTTTAAAAATTAAAATTTGTACTTTTTAATTTTTTAAACTTTGATTTTTTTGTATTAAATTTATTATTTGATTTATAAAGTTATACATTTAAATTTAAAAAAAAGGCTTTTCAAGCTGAAATAATCCACATCTTAGCTGAGGTTTTTGCCCAAAAACAAAAAACTCATAACTTACCATATTTTAGCTTTCTATTTTTTATCTTAAAATTACGTTAGTGTGCTGGGACACCCTGTATAATTTTTAACAAAATGCATATTTTCTTCATATAAAACCATATAAAAAATATAAAATTATTTTTTATTGTAATGTAAATATTGTTTTTTCTTGTAACAAAAAAATTAAAAAACAAAATTTTACGGTAAAAACAATAAATATACATTATTTTCCTAAATTTTTTTTCAAAAATTAAAATTTGAACCTATTTGTATTTTTTGTGATTTTTTCTTATTAAATTTTGTATTTGATTTATTAAATTTAGTTTTAAAAATATACCTACTGTCTATAGCTGAAATAATCCACATCTTAGCTAAAGTTTTTGACAAAAAATTAAAAACTTTCCTCATATGAAACATTTTTCTAAAAAAATTTAATATTAATATTGTTTTTTGTAACAAAAAAACATAATTAAAAAATACATTTTTATTGTAAACACATTATTATTATTATTATTATTATTGTAAATTATATTATATATTATATTATTTTCTTAAACAAATTTTCAAAAATTAAAATTTGCACCCATTTTTTACACTTTTTTTGTATTAAATTTATTATTTGATTTATTAAATTATAAATTTCAGTTTAAAACAATGCTGTGTCTATAGCTGAAATAATCCACATATTAGCTGAGGTTTTTGCCAAAAAATTAAAAACTTTCCTCATATAACAGTTATAACAGTTTTCTAAAAATATTTTTTAAAGTAATGTAATGTAAATATTGAATTTTTGGTAACAAAAAACATCATTAAAAAATACATTTTTACTGTAAAACAATAAATATACATTATTTTCTTAAACAATTTTTTAAAAATTAAAATTTGTGCCCATTTTTTTTACACTTTTTGATTTTTTTGTATTACATTTATTATTTCATTTATTAAGTATTAAATTTAAGTTTAAAAAAATCCACATCTTAGCTGAGGTTTTTTCAATAAATAAAAAGACCAGCTGGTCCCTAGGGTTCGAAAAAATCATGATTTAAAAAAAATAAAAAATCAACAAAAATGATTTTTTTGATTTTTTTTTTATTTTCTTTTAAATTATAAACTTTTTTTAATAAAGTGTATTATTAAAAAAAATACTAAAAATAATTATTATTATTATATTGGCACTACTTTATACCAAATAAACCATCTTCTGCAACTATCATATATTTTTTTGCATATTTCTTTATTATTTTATTTAACAAAATAAGCAGTTTTTCTATGCATATGAATTTATTTCAATTGGATCAATATATATTATTGGGCTTTAGTTTTAGATATTTTAAGTGTTTTTTAGATTTTGGTAACTTTTTTTAAAACTGATTTAAATTAATGATTAAAATCGTTGATTTAAATTGAACCCTGAAAAAGACTGATAATATTAACAAATTTGAGTTCTAATTTATAAAACGTCATTAAAAATCGATTTTAATTATTTTATATAATTCCTTAAAATACTATGGTAATAAAAATAAAATTCAAACAATTCGTATAAAACGTTTTTTGCTTTCAAGTTACATTAGTGCGCCGTGAGTCCCAGGAGACCCTGTATAACTTTAAAAAATGCATATTTTTGATAAATTTCAAATAAAACAGTTTTCTAAAAAAATATTACATTTATTATTTGATTTATGTATAAAGTTTAAAAAAAATGCTTTCTCCCAAGCTGTAATAAAAACTCATTACTTTATTAATATATTATTATAATTACTTTATTTTTAAAAACGTCTTTAATAAAATGTTTTTAATTTTTTTATATAATTAACAATAATAACAAAATAAACACCAGGTATTAATTTTAACAAAATGCATATGTATTTTTGCAAAATAAAAATAAACAAAACTGGTTTATTACCCGCACAGAAACGCAAAAGAAACGCATACCTGGTATCGGCGGTTTCCCCCCCTCACACGAGACAATCCTCCAAAAAAAGAAACGAGAAAACCTCTCCGCCGAGCTCCTCCGCCAAGCAAAACAACGCGAGGGAGAAGGAGAAGCAGCAGCAGCTACCGCTTCCGCTTCCGCCGCACCTCGCGCCCAAACCGGAACCGGAACCCGTTCCGGACGGCGACGCCGAAGCGAAGCCCGTTTTCGCGCCGTTCCCTGCCATCCCGAACCTGCCCAGCGGGCTCATCATCGAGCGCGTGAGCCCGAGCAGCTCGTCTCCCGAGTACAAGACTTGCGTCAAGTGCAAACAGCCTGGTGAGTGCAGATTAATTTTTTGCGATGTTCGACCGAATTTAAAAAATGTAAAAATTCATCCTTAATACAAAAAATGCATATTTTCAGAATTTACGTTATAAATTTTGTAAAAATGACAATTATTGTAGGTATAATTTTTTTGAAAGCAAAAGTTTACTGCGCATGAGTAGAATATGTGCGCACAGAAATATCTAAGGTTAAAATTATTGTCAGCTGGGTTTTAGATAAAAATTAATTTTAACTTTTATAAATTAGTTTTTTACAGCAGAAAATTTTACTGTACAACCATTGGTACAACAATATATTTATAAATATATATACATGTACACTATTTTCATAAACAATTTTAAAAAATTAAAATTTTTACTTGATTTTTTTATTTTTTTTATTAAATTTATTATTTGATTTATTAAATATTAAATTTAAAAAAATGCTGTGTCTATATACCGAATTTTTTATGGTAAAATGTAAAAATTCATCCTTAATACAAAAAATGCATATTTTCAGAATTTTCGTTACCGTAAACACGGGTGGCTTTGGCTCACTTTCAAACTTCAGCTTAAAATTTTTGTGGTTTTAACAATCATAAACATTAAATTTTGTATACCAAAATTTGAGTCTTGAGTTGCTCTTTCATAATAACTATGTTATATTATTACATAGGGCTGAGTTTCAAAAATAAACATTAAAAACTAGGTGTGCAAAGTTACCCCATGGTTGCGGGTTACTTTGTCTCACAGTGTTTTTTCAGTATAAAATGAATGTAATATTATATTTTATTTTTATTAGACACGTGTTAGCAGCGACATATATCTATTGCAAGGGATTACCAATAAAAAAAATAAAAAATCGACCTGTAGTTAACCAAGGATCATCATTCCAATGGATTGCGCATAATATAGAAATTGTAACGCGTGTATTTCTAGAGTTTTGCACTGATGCGATATATACAATTTTAAAGTGTAATAAATCCCATTTCTTTCTTTAAAACACTGATTTTCCTGTAATATAAACTCAATAGAATCGCTCAATTGACAGGTTTAGACCAACAAATTATAAATGTTAATTTTATCGAGCGCGAAAAGATTTTTCATAAATGGGTTAAAGTCACCCGCGGGGTGCAAAGTCACCCGTATTTACGGTATAAATTTTGTAAAAATGACAATTATTGTAGGAATAATGCAATCACATTTTTCTGAAAGCAAAAGTTTACTGCGCATGCGTAGAATATGTGCGCACAGAAATAATAAAATAAAATTATTGTCAGCTGGATTGTAGATAAAAATTCATTTCAACTTTTATAAATTAGTTTTTTACAGCAGAAATATTTTTTAGTAGTCATACAAAATTTTCATCAAACAGTTTTTGAAAATAAAAATAATTTTCTTTATAATAATTATTTTAATTAAAACTTTATTTTCACTTAATAAAATAAAAAAAAATTCCTATGTTAATTAAAATTAATTCCATACAAAATTTTTGTAGCAAACATTTTTGATTATGATTATTATATTTTTGAATTTAAAATATTTTTCTTTCCTCATAAAATAGTTTTCTAAAATTATTTTATATAAAATAATATATTATTTTGTAATGTAATATAAATCATTAAACAAATTTTACTGTACAACAATATATTTATAAATACATATGTACAGTGTGACCCATTTGTTTGCGACTCACCCCTGTAAAATCTTTATTTATTGTGCGATTTTAACCGGATTTGTTTTAAAGTGTAGATCTTGCTAAACTGTATTTTTGGAGCAAAAGACGCCATATTAATACAAAATACAAGGCCTACTATGTCAGTTTTAAGAGTAAATTTTTAAGAATTCATATTAGCGATTTTTTTTAACAAAATCTAAGCACGGCATTGGATTCACCACCCCTCAAAACTATCCTATACTAAATTTTATTGAATAATTTTAAGAAAAAAAATGCACAAAAATAACTACAAAAATTTATTTTGTCAAGTTATCCATGAAAAAAACATTGAAATAAAATTAAACTAATATTAACATGGTACTATTACTAAAAGTTTAATTTTATTTCAATGTTTTTTGATGGATAACTTGACAAAATAAATTTTTGAAGTTATTATTCTGCATTTTTTTTCTTAAAATTTTTTAATAAAATTTAGTTTAGGGTACTTTTGAGGGGTAGTGAATCCAGTGCCGTGCTTAGATTTTGTTTAAAAAAATCGCTAATATAAATTCTTAAAAATTTACTCTTAAAAACTGACATAGTAGGCCTTGTATTTTGTACTAATATGGCGTCTTTTGCTCCAAAAATACAGTTTATCAAGATCTACACTTAAAAAGAAACCCGGTTAAAATCGCACAATAAATAAAGATTTTACAGGGGTGAGTCGCAAACAAATGGGTCGCACTGTATGTACATGTACACTATTTTCATAAACAATTTTAAAAAATTAAGATTTTACTTGATTTTTTTATTTTTTTTATTAAATTTAATATTTGATTTATTAAATATTAAATTTAAAAAAATGCTGTGACTATATATCGAATTTTTAAAATGTAAAAATTCAGCCTTAATACAAAAAATGCATATTTTCAGAATTTTCGCTATATACTTCTGTGTATTGGAGAGTCTTTTCTCATATAAAACAGTTTTCTAAAAATATTTTTTAATGTAATGTAACAAAAACTTAAATAAAAAAATACATTTTTATTGTATAAACAATAAATATACATTATTTTCTTAAAATTAAAATTTGTACCTATTTTTACACTTTTTGATTTTTTTGTATAACATTTTTTATTTGATTTATTAAATAATAAATTTGGGTTTAAAAAATGCTGCCTATAGCTGAAATAATCCACATATTAGCTAAGGTTTTTGCCAAAAAATTAAAAACTTTCCTTATATAAAACAGTTTTCTAAAAATATTTTTTAAGGCATGTAATGTAAATATTGTTTTTTTGTAACAAAAAAACATTAAAAAGTACACTTTTACTGTAAAAACAATAAATATACATTATTTTTTTTACAATTTTTCAAAAATTGAAATTTGTACCCATTTTTTACACTTCTGATTTTTTTGTATTAAATTTATTATTTGATTTATTAAGTTTAAATTTAAGTTTAAAAAAAATGCTGTCACAAGATGAAATAATTCACCTTAGCTGAGGTCTTTGTCAATAAATAAAAAGACCAGGGTTTAAAAAAATCATGATTAAAAAAAAATAAAAAATCAATGATTTTTATTTAAAAAAATCAAAAAATTCAACAAAAAATGATTTTTTAAAAATTATAATCTTTTTTTAATAAGTGTACTATATTAATATTATATTGGCACTACTTTATAAAAAAATATACCACCGTCATCATATTTTTTTTTGTATATCTCTTTATTATTTTATTATTATTTATTATTATTATTTAACAAAATAAGCAGTTTTTCTATGCATATTATGAATGTACCTATTTAAATAGTGTCAATTGCGCTTTAGTTTTAGATCTTTTAAGTGTTTTTTTAGATTTTGGAAACTTTTTTTAAAACTGATTTAAATCAAATGAACCCTGAAAAAGACTCATAACTTTGTTATTAAGATGTTACATAATATTATATAATAATATTAACAAATATGACTTTGACTTAAATTTATTATTTGATTTATTAATATTATCACATTTTGTTGCGTTTTTGTAATTTCTTCAGGTAGGTAACATGTTATAATATAACATATTATGTTTGTATACTTCTGTATATTGAAGAGTCGTTTTTTTTTGGTATTTTTTTATTTCTGTGGTCATTATTTTTCTTTGTATTATGTTCGTGGAGTTATTCTACGCATGTAAAATTTCAACCGAAACCGTTAATTTCAGGTGCTTTAAAAGTGTGCGAGGTGTGCTCGTGCAGCTTTCACGTGAGCTGCCACAACCGGCCGCTCACCCAAGCGCCGCGTCAGTGTCCGAAATGCATCGACAGTGGCGCCCTCGTCGGCTTAAAAAGCGAAACTCGCACGGTGGGCTCGCTAAACGTCCCAAGCGGCATGACGGTGTCGTGCATAAGCCCTAGCGAAGTCACAGGTTAGAACAAACAACTACCTACCCACTACTACTACTCTCACATCTACCACCCACTTGTTGCCCCCTGTATATGTGAGTTTTCATGCTAAATGTCTATGTTATGCCTTTTGGTTGTAGGTATAAGTTCTCGGTCCAGTCACTTTACATGGGAATGTCTAATTCTTTAAATCATTTACAAGAAGAATACAAAATTTTTATATTAATGTGACTGGGCTTTCTGCCATCTCAAAAAAATATAATACATTTTAATGGGCTATAAAGTTTCATACAAAAATAAATTCAAATGTTTTTAGGGGCCATTTACATATACACACAATATACAGGGTGATTTATAAAAAACGCCCAATTATTTTTAAAGATATGACCATACTTCTTGAAGCAAAGTTGCACAGCTACTTTTTGAGAAAAAATTCAACCCAATAAACTGTGCAACTTTTTTCCAAGAAGTCTTGTCATATCACAATAATGGAGTTTTGTCTTGGGGCGTTTTTTGTAATTCCCCCATTATATATTTTTTGTCCATAGTACCTGTTTTAAAAATAATGATAATTTTTATAGCATATTTCCTTGGGATGGTAGGGTTATAGAATAGATGGTTATTTGTAGTTTTACTTTTTGAAAAGCGTAAATTTTGATTTAAATTTACCCTTACTATCGCTAACAAAAAAAACTCATACAGCTATATTGTGGCTGTGTGAATAAAACTTTTCTGTCAATGTCAAGCTGACATCGAGCTTTAAAGCTCACATCCATTAACATTTTTAACCAAACAATGCAGACGAACTCTGCATTTGGAACGAGATAAAGCAAGACGGCGACTTCCATGCTTTGCCGTTTGCGGGCAGTAATTGACAAAAACAGAGGGATGACGAAATATTATTTTTTTTTTAAACTTCAACCTAACTTTGTATTTAATTTTAGACCTTTCAAATGTGACGTATCATGTTAAAAGCCATAATTACTCCAACGAAATGATAGAAAATCAGGAACACTAGATTCTTAAGCTGTATGAGTTTTTTTTGTTAGCGATAGTACATGATAAAGCATGACGTTCTTAAGTACTGGGTGTTTTGTTTGACTTTGATCCACAAATCTACAAAATCCATGTTATCTTTTGTTTGCTTTCAGAAAAAGTTGACCTAAGAAACGAATTAGTAGCAAAAAACGATTCGCTAAACGCGGAGTTAACCCTACTGCAAGATAAACACTCACAATTAACAATTTCCCTAAAATCGCAAAAATCACACCAAGAGGAACTTTTGACAAATCAAAAGACAACAGAAGAAAAAATTCAGCAGATTTTTAGTTTTATTAATGCTATCAAGAAACCCGCAGAACCCGCAAAACCTACAGTACCCGCAGAAAAAAATGAATGAATAATGTATTTATTTTTAGTTGGTTTTTATTGACATTTTATTTTTGTAAGTGTATTTTAACATTATTGTTAAGACTGATATGTTACAAGTTAATTTTTATAATAAACCATGAAAATCATCAAAGACTTTTATTTTAAACCCTAAACAAAAAGCGCAATTTTATTTTTTCTCAGTTTACTTCAAAAATACCCGGTTTAAATTCAATTTCGCTCAGTGTAGGCGGTTCATTTAAACTACCGCAAGTAAACATAACCCCGCTTAAGTGACAGTTGGCTAGACTGCATTCGTTGCTATCTTCGCACGACATATTTCAATCAACAAAAACATGGAGGTGAAGAATTCAAAATCCAAAAAGGAAAACGCGGAATACAGTGACTCAACGGTCGTGAAAAAAATGAAACAGGGGATGAGCTACACGGGTAAAGAAAAGACTATAATATTGAACGTTTTTAAATACTTTAAAGCGGAATATTCGGATTTGTGTGTGACTGAAATCGTGAGAAGAACTGCTAAAGCTACGGGGTGCAGTGAGAAGAGTATTTTTATGTTTAGAAAGGAGGAGAAGACGGGGTTTAAGGAGCCGAGTAAAACTAAGGTTAGGAAGAATATTAACATTAACAGTCGTTACATTAAATATGATGATAATGTTCGTCAAGCTATAAGGACGATTATTTATGATTTAAAGTATAAAAATGTTGTGCCTAGTTTGAGTACAATTTTAAAGAGTATTAATGGTGATGAGAGTTTGCCGAATTTCTCTATAATGACTCTACGAAGGTTACTATTTGATATGGGTTTTTATTATGAGAAAGATGGTAGGAAATCTATTTTAGTTGAGAAAAACGGCCCAAAACCACCGGAAATGCCGGTAGAAGAACCTTACAACCCCCCTGCAGTCGAAAACAACCAAATACCTCAAAATAATGCAATAAATATACCTCAACCGTTAAACTATATTGAACACCAGAATCGCTGGGGATTACCTGAACATGAACATCATCATATGGGTGTGATGATGCCAAACCATGGTATACAACCTGTACACCATCTTCAACCAAACATGCCGCTGAGGCCCCACAACTACCATTTAATGCAACCAGCTGGAATTTATTCTTGAGAAGTTTTTTTAAGGTAAACTTCTTGTCAATTTTTATAATTGTTTTTTGAATGTTTTTTTAAAAATAAGACTGATATACCTAATTTTAGTTAGTAATTACCGCGTTTGCTCAAAAAGATTTACTTAGTATAGGTTTTTTAATATACTGTGATATACCTACTTACATAAAACAATTAGTTTAATAAAGAAATTTTAATAAACTAGTTTTTAATTTAAATAATATACATTATTTTTAGAGATCTAATAATTATTAAACATTTCTAAAAATGAGTCATCTATCCAATTTTTTGATATAGTCTGCAACACATTTGTGTATAAAAATATATTGTCCCTAAAAACAAAAATAATTGAAGTTTTTACATAAAAAAAATATATTTTTTTTTTTACCTCAGATTGGACCATTTGTGGCCTTTGGTGTCTTAAATGTAAAACTATTTCTTCAATATTTACCTCTTTTTTGGCATGCACTGCTTGCATTGCAATATCAAAAGATATAAGGGTGCCTGTTCTACCCACCCCAGCACTAAAAAAATGTTTTGAAAACACCAATTTTAAAATTTTATTTTTTTACTGACAAAATCAATTACTTTAAAACTCAGAATTTGTAGAGTTATATTACCCTGTGTATTACCTGCAATGAATTAATATCATTCCAGTTTTTTTGTGCCTTCTGAGCTCCTGACAAAAATTTATAACACATTCTGTATTTTCTGGAACTCCAAAATCTGGCCAATATAAAAATTGCAAATGTGTTACAGTTTTTTCCTTTTTATCACACTAAAAAAATATTTTAAAATTAAGAATTGCAAGCATATTTTCTGGCATTACTCACTTGTATTTGTATTTGCCTTGTACAATAGTATTCCATGTTAATTTTTGACAAAGTTTTTATAGAAACATCGTCCTCATCTTGATACTCACCAACTTCAGGGAAATATTTGTAACATTTTGTCTTAAATATAAAATTTATAAATTTTATGATTTTTATGAATTATCAAAATTATTACAGAACCGTTTTCCACAAAGGCAGCTGCTTGAGCTATAACAGTAACATTTTCGTTTATTACCATTTTCCAAAAATCTGCACAAGTTTCACTTAAAGGTCCTTGGGATGCTATGTACTCTACATTACCAGTGTAACCCTAAATAAAAATGATGTAAAAAAATTGGCAACCATTTTACTCTTTTGTAAAAAACAAACCTTATTCTATTAGGGCTGTCATAAAATTATCAAATGTCAATTTTAAGGTTAATTTGTGGGTATGGTAAATTAACCTTAAAATTGACATTTGACAGTTTAATGACAGCCCTGATAGAATAAGGTTTATTTTTTACAAAAAAGGAGTGACACTAAAATATTTTTTATTTATTGAAAAATTATTGTTTTTTTATTTGGTTGTATATTTTATGAGTATAGTGACTATTAGCTCCTAACAATTTACTTACTTGTATATAAGAAGCATTAATATAATCATTTATAAAATCTTCCCCATTCCTCAGCAATTTTACTCTTGTAGAATCATCTAAAAAAAATATGATACAAAAATTCTTTTCTTGAATTATACTTATTACAAGGCAAAATATTCTTATACCGGTTTTTCTTCTGATTCCCTGGCTGTACTCCAACATCTTTGCTTTTTTTAATACTACTACTGGTTATATTTAAATTATAAAATTCTTCTGCCAATTCTTTATCATTGATGACCCTGAATTTGGGGTATATATCCCTAGCTGATGTCACAACAGTGGAAAATTTTCCTTTTCTAAACAGAGAAAAACAGTTTACAGTGCGGTCAATTATTATTATTATTTTACACAGACTCTAACGGCGGCCATTTTTATGTTGTTTACAATTCTTGTGCCTTGGGTTTGTTCTGTTTATACAGATTAAAAATCGTTTTAAACGTGTTTCTTACATTAAATTAGTCAAATAATATATACATATACCTAAAGCAGAATTTATGTTTTCTTAAATAGTACAGGGTAACTCCAATAAATGCCACTAAAGCAAAACCTAAGCCTATTGATAGACCTAGAATTAAACCTAGGTTGCTTCCAACATCTGCCACTGTTGTATGAAATTCAATGATTTTTGAATCTCTAAAAGCTATGCCAGTAAAGGCTCTTATAACCATATAGTATTTTGTATTTTCCGTTATGTTTTTGGTTATTTCAACATCTATAGATTCTACATCCTCATCTAAAAAGCAAAAATGAGTCTAATTATTCGGTATTTTTTTTATCTTGGTCCGGGGTTTGAACCCAGGACCTTTGGATTGAAAGACCGAAAATTTGTCCACTGTACCTTCGAATGGTCGCCAAAAATCTTCAGTAACATAAACTTCACTATCCTTCAATTCGGGCCAAGTTTCATTGTCCCACAACGTAAAAGTTTCAGCTGAACCGATCTTTTCATTGGACAAGATAATCGCATAGTACAAATTATCTCCATTTTCGTCGGAAAAATATTTTCTGCTCAAGGTCAAAATGGCCTTACTCGAAGACACTCGCAGCTCAACGCTCAATGAGTTGTTTTGTTTTGGTACTAAAAGTTTATAAGATTAAAAGAAAAATTATAGTGATTAATTTTGGCACATACCTCCAGGTGGCGCTGCAATCGATGCCTGCACTAAATTACTCGCAAACTCATCGTTATTAACTTTTACAGAAATGTTGTAATAAAATTCGGGTTTTAGGTTAAAATTATAGCTATTTGAATTAAATCTGTCTAGTAGCACTGTTTTTTCATGATTATTGTAATTTTTTCTCGTACCTGTGTACGTTATTTCGTAATTTTCAAAAGGTCCATTTGTTCTACAAGGTCGGCCAAAATTTATGTATGCTTCCACATTATATTCATCACCGTCGCTGAAATTCCTTATTTCACATTCAAGTTTATTTGTACTGTCAGGTTCTAAAAGAGTTTTAGGAAATAAATGGTAAACATTTAAGGGTGACCAATCAGAGCACGGCATTCTCCACCGCACACTAGATTGCTACTAAGAATGCAGGGCTTTGATTGGTTATTCACTTTCCATGATCAAACATCATTCTAAATTGTTTTCAGTCCTTTTATAGTATATTATGTATCAAGTTTGATGAATTCCATGTATAGAAAAGTTTATAAACGTATGTGGTGCATACTATACTTTTTCTACGACAAATACTTATTATTATCTTAAAATGATTTAAATAAAAAATTTGTATAGAGCGCCATCTATGAAACAATCGAGGAATCTGTGTGTCACCGTCAAATGTCAAATTTTTTTATTTTATAAACACAGATTATAAAGGTTATGAATCGAAATGTATTTCTTGAAAATTGACAGTTTTTCACAGTGAAAGTAAAGAAAATGTTTTATGAGCACTTTACAGTGGAGTCCGTGCCCGAATTTAAGTTATAGTTAACTACCGGAGAAATTAAAAGGTTAGTACAATGTTCATATAAACTTTTCAAATATTGGCGTTGAGAAACTATTTAATACATTTGTATTTTTGTATTGCGATAATAAAATAATTTTCACATTTAGTATTATTTTACAAGAAAGGCACTTTATTTTAACGATTGTATGACATTTGACAACTGTCAACCAACTTAAAACTAACTTCAGCCCGTGACTAAAGCGCCGTAAAGCCACAACTTGTCAATGTGTATTTAAAAGGTCACTTAGTGTCATGGAAACATGTACAATAAAGGGCGTTTTAAGGGTGAGAGTAGAAAACATTAATTAATAAACTTGTAATAAATCTTACTTTGTTTTTGGGTAGAATAAATTGTATTGTAAGCTTTCCCCCACCCAACTGAGGTATTCCCCCTTATAGTAACATTATAATCATAATAAGATCTTATATTCATCTTATACTTATAATTTGATGTTTGAATATTTGTACTACTTTTAAAAGGATCACAATCCAAAGCATTTTCTTTTACACCCAATGGTGCAATTTCAAGGTCATAAAATATTATTTTGCCCATTCTTTTCGGCGGTTCTTCCCATGCTAAATCCAGTTCTATCCCGTTGTCCGAGATATTTAAAACTGGTTCATTTGGGTCTAAAATGATACGTTAAGTTGTATTATTTTTCTTATGTTGGTATCTTACAGTTGTCAGACGTATTAAAATTGGTGGTAATAAAAATTGTATCATTGGAATATATAATTAGTTCGTAATAATAAGAATAGCTCAAAAATTCCGATATATCAATAATTTTTTCTCTTGTTATATAGGAAATATCCGATTCCCAAGGTATTTCAGTTGATGTATGCTCATCATCATCATCCGTATATTGCCCCCTTAACTCTATGGTATAATTTAGTATACCGTTGGTGGCACATGGGTAGACAAAAGATAGTTTAAAATCCAAAATAACTTCATCTTCTGTGACGTCAGTACTGTCAGTTATATTGACACTGCTGGGTAGTGGGGGGGCTAAAATTTTCATGTTGTCATTACTTTTTACGACTACTGTACCTACCTACCAATTGCCCGTGTTTTATATATTTCCGATTTTGTTTTGCCTCTGCCTATTTCGGTCTCCCCCTGTATAGTTATATTGTAAGTATAGTAAGGCCTTGTAGGGATTTTTAGGGTTTTTGTTGTGGTTTTGTAGTTGGTAGTACCGAAATCGGCATTGCAATCATAGCTGCCCTCTATGGGGCCTAAAGATTTTATCTGGACGTAATAATTTAGTATTTTTCCCATTTTGTTTTCAGGTTCTTCCCAATGTATTTCCATTTCAGTGCCTGTGTCTTTTATATTTAACATTTTTGGCTCATCAGGGTCTAAAATCATTTATAAGATGGTGTTAATATGGAACCTCTACTATACGCTAAAGAAGCATCGCTAGTAGCGCCACCACTCGGCTGTTATCATCGTAACAAAAGTATAACTTTTAATAATCAGCTGTCAAATGCTTAGGTTACAAACGAGTGTTTTTGAGAATAAAGCCGGAAAATGTGAAAAAATATCGAAAAAAAAACGTGGCTCGATTTGTTGTGTTGTTGGGTGTATTTCGAGGGGAAATCCTGGGTTGAGTTTTTACCGGTTTTCCAATAAACAGTGTTAATCTGAATGAAGAAAAAAATTGCATACAGTCTCTGTAAATATAAATTGTACCCATTAGATACAATAAATACACATTTTAGTAGTGATTAACGTGAAAGGTGTAAACATTTCAATTCAGTAAAAATCGTCAAACAAATAAGTCGTCTAAATTTAAACAGCATTTAGCATTATTAAAAGCGTTGATTAAAAAAGTCTCCACTCAATGGTAAAATAGCATTATATTATGTATTATATGTAATACATATTATGTTGCCATGAATTCGTACGTATATTTTGTTGTTTAAAATGCAGTTGTCAGCGTTTTTTAGAGAAATCAAATATAAAAATGGTTGATTTTAAGGTTATGTTTGTGCAAAAATTATTTTTTACCAATTTCTTAAAAATGTCCAAACTTAAATATAAATTATATAATTTAATATATATTAGGTAAAGTTATCATTAGTTAATTCTGCACCAACAAATGTACTTACCGAATTGGATCCTTTGGCAAAACATGAAAATGCAACGATTTAGTTCTTGAATTTTATTTACAATTAATAACACAATAATTCACCACGATCCCTTAGATAAAATACACACACTAACGTAACTGTATAAGCATTTAAGCGTTGAGTTTCTTAATCAATGATATAAAGAATAATCAATCGAAATCGAGTACTAAACCAGTTTTTTAGTTTTTCGAAGTCCACCAGATGGCGCGCGCGTTGCGAAAACCCGATACTTCTTTAGTGTATTGCGCAATCGCGCATGTCTGATGTCAATTTGACAGTCAAAATGTCATACTTACAGTTTGGGTCAGTCAAAAAGGTTAGGGTAACCCCTCCATTAGCACCTTTGGAGGTGACAGCAAATATTTCGGCAGTATAACGAAAAGAATACTTTAATAAACCATCTAAACCAACAAATTGTTGATAACTTTCCAGATTATCAACTGGGATGTTGTGAATATCTGTTAGATTATGGTCTTCAGTGTACAAGCCATTTAAGCGGATATTAAAACTTGGTAAACCATTTGGTGTGCAAGGGTAGAGCCAGGTTATATTACCATTTAAATTTACGTTGTCTTTTCCAATTGTTGTGAGGTTTTGGTAGACAACGTTTGTAACTTCACCAGAAACTTAAAGCAATAAAATGTTAAATATGTAGTTGAAGTATTATTTATGTTACCCACTTCCCTCCATTGTAGAAAATGTTATATTTACAGGTTCAGAACTATCTCCTTCCAAATTACGAGCACTTAAAAAAACCTCAATATTATAGTCAGTGTTAGCTTTCGAATATGTGTAGTTTTTATTTTTTGTGTGGGTTGTCATAAAAACAACATCTTGACTATTTGAGCACTCTTCTGGTATATAACTGGTGGGATTTGTCATATTTATTGTTATTGTGTAGGTATAATTTTCTAAATCATCTGGAGGAAGCCATTTTAATATAAAAGTAGTTGGATCTATGTTTTCTGCAGTAAGGTCAGTTGGAGGGTCTAAGGAAAAAAGTAGGTAGTATTCGTATTGTTCATATTTTTCGGGAGGACGGAAGAAAGGCAATCTATAAATCAGGCTTTACAGTGTTGCCGTTTTTTAAAATTCAATAACTATTTGTTGAAAAAATGTGTTATATATGAAAATAAAATTACTTACAAATTTGAGCTCTAAGAAGAACAAAAATGGAGGAAAATAATAGAAAATTTACCAACATAATTTAGGAAATTCATTAAGTGCAATAATGTTTTGTCAGATTGAAGCAAAACTATTGTTTTTGATAATTCAATTCTCTTATATTGTATCAAGCACCTGATAAGAGATAAACATTATCTATATATGTATATATAAAATATATCAATGAAATAAAAATAATTCTAAAAAAATCACTTTATTATTATTAAATAAAATATAAGTACATACAAAGAAAAAACATAATCACAAAAATAAAACTTAGATTAAACTAAACTGCCATGGGCATGGTAATTTTGGGGTGTGGTCTATAGTTTTCCAAAACAAAATCTTCCAACGTAAAATCTTCGATGTTGTCGATTTTCCTGTTTATATGCAACGTCGGAAACTCCCTGGGAACCCTTTGAATTTGTTCTTTGAGAGGTTCAATGTGGTTTAAGTATACATGGCTATCACCAAGAGTATGTATAAACTCCCCAGGCTAAAAATTACATGTGATGAGAAATCCGGCAACATGGAAGTAAACGTCAAATTTTGACATTTTGAGGCTACAAACGTCAAAATTTGACATTTTAGGCAAAACCAAAAATTACCAAACTTACCTTAAGATTTGTGATGTGGGCAATCATGTAAGTTAACAAAGCATAACTGGCAATATTAAATGGCACCCCCAACCCCATATCGGCAGATCTTTGATACAGCATGCAGGAAAGTTCATTATTGGCGACAAAAAACTGCACGAGGCAATGACATGGGGGTAGAGCCATTTCAGGAATATCGAGGGGGTTCCAGGCGCACATAATAATCCTTCTATCATTCGGCCGATTTTTTATGGTGTTTATAACATGAGCTAACTGATCGAGGCCTTTGTTTTTGTAGTTTTCGTGCATTCCTTTGTATTCGGCCCCGAAATGGCGCCACTGAAAGCCGTAGATGGGCCCCAAGTCCCCTTCTTCCCTGTGCGTGAGGCCTATGTTGTCCAAATACTCCCTAGTGCTGTTTGGGTCCCAAATGTGCACACCTTTAGCAGACAACTCTTGAGCGTTTGTGCAGCCTCGTATGAACCACAACAATTCCTCCACTACTCCCTTCCAAAATACCCTTTTTGTTGTCAACAGAGGGAAAACATTGTTTCTTAACGAGTACCTCATTTGAGCCCCAAAAACACTGTAAGTGCCCACACCTGTTCTATCCTCCCTTTTGATACCCTTCTCAATAATCTGTTTAATGTGGTTTATATACTGATATTCCTCATGTATTGGGTCCATAATGTACGACTTCACATCACCCTTATCTGTAACAGTGCAATTTTTTTCGTTTGTAGACTTATCCACAGTAATCTCTATGGTGAACTTCTCCATACCTTTATTAGGTGAAATACTATAAAAAAAACAGTAAGTATAATTCATTACAGATTAATATAAAATTACCTAGACATTTTTGATAACAAACTGTAAATTTACAATGCAAATAACGAAAATATAGATTCGCGGTACTTTTTCGCGCGCTTTACTAATGTCAAAACAATCCGCCATCTAGTTAATCGCCAACGAACTACGCCATTACAGTTTTCTAGTATAGTAACTTTTGACGTAATGCAGTTTTCTTTAGGGTTTTTATGTTGGCAGCTCTAATTGTTTATGTTCTTTTATTGACAAGTAACTGAATTTTGACATATAAATATAATATTAGCTGGAAAATGCTAAAAAACTGCGGAATTTACTTGAATACCTGAATGTATTTACGCAAAATGATATTGAGGATAAGGTATGTGTATCTTTGTGCGGCTATGTCAGTTTTTAACGGGAAAATTTATGTTGTGTTAACTTTTTTAGGTTTTAATATGGAATTAAAAGTTTGGGTTGAGGGTATACAGAGAATTGTATGTGGGGTGACTGAATCCACGACGTGTCAGGTAAAATTTACGCTGATTTAACGCATTCTGGAAGTTGTATTTGATTTTTTATTTTAGGATATAGTTTTTGCTTTAGCACATGCAACTGGTAAATCAGGTAGATTTACTTTGCTAGAACGGTGGAGAAATAATGAAAGGCAACTTGCCCCCAATGAAAACCCTATGAAAGTATGTACTTTAAAATATTTGCAATGTTGATGAAATCTAATATCTAATATTTTTCTGTAGATTTTGATGAAATGGGGTGAATATTCCAATGATGTTCAATTTATTCTGCAATATAATGACAAATCTGCGCAAAACCCCCCCAAAAATAAGTCAAACACAAGTACACCCACCCATTCGGTGACCCCTAATAATTTAATCGACTCCCCAGAGAAAGTGAGGGATACAACACCAAAGCCACACATATTTAGGTAACTAAAAAATATTTAAAAATAAATTTCTCTAAAAATTGAAGTTTTCAGTGCAAACAACATATTGTCCCCGGAAAACATAGGGGTAGTTAAAGGGGTGCCCCAAATAAGACCTGTACCTTTGGAGGTGCGCGATTTTCGTAACAACTCGCCCCACAGCTCCCCAAAAAAAAGCAGCTACTCGGGCTCGGACATATCGGATAACCTCAATTCGAGAGTGGCGCCCCCTTACAAGGACCCGCCGCAACCGCCCCCTTACAGGGACCCGCCGCCGCCCAAGCGAAACATTCTCCAGGAGAGCAACACGAAAAGTATCGTAAATCATGCGAGGAGTTTGTCGAAGGATGGGTTGGAGTTTCGAGGGAAATCCCAGGAGAATATTCTCTATAATGCTCAGTACAGGGAGTTGATTGCTTTGATTAACTATCAGAGGGAGAAGTTGTCCAATCAGCAGGCAGATTTGACCAAGGTAAGGAAACAATTGCTTTGCAGCTTGATAAAGTCAGTTTGGCAACATTGTCTTGGGTGGAAGTTTTGTTTTATTACAGATTTTCTATGGTTTTTTAATTGTTAGGTTAATTATTGTTTTATAAACTTATTTTACGTTTGTGTACTAAAAACAGCATATTTTAGATTCTAAAATATTAGGGATAGAACGATATCACTTTTTTTTGCCGATACGATATATCGGCCGATACCGATATTTACGTGCCGATATACCGATATATCGTATCGGCAAACATAATGCCATCTATTTATACACGACCGAAGCAAAAATCGGGGAAGTCCCGTTTTAATTCCGTTGCGAGGAAACGTTTGTGATTGGTAGTGAGTGACATTTCGGATTTCTGGGAAGCCCCTTATACAGTGTGTATTAAAAAGAATAGATACACTTAAATAAAACAAGTGCCAAACCCCGCCCACTGTGGTAGGGATTGAGAATTTATAGGTTTTATTTTTATCGAATTCGAATGCATTTCTGCAAATAAAAACTAAGTATTGTTTAAAATCCATTAAATTCCAGTTAATGGCGAAAATGTATTTCTTAAAAACTATAGGTACACATTTCCCTACGATAGCGTCGGAACTACTGAACAAACACAGTAGATCAAACTGCATGCCGCGCTGTTGCCATATGCTATTATTGTTTCCTAAAAGGGTTGTTTTTCTTATTTTTTAATATTAAAAGTAAGAAAATTTTTATTTTGTTTAATAAAGTATTTCATTTATGCACTGAAGTGTGAAAAGCGCAATTTTTTTTGCCGATACGATACTATACCGATAATCGGAAACAATTGCCGATATGCCGATATACCGATATCAATATCAGTATCGTTCTATCCCTATAAAATATGCTTTTTAATGCCAATGTCCGAAAAATGTCAAAAACACAATTTAAAATGTTAAAAACACAGATTGTTAAGTTAAATTTAAACACAAGAACGTCAAAAATACGATTAGGAATGTCAAAAACAAAATTAAAAAATAAGTTTATTGTAGTCAAAAAACACATTCATGAAGAATATTTTAGAATCTGAAGAATGACAAAAGAATGAAAGAAACATGTCTGAAGAATGTCAAAAACACAATTTAAAATGTTAAAAACACATATTGTCAAAAGTCCTAAAGTTTGAAATACTAAAAACCTATTTTAAAATGTCAAAACACTAATTTTAAGCATATTTAAACACAAGAACGTCAAAAACACAATTTAGAATGTCAAAAACAAAATTAAAAAAGTTTATTGTAGTCAAATAACACATTCAAGAAGCATATTTTAGAATCTGAAGAATGACAAAAGAATGTAAGAAACATGTCTGAAGAATGTCAGAAACACAATTTAAAATGTTAAAAACACAGATTGTCAAAAGTCCTAAAGTTTGAAATGCTAAAAACATCTTTCGAAATGTTAAAACATTAAATTTTAATCATATTTAAACACAAGAACGTCAAAAATACAATTTAGAATGTCAAAAACAAAATTAAAAAACAAGTTTATTGTAGTGAAATAATACATTCAAAAAGTGTATTTTAGAATCTGATGAATGTCAAAAGAATGTAAGAAACATGCCTGAAGAATGTCAAAAACGTAATTTAAAATGTTAAAAACACAGATTGTCAAAAGTCCTTAGGTTTTAAATGCTAAAAACATATTTTAAAATTTTAAAACACTAAATTTTAAGCATATTTAAACACAAGAACGTCAAAAACACAATTTAGAGTGTCAAAAACAAAATTAAAAAACAATTTTATTGTAGTCAAATAACACATTCAAGAAGCATATTTTAGAATCTGAAGAATGACAAAAGAATGTAAGAAACATGTCTGAAGAATGTCAAAAACATAATATAAAATGTTAAAAACACAGATTGTCAAAAGTCCTAAAGTTTGAAATGCTAAACACAAATTTTAAAGTGTTAAAACACTAAATTTTAAGCAACACAAGAACGTCAAAAACACAATTTGGAATGTCAAAAACAGAATTAAAAAATATGTTTATTATAGTCAAAAAGCATATTTTAGAATGTAAAGAATGCCAAAAGAATGTATGAAGCATGTCTAAAGAATGTCAAAAACACAGATTGTCAAAAATTCTAAAGTTTGAAATGCTAAAAACATATTATAAAATATTAAAGCACATTAAATTTTAAGCATATTAAAACACAATTTAAAATGTCAAAAACAGAATTAAAAAACAATTTTATTGTAGTCAAATAACTTATTCAAAACGCATATTTTAGAATCTAATGCCAAAAGAATGTTTGAAGAATGTCAAAACGCATTATTATTAGTATTATTATTATTGTTATTAAAATAAGCACATTTAGGTCTTATTTAGGAGCGGCAAAAACACAATAACTTTCTTGTTGCAGTTTGATGCCGAAATAGTGTTTTGGGAGGGCAAAGAGAGGGAAAAACAATTGCAGCTGGACTACATAGCCCAGGAATTCGTTTCCGTTACAAACGACTGTAAAAACGCTCAGGATCAGATTCAGGCGTTGAGCTACGTTGAAGAAGAAAACGAGATAGTAAAACAGCAAGAAAAAACGCTGAAATCCGAGATAACGCTTCTGAGATCGAAGCTGGCGAACTGCGAGACCGAACTGTTGCAGTGCAAGAACAAAATAAGGTTAGTTTTTGCTTTTTGACGTTGAATCATAACCTAATAATGTTTTGGATGTCGTTTTTAGGTTAGTTATGGACGAACTTCAGATCGAACAGAGGGCGCACTGTCGCCGCACTGAGTCCAGAAAACAGTTGGAAAGGAATTTAATGAGCGAGGTGGAGAGGCTACAGAAAGATATTGAAGTGGCTAAGCAGAGTACTGAGTTGCATCATATCACGGCCGAAACCCTAAAGAAAGAGGTATAAAAGCTACAAACGTATTTAAATTTTTAAAATTTAAACTTTCTGAAATTTTCAAAATTTAAAATTTCCGAAATTTTCAAATTTAAAATTTTTGAAAATTTTTTAAATTTACAAAATTCAACATTTTAAATTTTTCAGTCTCTTTAGAATTTCCGAAATTGTCTCTTCAAAAGTTTTTTAAAATTACATTTTCAAAATTTACAATATTGAATAGTTCTCAAATTTTCTAAATTTTACAAACCCAATTTTTTTAAATCCCCAAAATTTTTAAAATTTACAAACATTTTCAAATTTTTAAAATCTCCGAGTTTTTTAATTCGAAATCACATATTTGAAAAGTTCAAAATTTCCAAATTATTCAAATTTTGAATTTTAATATAATCTTTCAGTTTTGAAACCTTACAAATTTTGAAATTACTAAATTTCCGAAAATTTAGAATTCCCGAAATTTATAAAATTTACAAACATTTTAATATTTTCAGTCTCTTATTAATTCTAAATTTCCGAAATTCAAAAGTTTTTTAAAATAACATTTAGAAAATTTACAATTTTGAATGGTTTCCAAATTTTTAAAATTCACAAGAATTTTGAAATCTTCAAAATCTCCAGTTTTTTAAATTTAAAAAATTGTAAACATTTTGACATTTTTAATATTTCCAAACCTTTTAAAATCTCCAAAACTTTTTAGAATTTTCTATTTACAAAGTTCACAAACATTTTGAAATTTTCAGTCTCTTATATTTCGGAAATTTAAAATTTCCGAAATTGTCTTCAAAAGTTTTTTAAAATAACATTTTCAAAATTTATAGAGGTATAAAAGCTAAAAACGTACTTAAAATTTAAAATATCTGAAATTTTCCAAATTTAAAATTTCCGAAATTTTCAAACATTTTGAAATTTTCAGACTCTTAAATTTTGGAAATTTAGAATTTTCGAAATTGTCTCTTCAAAAGTTTTTTAAAATAACATTTTCAAAATTTAAAATTTTGATTGGTTTCAAAATTTTCAAAATTCACAAGAATTTTGAAATCTTAAAAAATTCAGAAACATTTTGACATTTTTAATATTTCCAAACCTTTTAAAATCTCCAAAACTTTTTAGAATTTTCTAAATTTACAAAGTTCACAAACATTTCAGTCTCTTAAATTACGGAAATTTAAAATTTTAAATTGTCAAAAGTTTTTTAAAAAATAACATTTTCAAAATTTATAGAGGTATAAAAGCTACAAACGTATTTCAAAATTTAAAATTTCTGTAATTTTCAAAATTTAAAATTTCCGAAATTGTCTCTTTAAAAGTTTTTTAAAATTACATTTTCAAAATTTACAATTTTGAATAGTTTCCAAATTTTCAAAATTCACTAGAATTTTGGAATCTTCAAAATCTCCAGTTTTTTAAATTTAAAAAATTCAGAAACATTTTGAAATTTCCAAAACTTTTTAGAATTTTCTAAATTTTCCAAATCCAATTTTTTTTAAATACCCAACATTTTGAATTTTTTAAAATCTCCGTTTTTTAATTCGAAATCACATATTTGAAAAGTTTAAAATTTGCAAATTATTCAAATTTTAAATTTTAATATAATCTTTCGGTTTTTAAAATTCTTAAGGCTTAAAATTCACAAAATTTTTAAAATTCACAAAAATTTTTAAACTTACATTTAAAAATTACAAAATTTCCGAAAATTTAAAAATTCACGAAATTTTCAAAATTTTTAAAAATCCCGAATTTTTTAAATTTACAAAATTGTGAATTATTGTGTTTTTAATTGTAAATAAAATTCAAGAACTAAATGTATATTTCTTGGTGCAGAATTAACTAATGACAACTTTACTTAATATACATTATATTTAAGTTTGGTCATTTTTAAGAATCCAACAAAAAATAATTGTTAAACAAACATAACCTTAAAATCGAACATTTTTAAAATGTCTATTTATTGTATCTATATGTATAGGTATAATTTATACAGGGTGTCACCAAATAAGTTCTCATCTTTTAAGAAAATAAGAAAGTTTTTCTCCATCATTTTTGCAAAAGTACCATTTTATTTTAATAACAACTGCCGCAAAATTTGCTTGCACAGTTTATCATTAATTACTTTGTTGATAATTGTTTTTTGTTTTGGATACTCAGCTATTTTTAGGTACTTTGAATAAAACAATACTTACTTTTTATTGTTGGGTATCTCGAGGTTTCCTTTTTTTTATTAATTTTTTATTTAGGTTGCAGCCCTGGAAACGGCGATCATCGAGAAGAAGAAGCAGGTCGAGCACCTCGTCTCGGAGATGAAGGAGGCCAACCTGGAGTCGCTGAGCATAGCGCCGCCCGAAGACATACGTCAGATAGTGGAGGGGCCGCAGAAGGCCGGCAGCACCCGAAAGATGATCGGCTCGCCTCGCCAGCTGGAAAACGCCGTGCCGACCAATAAGAACCCGCACGGCGTGTGGGTTTGAGTGCGGCCGTTGCTTGAACTGTTTGTGTTTTTTTCCCGGTGGAAGTTTGAAGGATTAAGCTCGATTCACATTGTCAGGCATACAACTGCACGGCACAGACACCTGATAATGTGAATCAAGCTTTAATAAGAATATTGTCGAATTTGAGTCTTCTAGAACGTGGTAAGTCATTTAAATTATTTGGAGGAATACATGTATGTATTCTTCGTTTGACGAGTAGAAAACGATATGGTGAGTAAATTTTTTTTAACAGTTTATAAAATTACAAAATTTTCAAAATTTAAAATTTACAAAATTCAATAAATTTTCAAAATTTAGAATTTTCTAAATTTTCTCTCCAAAAGTTTTTTAAAATTTACAACTTTGAAATTTTCAAAAAAATACAAAAATTTTAAAATTTCAGTTTAAGTTTTTAAGTTTTTTCGAATTTTCTAAATCCAATTTTTTTTTAATCTACAAAATATTATATAATATTCCAGTTTTTAAAATTTACAAAAAATTTTAAAATTCACTATTTTGAAATTTTCTAAATCCAACATTTCCATTTTTAAAATTTACAATTTTCGAAATATCTTTATTTACAAAATTTAAAATTTCCCAAATTTTCAAAATTCACAAAAATTTTGAAAATTCTGAATTTTTTTAAAATTACATTTTCAAAATTTGCAATTTTGAAATTTTTAAAATCTCCAAAAAATTATTTAAAATTTCCGAATTTTTAAAAATTTTCAAAATTCACTGGAATTTTAAAAGTTCCAAAATCTACGCAATTTTGAAAATTCCCAGTTTTTTAGAATTTCTTAAATTTTCTCTCCAAAAGTTTTTTAAAATTACATTTTTAAAATTTACAATTTTGAATAGTTCAAAATCAACAGAATTATTCAAAATTATTTAAATTTAAGTCTTAAAATTTACTAAATTTAAAAACATTTTGAAATTTTCAATATTTCCAAACATTTTAAAATCTCCAAAATTCCGAATTTTTTTAGAATTTCCTAATCGTTGTAAATTACAAATTATTTAAGATCTGCAAAATTTTAAAATTCCGTTTAAAAATTTCACTACAATTTTGAAATTTACAAAATTGTTAAAATTCACAAAAAAATTAAAACTTTCTAAATCCAAATTTTTTTAAATCCCAAAAATTTTTAAACTTGCATTTTTAAAATTTACAATTTTAAGATTACAAAATTACCGAAATTATCAAAATTTAAAATTCCCCAAATTTTAAAAATTTAAATAATAATTAATAATTAACGACTTTTATTGATCAAAAAAAAAATAACCAACTGGCCATCGACCGAAGTTCCGAAATTTTTAAAAAAATTACGCAATTTTGAAAATTTCCAGTTTTTTAGAATTTCTTAAATTTTCTCTCCAAAAGTTTTTTAAAATTTACAATTTTGAATAGTTCAAAATCTCCAGAATTATTCAAAATTTCCGAGTTTTTAAAATTTAAGTCTTAAAATTGACTAATTGAAAAACATTTTCAAATTTTCAATACCATTTCCAAACATTTTAAAATCTCCAAAATTTCCGAAATTCACAATTTTTTTTTATAATTTTCTAAATGTTCTAAATTCCAAATTTTTAAAATCTCCAAAGTTTTAAAATTCCGTTTCAAAATTTCACTAAAATTTTGAAATTTACAAAATTTTTAAAATTCACCAAAAATTTAAAAATTTCTAAATCCAAATTTTTTTAAATCCCAAACATTTTTAAATTTAAAAAAAAAATAATTTTTTTCATAAAATTTACAAGATAGTAAAAATTAATAAAAATTTTAAAATTTTACAAATTTGTAGAACTTTTTAGAAATTATATCTTTCATTTATCGTTTTTTCTACTTGGTACATAAATTATTTGACTTTTGATTACAAATAATTGAGGTTATCTATCTGCCAGTTTAACGCAAATTTTGTCTTATTTTCTGAAAATAATACAATATATGCATTTTTTGTTTATAAATTTTGATTATTAAAATACTTATGTATACATATGTATATTATGTTTAAACGAAATAAACTGATAGATAGAAAACCTCAATTATTAAATGTCAAGGTACCACATACCAGTTTTTTTTACAGTTTTTAGAGTTTTTTAGAAATATTAAACGTGTTATATGCTAAATAAAAGTTAATTATAGTTAAAGTTATGAATAATAGAAAATAATAGAAATAGAATAGAAAATTGGGGTTAAAATTTTAATTTTAAAAATTTTTATAAAATTGTTTTTAATTTATAACAATAAAATAAAAATTAAATTCTTATAATTCGAAATCTACCTATAGAAATTGATTTAAAAAATTTCTTATTAATGCGTTGACAAAATACTATATTTAATCTTGTAGACATCAAAACTGTAAAAAAATGTACTGGTTCTTCTATTTTTGGGTTATTTAAACTTCAAATTTTAGGGTTATAAGTGCTCCACATCAAAAAGTCCCACTTTGACATTTTAATGAAAAATGCAGTCAAATAATTGAGGTTATACATAACCTCAATTATTTAAGTGTATTCCTTATACAAATGTCAAAGTGAGACTTGTTGATCATCAAATTCTTTTTTATCTATGATCAAATTTGATGTGAACATAATAAAAAAAAATGTCAATATAATAATTTTGTTCTTAATTTTAAGTGTTAAGTACTTAAAATTATATATTATAGATTTATTTATTTAAAATTACAATTATTACTATAAAATTATATTTAATTTATCAGTCAATAATTAAATAAATTAAGAATTAAAAAGGAAAAAAATCTGCACTTAGTAGATATTTAGTAGTGATTTTTAAATTTATAACTTTATTTGGTGATTTGAAAATTTAGTAACAAAACCCCAAATCACCAAATTATAGTTTAAACAAGACTTTATTTATACAATGTTAGTAGTAGATAGTATATAGAAATATATGTGATACGTCTACTCATTGTTTATGCAACACCATGTATATAATTAAACGAATAATCTAGATTTATATTATATTATTATTATTATATTTTAAAGTCTGATCAAAAAGTAGTTAATAAATTTTTTTGCCATTATATAAAATTTACAAATTTATAGTAACTTTTATCTATTTATGTTATTTATTTGTTAGGGTGTGAGTGGGACAAAAATTTGTTAAACGTAAGTTTTTATTGCACCACAGTTATTTTAATAATGTCCCAGCAAGAGCTTTATCTATGTTAAACCACATCTATAATTAAACAATTAAAAATTTGAAGAATTTAATACTTAAGTTCTTGTTGGGACTGCATTTTTTTAAGTATTGCCACTGGTAAAACTTAGTTTTACCCAGTGTTATCGATTCATTTCACTGCCATAATTTATTATGTTTATTTGCATTAAAAATTAAATAGTAATACATCACTTAATAAAGATATTTTATTTAAAAAAAACCCAAGTAATTCTGGTTAAATCTACATGCGTCAAAAAGAAAATTAGATATTTCTAAACCACAGCTGATTAAAATTTTAACCAAAGTTTTGTCACTTTGTACTTATTTGTGTTGTAGTTATAAAGGAAAAAATATGGTAAATATATTTTTTTACATGCATTTGATAAGGGATAACTTGTCCCTTGTCCATAAGAAATGATTTTAATTCTTGAAAAATCCGCGAAGAAGTAAAACCAAAATGCAACAAGTAAATGCTATTTTTTTAGGACTTTATGGGTTATTTTATGTTTTTTACTACTATCGCTATGTTCTTCCTATTCGTGATGTCCATAGTAATGTTTTATTTGACTCGTAAAATTCTCAACGACATTTCCAAAATTAAAGTTAAAGTGAACGAACATTATTCCTACATTATTCCAAATTTACCATCTTTTCGATATCCTACACCACCTGAGGGATCGGAACCAAATCAATCGGAAAATGAGACAGGTAGGATATTTTTTTTATTTATTTATTATTTATTCCATTCAATTGCATAATATTGACATTATTTGATTATAATGGAAACCATTATAGGCAGGTCAAAAGATAATTTTTATTGTTTTATCTTATATTAGACTGGGCCAAAAAAATCGACTATTTTTTTTGTAAAGTATATCAAAAATATTGTTACCTATTTAATCGTTTAAATAATAACAATCATGTTGTTTTTTTATTGGAAATTGTTAATTAGTTATATAATACACATTTATAAAGAAAAAAATTAAATTATCATCCATAAAAAAATAAATCTACAGAGGAATAAATAAGAATTTCGTTTTGACTTCAACTTTAACCTTGAATAACTTTTGATTGAGTGAATTTAGCCTAAAATGTTAAGAGGCCTTTTTTGTAAAGCATTTGATTTCCCATAAGAATTTTATCGGTTTTTTATGGGTACTGATTTTTACATGAATTACAAAATTCCAAAGTTTAAAGATCAAAATGTAAAACTATACCAATTTTTAAGGCATGATTGTAAGAAAACGGTTCATCTGACGGGAAATTCCAATAAAACCTTTTTTGTAGAGCATTCAATTTTCTTCAAATTCTTAAGTCAATTTTGTTAAACTCAATGGTTCTGAGACAAAAACTTGCTGAGGAAAAAAAATTTAAAATTGCGATAATAGACCTCTTAATATTAAAATTATGGACTCAAAATTTCACAATAATTTTTTTTTGTCACCCAAAAACCATATTTTCGATATAAAATTTTTTTTTTTTTTGATTTTTTTAGCCCAGACTAATCTTATATACTGCTCTAAAACGTTAATATTATCACTCCCTAGGCCCAAGTATATTTAAAAATGAGCTTTTTGAATGATAAAAACTTTTGCTTATTGCTAGGATAATATTTTAAAAAGTTGTATTGTTTCAGTTGACCACAATAATTTAGGAAATAGACCAAAACTGATTCCTAGAATGGTGTCCTATGTATCATTCCCCTGTGATGAGGAAGTACAAACAATATTGGACAGTGGTATGTTTAAAAAAATTGTTTGTAAAATTTTGAACAAAATTAAGGTGCCATATTTTAAAAATTCTAAGAAGCTTAACTATAATAATAAATAATATGTAACACATAAGCAAAATTAAAATATTTAATAAACTATTAACATAAACTAAAACAGACTTAAATGCAGTAGCAAATAATGGTAATTTAACATAATTTGATTGGCCAAAAAAACAAGTCAATTTTAACCACTTTTTTTACTAAAGTCGTTTTTTCGCGTAAATACTATGAAATACTACGGTTAAATAAGTCATGACGTCTTCTTCTTCTTCTTCTTCAACTAGGGCGGATTTATGGCTTAACCACCGCCCTTATGGTCCTGGACATAGTCCTTATTAACCAGCTACAAGTATTTAACGTCCAATGATTCCAGAAGAACCAAAAACCATTGGACAACTGTTGTCTAACAAACACGTGGACACAAATAGGTTATGTAACCTTAAAATTTAAATTTTCATATAAATTCCTCTATTCCTTTAAAAAAGGACAAAACGAGGAATATTATCTAGGACTGGAACCCGATTTTGTCCTCCCTGAGTCAAAGTCAACTATTTTTCACACTTTTTCATGGAGCAATGCACGAGCGATGCGCTTCTCACCGAGGACAAAATCGAACTCTAAGTCATGACGTCACAGTTAATTCATATAACCATGGTTAGGTTTCAAACATTTGACATTTGTTTACTTGTTTATAACCTAATATTTTTAAAATGTGTTTTTACCTATTTATATTTAATTTCTATGCTTTTACCGGTGTAAATAAATTTCTTTACCTCTTATACCTTGTATATTCTTTTTCTATGATCCCTAGTTTTTATACCTACCTTTTCTATACCTCTTTTTTATATATAAACAGTTCTTCCCTGTTGTTTACCATAACTTAAATCCATGCAGTGTACGTTTATACGAAAATTATTATTGTGAAACTCAAAATTTAGAATGGAACCCCAAAGAAAAAGACGAAGGTTGGCGGTATATACATATGTTTTAAAACATATGGAGAAGATATGTTTAGCAAACAACATTATTCCTACATAAATATATTAAATATATATATTAAAAAGAGAAAGACTATTGACCACGTTGAATAACTAGCTCAGCGATATAGTTTTATGGTCTGGTATTTGTGACGTCATAGTTAGGATTTTTGAACGTACTCTAAACGCAAAAATGCCTTAACTATTAACCAAGGTTAAGTTTAATAACCATAGTATTTCATGGTATTTACGCGAAAAAACGACTTAAGATTGGAAAGTGTTTATTTTACTGCAAGTGTTTTTTAGGTTATGATATTAGAAGAAAGCACAAAATAAGAGAATCTAGAACCTATCTGACACCTAGGTCTACAGTTGTTATGTCGCAATTAATAAACGGGACTAATGGTAAAGTATTTTTGCCCGAAAAATAATGTACTAATGTTCAAATAATTTTTTATTTTGATTAAATTTTTTTTTTAGATAATTTTGGCAGCAATCTTATATCTGAATTAAAAAATGGTTTAAAATCTGGAAATATTTTAAATTGTAAATTGCAATCTGCACATAATGAAGAACAGGATCATTTATTGAACCAGGAAATACATGTTTAGATTTTAACATTTTCTGTAATAAAAATTTAGTTTAAATTTTATAATTTTATTTTATATGTTTTATTGGAAATATAGTACATATATAATTATAGTTTAATAATATAAATGGTTTAATAAAAATACAATTTAAATAAAGTGTTTTTTTTATTTATTAACAGTTTTATTATTTGAGCAAGTATTCATACAAGTAAGGTAGCTATACAATATATTACACAAAAACTAAATTGTTAAGCTATGAAGGAGCTTTAAAATATTAGAGAAAAAATTCACAATTATCTAAAAAAATTTCATTACCATTTTAAAGCACCACGAAAATATCTCGAAGGGTTCTGATATGACTAAATATAAATTTAACCTAATGTATGTACAAAACTAAATATACAATAATTTACAAAACAAAACAAAATACAACCAACAGTTCTCTCACTTAAAACTACAGTTTAATATCACAGGCTTGATTATCGTAACCCATAATTTGTTTTTCCGAGTTAATAACGATTTTACTATTGTTGTTGTTATTTACGATATCTTCCGCCATAATCGAACCAATTGTGGTTATTTTTGTGAGGACGTCAACTGTTTCTGGTAATTTTCTTTTGTAGAGAAATCTGGCAAGAGCGCCCAGCATCACCATCTCACCCAACATTAGGGTATTGTGAAGAACTAAAAATTATTTTAAAAAAATGTTGGGTATTTTCAATACGATCACAAAATTAAACATGTTTAATCTTGTCATATTATTTTACTTACGATTTCCATATACAGCAGGTGTAATGGGGGGTTTACAGGGGAGTAAGTCCATCCATACCAATGATCTGGCAAAAAATCCTTGAAATTTAGCGAATAACAGTACCAACTGTAATACAGCAAATTTCCCCATTATAAATTTGTCTGACAATATTGTTTTTATAATGTTCATTAACATGGACATAGCCCATATGCCTATCAGGATAGATATTGCTATTAATGGTTGGATGTATAGATAGTTTATCCTGTAGAGGCTCTAAAAATATCATAGACGTATTAAAAGAGTACCTAATAATTTGAGTAAAGTGAAACAAAAAATGATGTCGATTCGTTCGTATAATATTATAATATTAAATACACTGATTGGCCCATTACCAAAGATCTAATTCTAAAAATGTCAATATATTATACGCTAAAGAAGTATCGGGTTTTCGCAACGCGCGCGCCATCTGGTGGACTTCGAATGCATTGAGTGAATTTAAAAATTGTCAACAATACATTTAAAGCATATATTATACATCATTTTTAAATAAATAGGTAGATTTTTTTACAAAAGAGAAGAAGGCAGAAGTCTTACTCGACAAATTTTGTTCTATTGCACAGCTAAATCGCGCACGTTATTTGTGTTTTACGTTGCAAGGAAAAAAATAAAAAACTGGTTTAGAACTCGATTTCGATTGATTATTCCTTATATCATTGATTAAGAAACTTAACGCTTAAACGCTTATATAGTTACGTTAGTGTGTGTATTTTATCAATATCATGGTGAATTATTGTGTTTTTAATTGTAAATAAAATTCAAGAACTAAATCGTTGCATTTTCATGTTTTTCCAAAAGATCCAATTCGGTTAGTACATTTGTTGGTGCAGAATTAACAAATGAAAACTTTACCTAATATGATTTACATTTAAGTTTGGAAATTTTTAAGAAATTAGTAAAAAATAATTTTTGCACAAACATAACCTTAAAATCCACCATTTTTATGTTTGAGTTCCCCTAAAAAAACGCCGACAATTGCATTTTAAACAACAAAATATACCTACGAATTCATGGCAACATAATATTATATATAATACATAATAAAATGGTATTTTACCGTTGAGTGGAGACTTTCTTAATCAACCCTTTTAATAATGCTAAATGCTGTTTAATTTTAGACGACTTATTTTTTTGACGATTTTTACTGAATTGAAATGTTTACACTTTTCAGGTTAATCACTACTAAAATGTGTATTTATTGTATCTAATAGGTACAATTTATACAGGGTGTTTCATAATATATGCGCAGGACTTCAGGATTTGATAGCTCATCCAAAAAGTTAAAAAGTCGCTATTAACTTACCCTCTAAAATGCACAATTTTCGAGATACAGGGTGTTTTTTTCGAATATCTCCGGAACCGTTTATCGTACAAAAAACAGCTTTTGTAAGCATTTTCTACTCATAATAAGCTATGTTTTGTGCCCAGAAATTTTTTTTTACTCATAATTGGTGGAGATTTTGAAGGGGTAGCGGTTGTTTTTCCCCTCAACTTCTACGCCCCTGAAAAAAGTACGGTTTTGAGAGTCCCATTATACCACCAATGTTTTCTACACAAAAAAGGTACTCCTGGTCATAAGCTCTAAAGTTGACCGTTTTCGAGAAAAATCAACTTTTATGTTTAAAAACATGGTCAATTTTTTGAAAAAAAAATTTTTTTACTAATAATACAAAATTTATTTTAACGTTAGAACAAGTAACAAAACCAAACGATAATTGCAAAATTATAAAAAAAATAAAAAATTATTTTTTACACAAATGCTGAAATGTGCGAAATGCGTTACCTTTACGGTTTGGAGAATTTTGCAGACAGCTTTTGAATCATTTTTTATTTTTTTTTTTTTTAATTTTGCAATTATCGTTTGGTTTTGTTACTTGTTCTAACGTTAAAATAAATTTTGTTTAATAATTAAAAAAATTTTTTTTTCAAAAAATTGACCATCTTTTAAACATAAAAGTGGATTTTTCTCGAAAACAGTCAACTTTAGAGCTTATGACCAGGAGTACCTTTTTTGTGTAAAAAACATTAGCAGTTCGAATGGGCTTCTCAAAACCGTATTTTTTTCAGGGGCGTAGAAGTTGAGGAGAAAAACACCCGCTTTCCCTTCAAAATCTCCACCAATTATGCAGGCACAAAACTTAGCTTATTATGAGTAGAAAATGCTTACAAAAGCTGTTTTTTGTACGATAAACGGTTCCGGAGATATTCGAAAAAAACGATTTTTTTTCTAAAATTTTAACACCCTGTATCTCGAAAATTGTGCATTTTAGAGGGTAAGTTAATGGCGACTTTTTTCATCTTTTTGGATGAGCTATCACATCCTGAAGTCCTGCGCATATATTATGAAACACCCTGTATTTACAGAGACTGTATGCAATTTATTTCTTCATTCAGATTAACACTGTTTATTGGAAAACCGGTAAAAACTCAACCCAGGATTTCCTCTCGAAATACACCCAACAACACAACAAATCGAGCCACGGTTTTTTTCGATATTTTTTAACATCTCCCGGCTTAATTCTCAAAAACACTCGTTTGTAACATAAGCGTTTGACAGCTGATTATTAAAAGTTATACTTTTGTTGTTGATACTTCATTAGCCTATTATATATTAAGTATTTTTTTTACCTCTCTTTCAGCCCACATTACAATTAAGACCAAATAAACCAAGCTTTGAAAAATTGGCAGTTGTAAGACCATGAATCTTAAAATCCTTACAGATTTCCTAAAACAGTCGAAAATAAAAAATATAGTTTGGCATAGGAAAACTTTGATTATTACTTCGTTAATTTTGACATGTGCCTAGCTAAGTTATGACAGCTGTCATAAATGACATTTGCCATAACTCATTTTTGACAGATGTCAAAATTTATTGATGTCAAAAATGATAAAAATTTCATACTTGGTGACTTTATATTCGGGCAAAATCCCGCAGCATGGGAAGCAACATAGCGGTGTCACTTTCAAGCTTAGTTTTGCCGGGCTGACTTTTCTCACCACCTCGGCTTCACCGTCACAGTAGGCGAGAAAAAGGCAAAAAAGTTGGTACATGCCCGCCATGAACATTCCTTGACATATCGCCTCAGCTATTAGGTGAGAACGGGGCACTAGTATTGCGAAATATGTTGCTAGAGAGATCACCTAAAATAAGAGAGAAATTTAGGTTGTAGCTGAAATAATATGCAGGGTGTTATGTAATTATTGTAATATATTAAAAAAAGTACGACACTAATCGACTAGAAACTAAGGCTAATTTAATTATGTTATGGTTGCTAACAACCAGCGTTTCTAGATTTTGTCAAAAAAGTTGCCAGATTTTGTTTAAATTTAGCTTAATTACAAAAATGACAAAATCAACAATGCAAATTGTTAATTTGGCGTTTTTATTAATTGTTTATTATGTCATTTTTGTAATGAAGGTAAATTTAAACAAAATCTGCCAACTTTTATAACAGAATCTAGTACATTTCTTTAAATTTTAGGTTATGGGCCCAAATTGTAATTATCTTAACTAAGGGAAGTGCTTTTGGATTTATTTACACAAATTAAATGTTTAAAGTTTAACCTATGAACTTGTCCTATTTCATCTTAGTAAACAGAAAGAAAAAAACGCTAAAAAAATTAATATTGTGGTCATGGAGTTTTTAAAATAGGTACTAAATTTTCTAATCAGAAGGATAGTAGAGTTTTAAGGGCATAAACATTTTGTTTTTATTGAGTTTTTATTTATTTTTTGCAGGAAAATTTTTAGTAACAATTTTTTACAACTGGCAACGCTCAGCTACTTTGTGGGTTTTTATCTATGTAACCACAGAACACAAAAAATATAAAAAACTTGTAATACATATTTTTTCTTTATCTTTGGAAAAATATTTTTTTTAAATATTTTATTATTATTTATGTCAAAAGGTATTCAGTATTTTAATATATTACATAAAATACAAACCATCCTGTATATAACTTTTTTAATAAAAATGTAGGTCTACAATAATGTAGGTCTATTATAATTTTTAACACAGTTTTTATTTATATTATTATTACTATTATTATTAATAATTAAAAAAAATTATTTTTAAATAATGGCGACCACTTTCAATTTTTTTGAATTCTTCTTAATTATTTTAATCAGAGCAGTAAAAAGTATTGTTATCTAACATAAGATGTAATAAAATGATGACCATCAGAGTAAGAAAGTTTGGAAGGTCAATGGGACAAACTCAAAAAGCGATGTTGCGAAATTTATTACAAGAATTATAATAAATAAATATGCATTTTATGAAAAAAACTTTTTTTTAAGATTACGTGATGGCATATTGCATACAAAAATGCAACGTTGCCAAGTCGGCAATGAAAAAATGCAGTGTTGTCAAATTCACAAAAATATATATAATTTTTTTTACAACAAATTTTTGTGTGGTTCGGCAACATTGGCAGTCGGATACCTACCGGATACACACCGATAACAAATGCAGTGTGTGCTTTCACTTTTGACGAAGAATTTTTCATTACGTAAAGGAATGTGTCTGCGAACATTGCTACCACTACAATAACAGCCAAAGTCCCAGCAGTGACCAGGGTTATGCCATATTTGTTTGAGGCTGTAACGAAAAAAATACAAAAGTACATTAATGTGTCGAATTTAGTTTTTAATTGTTTTCTGCTCATGCTGCAGTTCCCAAGCCGTTTGAGATAATACCTACACTGAGAAAAAAGTTTATGGTTCCCAAATAAAAAGAATAATTAAATATCCTGACACATAAAGTTTTACTAAAGTAAATTTATCGTTATTATTTCGACTATTTAGAGGTAATAAACAATATATTCACTATTAATAAAAAGTATTAGCTACACAGTTTATTTGTCCCATTTTTTTTCAGTGTATAATAACGTTTATTAAAAAGGAACCAAGCGCCAAAAACTGTATCTGGAGTAAATAAAATTATTTGCAAAACAACTCTTTTTTTAATGCTGCCTTAATAATTAATTAATGATTTGGCAATCCTTTTGAGAAAAGTTCCAAATGATGATTATTAAAAATGAGTTATTTTACAAATAATTTAACCAAGCCCAGAAAGTTTTTGGCGCTTGGTTCCTTTTCGATAAGCGTTATCCACACATCAGTGAAAAAAACAAGTTGTAATGCTCTTCATCAAAATTGGTTTTCGCATATAATTAGAAATCTAATTTTATTTGTAAAATATACAATGTACCTATATTATTATTCATAAGATGCGGTCAAAATATTTTCGCCTTGTACTAAAAAGTTACAAAATGGTGTTAATTTATTGGTGTACTACTTTTAATTCATAAAAATAAATACAACTAATATGTTTTGGTCTAATTACACTGTAGGGAGGTGAAAATATCACAGCTTACGCTCGGACACGTAAACTTAATTTTTGGTCGTAGATCCTTCATTTTAAGGGTGAGACCTACCCTGACGACCCGCCACTGATTGTAACAAAGGACGCCCTGTATTATTATAATAATAAGAATAGTGTCTAGAAACATTTATTACACTTATGTATTCCAAAAGAAAACAATATGCAACGAAATGATCTTAGCAGATAATTGAAATTGAAATTCGTTTTTTGTTGGTTTTCTTACACTAATTTATTACTTTCTCCTAAGTAAAATTTCTCGTCTGTAACTCGCTAAATATAATATATTGATAATTTGTTTAATAGGTATACTTCGTATTTTTACCGGATATCAATTTGCGATAAAGTGCTATAAAAAAAATTGCGTTTACTTTTTATTTAGGTATGTGTTTCAATATTTACCAACTGACGTTTTTGCTTCCTGTTATGTTGGGTATTACACAAGATCTAAGAATATAAGTATAAAATAAAATACTAGATATGTAGTATTTGAAGTTTTTCGTATTTTATGGCAAATTTACATATACTGGGTGTTTCACGTTAGACAAATCTTAGGTATTATTTAACAATTATGAATTTTTTTAAAATAATTTTTAATTTAATTTTTTAAAAAGTAATTTTCTCAGTAACTGTTACATATATTCAAAATGTTGCTGGTATTCAAGGGATTTTAAAATGGGCAGGGAAAATCATCAAGAATATTTTTTTCTGTGAAATCAAAAATATTTTTTATTTTTGGTTATTTCACCGTTAGTCTAGAATGAGGTTTTTGGGAAGCCACCAGGTCTAGTAATAACATAAGTGGTTTTGCACTAATGCAAGAATTTTAAGAAATCATACATTTTGAATATTAGAGCTTCACGGAAGCTAGCTTCACGGAAGCTAGCTTCACGGAGGTTAGGATTTCGTATGTTTTTTTTAAACATCCCTTTGCATATTTGAAATAAGTTATTGTATCTTTTGACACCTTATTTTTTAAAAATACAATTGTACATAAGTACATAAAATATTTATAAAAAAAATCTAGTTACTGAGATATTAAACTTCACGGTTGATAGGTTTTTAAATAGCAAATTAACGAACTTAATCTTTTGAATTATAAAACAGCAACACTCTCATCTGCATATAAATTATAACTGACCATCAGGAATCACATGCATCTATAATGTCGTAAACAGAGGTTTTTGCTTATTTAAAGCGCCATCCGTTGCATAAAATTTAAAGCAAAAACAGATTCACGGAGGATAGAATCAATTTTTGTAACACCTACATAAATGGTTATAAAAATTATTTCTTTTAATTTTTATTAATATTTTATATTTGATTCGATTGCTTTGGATGTGTTTAATTTACTTAGTGAACTGATATTTTTAGTATGCTTTTACTACCTCAGATATTTGAAAACATATAGGTTAACCTAGAAAGAGTAACAGTCACGGAGGATAGGTTTTAGACTTTTAAAACATTGTAAAAAATAATTAATTGCGGTTAAAATTCTGGAACCTGAGCTGTAATATCTACTTAATTATGAAAGATCAAAACACAATAATAGTTTACATTGACTATAATTGCTATACAAATTTCAAATCGATATCTTTTTCCGTTCTCCATAAACTTCTATTGAATACGTTAGGTGAATCACCCTGTATATAAACTTTATTTGGGATGGTTTAAAAAATAAAAATTAAATAATTTGTAAAAAATAAAAATAATAGTTTAAAAATTCACCCTAATCTAATTAGGCAGCTAAACATGTCACGATTGTCTAGAATGCGCAAAATTACAAAACCCAAGATATGACTAAAAGTATAAGTACCTAATTCGAATTAAGTTATTGCAACAACATTAGCAAACGTTTCATGATAAAAACAGGTAAAAGTTAAGTAACGGTAGTTACATAAATACAAACTGGGTCGATTTTTAAAATCCTAACACTCAAAATACGTAAAAAAAATATTTTTTTTAAAATTACCTGATAAATACTCTGGTATTGAGGGTATCTCGTTTGTTGAGCACCTGGTATCGTTTAAAGGAAAAATTGCCATGGTTTAGTTTTAATTTTCCTAAATTACTATCACAGAAATAACACTTAACACTTTATTGTTATTAATATTATTATTAATATTATTAATTATATTAGAGAACACTTAAATGTCTTGTAGTACGCAATGCCATGCTCTTGTCTAGTTAAACGCAAATCTAGAGGTTAGATTTACATTATTGTTTATTGTTATTTTAATTGTAAATAACTTCTTAAGGTAACTGGAAGGCAATGAAAGTAAAACTGGCACTCTCGATGTTGCTATCGGCGTTCGGCTAAACATTACATCACATCAGCGCGGCATAAGAAGGGAACAGACGGTTAATAACACACTTTCCAAAGGATGGTACAACATTTATATTCCGAGTGGATTTCCTAATATACAGGAAGCAAAAAATAGCTACAATTGTACGAGATGTGTTGTTAAATTTCGCGGGTTCGGAGGGTCCGGTTGTCATAAAGATTTCTTTATTATGTTGGTATACATGCCCCCGAAGTATGATAAAAACTTTAGCTGTTTTCATTGTTTACTTTGTCTGTGGCAGCCGCTAAGGTTAGACGTGTTTTATGAACTCGGCGATTTTTCGTTCGTTAAAAGAAATGGATCAAAGAATTTTTATCCAATTTTGCTTAAAAAATGAAATAAATTCTGTGAAATGTTAACAAAGGCCTATAGTGAGTCTGCTATAAGTAAAACAAGAGTTTACAAGTGGTATAAGAGTTTCCAAGATGGCCGTGAAGACGTTGAAGATGACGAACGCCCCGAACGCACAAGCACATTAACAACCGATAAAAACATGGAAAAAGTGGAAGAAATGGTTATAAACCATCAGAGAAGTCGCTGATGATATTGGTATATCGATTGGCTCATTCCATGAAATTTTTTCAAATGTTTTGGGTATGAAACGCGTGACAGCGAAATTTGTTCTAAAATTGTTAAATTTTGAACAACATTTTTGGCCAAAAACAATACTGTAATGATGCCCCAGCCTCCATATTCGCCAGACATGACTGTCTGACTTTTTCCTATTCCCAAAAATAAAGAGATCCTTAAAGGGCCGTCGTTTTGCAAGCATAGATGACATTAAAAGCGCATCGCTGAAAGAACTAAAAGTAAAAGAACTTTTAAGAATTTTTAAGAGCCAAACTTCATTTCGATGAAGTTATGCCAAAATGGCAGAAAAAGTACATCGGACATTTTTGGAGTAAAAAAGTAACGTTTTTGGTTTTACAAATATTAAATCACACATTATTTTCAGCTAAGCAGATAAAATTTTTTTGAAATTTTAAAAAAATAAGGGGGTTTTAAAAAAACTTGCTGTTAGGTTTAACCTTTTTGTGAAAAATCTAGTAGTTAATTTTCCTGTCTTTGAAATTAGCGTCCATTTGGTTTGAAAAAGATAAGCAATAATCACGAAACTTTTTCTTCTTTCAATTTGCAAGTTACTGATCTTTAATAGTCCTGGACATTTTTAACGTCCAGTGGCTTTAACAAAATACCCATTCGCCATTGGAGTCCAATGATTGGACAACATTCACGTGTGTTCACAAAAAATTTTAATTTATTTTATATAAATTCTTTTCAAAGCGAAGATTATTATCCGCCAGGAATACTTTGTCTCTCCTGGGCCGTAGTCACCTATATTTAACTACTTTTTGACTTGCTCTTGGATTTTTTTTAAACAAGTAGTTTTTAAAATACAGAATTTATTCAAGTTAACCCTGTATATAATATTTTTATATAATATTACGAAAACAGTAACATCAAAATTTTGCAATAGATATAAGTTTTTTTTCAAAAACTATAATCCAGACAAACAACACATTCTATTGACACCGCTGAAAGATTAATATATTTTTTTCGAATACATCATCTTCGATTCTTGTTTTCAATAAACCTATTGATTCAATCAAGATTATTTATTTTAAATTGTCAACAGAGACAGTCGCAGTTTCGATTAAAAACTCAAAAGTGGTTTGTCGAATGATAAGATAAAATATAAGGTATAGCTCTTATCAATTACTCGTTGGACCAATTTTCCCAACTTTTGTAGTCCAAGAAACGCATAAGACACCACATGTCTTAGGTGCAAGAACAAGTGAAGAAAACAAAAAATAATTATGATCGTGCTATGCCAGAAATGCACTTTTGAAGAATATTGTTAAGTTTTAAGTGCCTGGACTTTTTTCGATTACTTAATGATTTAAATTGAAGGTAAGTTTCGTACATCAAGTTTTCAGTAAAGTATTTAATAATAGGATTGTTTATCTTGGAAATTCTCAAAAATTTCTAAGAAATGAACTAATTTTATACAAATAATTTCATACATCATAAAACAATCTAAATGGAGTACCTATTAATCAAGTGCTACTTATAACACGTGTACCCAATTAAATTTAGTGCAAATGGAAGAAATTTATTGAAATTGTATTTACGTTTCTTTTTTTTCCAACGATTAAAAGTTGCATTTATATTATTTATTCTATATAATTGCTCTTAACTTTGTTTTTATTTTTAATTATCTTATACTTTTGTTCAATGCCTAACATTTAGAGGTGTTTAATTTAGTTTCGTTCGATGTTTTAAACTTTTTAATTTTGTTGGGGCCTGCCTCTAAGTTTATGCTTATTTATGTTTTGCGACGTTCTTACCTAATGATTAATTTATTTGGGTGAATATATTGAGATGCCACCCAAGTGAAAATGATTATTTTTTATTTTTGGTTGTTTCACTGTTAGTCTAGAATGGTTTTTGGGAAGCCACCAGGTCTAGTAATAACATAACATAAGTGGTTCTGCAGTAATGCAAGAATTTTAAGAAATCAAACATTTTGAATAGCTTCACAGAGGTTAGGATTTCGTATGTTTTTTCAAAACATCCCTTTGTATATTTGAAATAAGTAATTGTATCTTTTGACACCCTAATATTTAAAAAAATACAATTGTACATACATAAAATATTTATAAAAAAAATCTACTTACTGAGATATTGCACTTCACGGTGGATAGGTTTTTAAATGGCAAATTAATGAACTTAAACTTTTGAATTATAAAACAGCAACACTCTCATCTGCATATAAATTCTAACTGGCCTTTAGGAATCACATGCATCTATAATGTCGTAAACAGAGGTTTTTGCTTATTTAAAATGATTAAAGCGCAATACGTTGCATAAAATTTAAAGCAAAAACAGATTCATGGAGGACAGAATCAATTTTTGTAACACTATATAAATGGTTATAAAAATTATTTCTTTTAATTTTTAATAATATTTTATATTTGATTCGATTGCTTTAATTTACTAAGTGATGTGTTTAATTTACTAAGTGAACTGATATTTTTAGTATGCTTTTACTACCTCAGATATTTGAAAACATATAGGTTAACATAGAAAGAGTATCAGTCACGGAGGATAGGATTTAGACTTTTAAAACATTGTCCACTCTTGGTTAGACTCGTTTGTTCTTTACATAAGGTAATTCGTATACAATATATTGGGCCTGGGGTTAGATCTCCAGGTATGCAGTCACTTATCACTTAATTACTTTCGTGTACGTATGGTCTTTGTTCACTTGTTGAGGGTTGCTTTTAAAAGCACAAATTAAAGTTTCTTTTAGCAACAGGTACACTGATTTTTCTTGTCCAGGTGGTAAATCTTTGCACTAATTTCGCACAGTATTTTCCTTAAACTACACTGTAACAGTGATTTTTATGTAAATATTTTTTTTTATTTTTAGGCTGAAATCATGAATTACTTCATACTTCTCGTATCAATTTACTCGGTCCACGCCGGCTGCCCTTCCGTTTGCAGGTGCACGAATCAATCTGTGATCTGCGTCCAGCAGGACATCAATGGAGTACCGAGCTTTGAGAGCTTGCAGAACAGCCCCGCCGTCGTAGATCTCTCCGGGAACCGACTCACCGAGATCGATAACGACGATTTCAGCTTCGACGCTAGCGAGTTCGTGCAGGAAGTTTACTTGAACTCCAGTGAGATCGCCGATATCGACGCGAACGCGTTTATTGAGTTGAAGAGCTTGCAGCAGCTGTATTTGCAGGACAATTTGCTGACCGGGGTGCCGGAGGACATCGTTGATGGGAACGCAAACTTGATACTTTTGAATTTGTCGAAGAATCACTTCAGAAGTATGCCGAAAATCGCTTCGAATAGCTTGGAAATCCTGGCGATGGCCGACTCTAAAATATCCGCGATTGGGAGTGATGTTCTGGATGAACTTCCAAATCTGAGGACGTTGATAATAAAGCAGAACTTCATTAAAGAGTTGTCGATAAACGTATTTCAAAATGTTAAACCAACGTTCGTTGTGAGTATAACGCAAAATCCCTGGATTTGCAATTGCAGAACGATAGATACATTTGACACTCTGATCATTAGGAAGCTTGTAGATAGGGGAGAACTGGTGTATTGTCTGAACAGTGATAACTACTTTGTGGACGTCTACGAGGATGGTATAGTGCAGCAGTATAAAGATAAATGTGCTACAAATGCTGACAGAGAGACTCTGTTCAGCGGATCGTTGGTGAAAACGGAAAAAGAAGATATCAAAGGTGATCTCAAACAAACTTCAAACCTGATTGGGGTGGAAGAAGATTTCCCCATAGTTGAAAACCTTACAAGTTATAGGGATAATTCCACTTGTATCTACTTCATAACGAATCACTACGGTTTGGAAGTGACGATCGTTTTTCTTATCACATCTTCAGTTGTCTTGTGTTCTTTTTTGCTGGGTTTTTATTTTGGAAGAAGGAATATTAATCAATACATTGTGGGGACAACGGACAGTAGCTTTAAGTTGATATTACCCTAGAGTTTTAAGGTATAATTATATTAATTATACAACTTGTAAATATAGTTTAGATTAAATCTTTATTGCTTTTATTTTTTAGATAATAATTATTTTTAGATTTAATAATTAAATAATTGAAAACATATTTATCCAACTCCATTTTCCTTTAAAACAATATATTGATTTTTAATTAAAGAAACTACTTAAAAGTAATTTTCATTATTAATTAATACAGTGCATGTATTTCTTAATTATAAAAACTTATTTAGTCACTAAAATGAAGCCCAAATCAAAAGGTAAGGTTGGCTTGAAATTTTTTTTAAATGCCTGTAAAATAACACTTTATTGACATTTCGCAGAATGTTAAAGTTTTACTTTATAGATCTTGGTGAATTTCACAAAATGTCCCCCGATGGTGATATTTAATAAAACTATTATCTTTGGTTTGACCTACACTTTTATTGTGTTTTAATCTTTCATAATTAAGTAGATATTACAGCTCAGGTTCCAGATTTTTAACCGCAATTAATTATTTTTTACAATGTTTTTAAAGTCTAAAACCTATCCTCCGTGACTGTTACTCTGTCTAGGTTAGCCCATATGTTTTCAAATATCTGAGGTACTAAAAGCATACTAAAAATATCAGTTCACGTATCAAGTAAATTAAACACATCCAAAGCAATCGAATCAAATATAAAATATTATTAAAAATTAAGAGAAATAATTTTTATAACCATTTATGTAGGTGTTACAAAAATTGATTCTATCCTCCGTGAATCTGTTTTTGCATGTGATTCCTGAAGGTCAGTTAGAATTTATATGCAGATGAGAGTGTTGCTATTTTATAATTCAAAAGTTTAAGTTCATTAATTTGCTATTTAAAAACCTATCCACCGTGAAGTGTAATATCTCAGTAAGTAGATTTTCTTTATAAATATTTTATGTACAATTGTATTTTTTAAAACTATTAAGATTTCAAATTTACAAAGGGAAAAACATACGAAATCCTAACCTCCGTGAAGCTCTAATATTCAAAATTAATTATTTCTTAAAATTCTTGCATTAGTGCAAAACCACTTATGTTATTACTAGACCTGGTGGCTTCCCAAAAACCCCATTCTAGACTAACAGTGAAACAACAAAAAAAAAAATAATAATTTTCACTTGGGGGACATCTTACTATATTCACCCATCTATAAAGCCATCCCAAGTAACATTTTTAGTTTTATTATGGTCTTCAAGAACGCTTTAAAATAAAATTTTGTTTTAAAGCGTTCTTGAAGACCATAATAAAACTTTGAAGACCATAATAAAACTAAAAATGTTACTTGGGATGGCAGTAAATAATACAGACCCCCCCAAAAGTGACACTCCTTTCAGCTTCTGATTTTCCAGGAACTCCCCTTAAACACAGAGCGAAAATAATACTGAAACGTCTAAAAGAAGAGTCTGATCTGTACTGTCAAGAAACAACATTGCATGGACTGCATTACATAACCTCAAGGAAGTCCACGAGACTTCAATCGATTATTTGGTTGGCCCTTTGCACCGTTGGTATGGCTTTTTGCGTTTACTTCATAAACGAACAGTTGATGAGATACAATAACAATAGAGTGACCACTAATGTTGGAACCACGGCCTACTCAATTTATGACGTCCCATTTCCTTCAGTTACTATATGCAATATTAACGTGGTTTATGCCAATAATACCGATAAAATTGAGAAGATAATGTAACTGTGGAAAAATTTATGTGTTTTTACTGAAAAGTCGTTATTTTTTTAGTGAGGGGCAAATACCCAAGGCTGACATTGCAGATTTTTTCTTTAACTTGTCTACTTTGGTTCTAAACGATAATCTTTACGGTAGCGTTGGTTATAAATCATACGAAAAAATCACTAATTTACTTGAAGAAGCTGGATATTCTACAGATAAAATAATGAAAATAGTATATATTTTTTTCTATTACCACACAGTAAAAAAAGCTTCACACTAGACTTCACTAGAGAACACTAGTTATAGCCAGAGTTCAATTGTTCACCTTAAATTGTGAATTTTAGTGTTGTACGAGGTGTGTTCAGAGTCCCCATTGGATATTATGCACATGTGCCAGCTCTTCTTCCAATACTCGAAACACTTCTAAAACTCGATCTTTGCAAAGATCATGAGATAGCCTTTAGTTCTTTCAGCGATGCGCTTTTAATGTCATCTATGCTTGCAAAACGACGGCCCTTTAAAGTTCTCTTTATTTTTGGGAATAGGAAAAAGTCAGACAGAGGCATGTCTGGCGAATATGGAGGCTGGGGCATCATTACAGTATTGTTTTTGGCCAATAATTTTGGTTCAAAATTTAACAATTTTGGAACAAATTTTGCTGCCACGAGTTTCATACCCAAAACATTTTAAAAAATTTCATGGGATCAGCCAATCGATATACCAACATCATCAGCGACTTCTCTGATGGTTTATAACCATTTCTTTCACTTTTTCCATGTTTTTATCGGTTGTTAATGTGCTTGTGCGTTCTGGGCGTTCGTCATCTTCAACGTCTTCACGGCCATCTTGGAAACTCTTATACCACTTGTAAACTATTGTTTTACTTATAGCAGACTCACTATAGGCCTTTGTTAACATTTCACAGAATTTATTTCATTTTTAAAGCAAAATTGAATACAAATTCTCTCTTAGATCCATTTCGTTTAACGAACGAAAATTGCCGAGCTCATAAAACACGTCTTACCTTAGCGGCTGCCACAAACAAAGTAAACAATGAAAACAGCTAAAGTTTTTATCATACTTCGGGGGCATGTATACCAACATAATAAATAAAATTTTATGACAACCGGACCCTCCGAAGCCGCGAAATTTAACAATTCCCGTTATTTTCTGAACACACCTCGTACTCTTGTAGTGTAACACATTTAACACAGTTCGTGCGACTTCATACACTATTTGATTGAAAATTACTACACTAACCGTGTTCACTTTGACACTAATTTATTTGCATTTATTTCATTTGCATTTTAGTGTAAATGCTACTTTTAAAACACTTCAGAATTGCTTTATCCGTCAGGTTTTGAGAAATGCTAATTTGAAAGTATAAAAAAGCGTTTTGTTACATCGCAAAATATTTTTCCTACAAAATTCCTCATGATTTTCAAGTTAAATTAAGATCTTTTCTTGTTCAACTAACGATTTCTCGAAGGAAAGAAAGAAGATTTTTTATCAATGGTATAACTTTTAAATGACATAACGAATATTGAAAATCTGAAGAGATGAAGCAATTCTGAGCTTGTAAATCAGCTTCAACACTTTTGGTTTAAACATTCTTTAGAGGTGTGATTTTAAGATTTGTATATTTAGTTAGCACAACCATGCGATTCTCTACTCCTCGAATGCAAATGGAATGACACCGTAAGAGACTGCAGCACAATATTTCGCACGATAAAAACCACATACGGTTTTTGTTGTTCCTTTAACTATAAAGGTGTGGCGGATGACGATCCAAGTTCGTACGTCAATTAAAGTAAACTTAATGGACAAATATTAATATTTCAATATTTGTAGTATGACTAATATCTATGTGACGGGTGTTGGGTCTACCTATGGTCTGGAGGTTACTTTGAATGTCGCTGAGGATCAGTATGTTTCAGCCTTGAAGCCTTACTATGGCATACAGGTTATTTTTTCTTAATTTTCTATGTATCACCTTGTCTAATGACTATAGTATGTTTAGGTTGCAATCCATGAAGCATATCAGTACCCTGATCTGGTAATGGCCAGCTCAACCATATTTCCAGGTTTTAAACAATCATACGGCCTCAGTCCAAAGATAGTATCAAGTAATGATGAGTTAAGAGTTATTAATTCCGAGAACAGGGGTTGTCTGTTTTATAACGAAGTAATATCAACTCAATATCTTCAAAACGTTTTTGTAACACTCAATGTTTTAGAGGGAAATGCATTGGTCAGGTCGTTATAGTTTTTCCAGCTGCATCAACGAATGTAGGCTCAGGGCTATAATGACTATTTGTGAGTGTGTTCCTTACTATTACCCTTTGGAGAATGTGACAAGATTTTGCACAATTCTCGACTCAAAATGTTTAAAATCCAGTGCGGGATATTATTCGGAGTTTGATGAACAAACACCAGAAAGAAGTAATATTTTTGAAATTTTTAATTTGTTTTTACAGTTTTTTTTGTTGTAGTGACAAAAAGTATGAGGAAATGTAAATGCCTTCCTCAATGCAACGAAATATCTTATTCGTATCATACGGAAAGTCACCCTTCTAGCGAACAAATGTAAGTAGGCATACAGAATTCCCTACACGAACTAAATAAAACAGTAACCATTCATGAGCAGAACATTAACAATTTATAATAAACTTTGACAACAGCACTCTTTATTTTTGTCACACCAATAGTTAAGCACAATGGTCATTCAGCCAGTTTACTTGAGTACAGATTTTGAAGACTAATTAACTTAAAAATTACAGCATCATTTATTTTTAATGTTTTTAGCATTGGATATGATGATAATAATACAACAAAAACCATTGTTAATGTATACTTCAATGTTGTGGGATGTATGCAATTTAGAAGAAGTGTTATGATAACTTGGGATTCTTTACTGGGTATTTTTGCTATGATTCAAGTTATTTTTTTTAATCGACATCATTTTAGCATCAATTGGAGGAATATTTGGACTCTGTATGGGAGGTTCTATAATGAGTATCATAGAACTTGTATACTTTATAATTTTTACAATTATTAAAAAACCCAGGAGAAATAGGAAGGTATCATTTAAAGATGAAGGGGTAACGATATTTGTAAACGAATTATACCCACAAAAAATGTTGAAAAAGTTTTAAAATGGTTTGTAAATTAGTAAAACACTAGAATAAAGTAGAAGTTTTACTTCAGAATGATCGATTTTTTATACAATTAGGTAATGATTAATTTTTACCCTAAATGCTGTTTGAATTTTTTATTATTTTTTGATGATATATCTTGTTCTGGATATGTGCTTCGCGAAACGTAAATTTTACTTTTAACACAGGCTGGCGTCATTGGCTTGCAAAACCATACAATGTGAGGCTCTTCTATAACAAATAATAATTATAATTTATATCATAAGGATTGTTGACTAATAATAATAAACCTTGGTTTTTTAGCTTTATTGCATATGGTTGCAGGATCGCTTTATAGTTTTGATCATGTGTTACATCACCCATATCCAACTCCTTCTCCAGAAACTCCTCCTCGTTCTCCAATTCTTGGTTAGTGATATCCTCCGATAAAGGTTCAACATTACCATGAAATCTCAGATAAAGTATTATACCAATTTGCTTCTGAATACTTTCATCTTCAGAGGTCTAAATCATATTAAATATAAGCTATATTACTCCAAATAAGAACGTCTATATTACTTTGGCAATGTATGTTAATAGTTGGTCCAATTTCTGCACCCTAGCCTCCTCATTTACCTTTTTATCCACCAAAATACTGAACAGTGTTCCATTGACGCAAGGCAAGCAACAGGCCATCTCACCCAATAGCAATTTTTTCAGGATCGCCACAACATTTTTGGCCATTTGGGCGCATCTATCCCTTCCCTCCTGTTCCAAGCAAAGATTCATCAACAGGGCCGAACAATACTCCAAGCAATATATAGAGGCATTGTCGGCCGACTCATCGAGAAAATCGATGATGAATTCCAGCATACCAAACCTTATCATCAGGTATCTCGAAGCACTTCTAAGAGATAGTTTTTGAAGAGTCGCAATAAGCATTTCTTTGCAAATGTTGGATATGTTTTGCCTTAGTAGGTTGGGGAACAAAACTACTTGTATAAAAGTATCCGTGGATGTGAGGTAATCTCGTCCAGATTTTAACGATGCTATGGTATTCACTAATCTGCACATACTTTCTTGAAGGTGCAGCACTCTGTTGGTTTTCAAAAAGAAGCCCACAAAATTTTCATCTGGTGATTTTAGTTGCAGTATATCGTTTTTGATTAGTAAATCCAGGAATAGAGTCCGTTCTTCTTTGTTATTTTCTAATATGCCCTAAAACATTGTTACAATACTATGTGCGTGTTTTTTTTGAAGGTAGTACCCATCTTAACGCCCTTAGTAGTTGCATTTGCACGTCCGTTATACTATTACCCATGTCATATTTTAATTTAGAAAAATCCAGGTTCGTGATACATTCTATCTTGGTAGGTTCTTCAATTGCAAGTTGTGCTTCTGCCTTGATATCTTTATTATCATCACACTCAATAATTTCCACATTCTTCTTCTTGATTTTGTGAGCAATCTCTTCGAGAATATTCGATATATCCAACTCTTTTTGGCTGTTCAATATGGTGTACTCGATTTTCTTCAAAGTCTTCATCACTTGCTCCAGAGCGGACTCTAAGGATTCAGTGCCGGAACATGTTTTGTTTAGAGGGTCCACACCAAAAGTAAGGCATTCTTGCTTGAAGGTTTTGGCTGTCTCTTTGAAATTTTGTGATTCCAGAAACTAAAAGAATGTGTCTATGACTGAATACATGTAGCTTGTTTGTTTACCGTTAAAATAGTCTTGTAAACTCCAAGAAGATCTTCTTTCCTACAAAACAAACCTGAAATTTGTTCATAGTTTTTTGAATATTACCTACTCACGCTACATAGTTACAAAAACAGATATCCATATTGTCCTAATAATTTTACATGTATTTTGTTAAATTAACTCTAATTTATCCCAATTGACAAGTTATAACATACGTCATATTTTGAGTTATAACCCTAAAAATGAACACAAAGGACAAGAAAAAGGTGGATGTCTCCGGCAAATGCAGGGTACACGCAAGGACAAAGTATGTGCCTTTACCACTGGCGACATGCGTGGGACACCACGTATCGGAAGATTTGCTGAAAAAATTTAACATTCAGCAAATTAAGGAGCAGCGGCTTCTGGACTTTCAAGCTGAGTACACACGACAAACTAAGGTGAAGGAGTTGAGGCACAAAATCACGGAGTTGTACCCTGAGGTGCCCAAGTTGAATAAGTCGCATAAAAAGATTAGGAAGTATGCCGAGAGGTGTCCAAGTACTCCTATGTCGAGGTTTTTGGAGGCTGATATGCGGAACATGGTCAACGCTAAAGGTTTGGAGTTTAAATACCCTGAGATTGTTAATCATATAATGACTGAGGTGAAGAGGAATTTTTTAATACTAACACACAACGCTGGTGTTAACTTGAAAGTGCAACCCGTTAAAGAGGTTGAAAGGTGTAGACCGGGACCTTTTACCTACTTGGGGAAAACAGAGCGGTACCAAATATACCTCTGGATAAGACACGAATTCAGCATGAGGTGGATGCTGCATTACCCGTTGGCGAGAAAAATATTTAAGGAGTGCGTATACTTACCAGACATTCTATTCGACTTATCTAAATTCAGAGCTGAACCACTTTCACTCAACGAGCTCGATATCCGACTCGCAACTTTTTTAAAGGACGCTCAGCTACTCTACAACAAGTTCTACACCAGAGTGGTGACACATGTAGAGCGAGACAAAATTAATCTGAACAAGGACAAAACAGAACGACTGCTCAACTGTTGCACAGGTCTTTTATCAGTGTATATAGGCAAAACATTGAGCCAAACCATTCAGCACTGTGTGGATGTTATAAGTGACCCAGATTTGGTACCTTACATGAAAATATCCATAACATTTGACAATGAAATACAGCTAGCGCCCAAAATAGACGAGGTGGTTTTAACATACTCCATTTTCATCATGAAGTTGGTAGAAAATTGTAAGAATTACGCCACTTTGGATGCCTATAAGAATACCGTTTTCGTTGCTAAAAATATTTACATAAATATCACTGATGAGTTTTTGGCTGAATCTTTGTTAAGTATACAGTCGAACTTATATGTACATTTTCAGCCTATTGTAGCTTATGTTTCTGAGTTGGATGAAGATTTTCACGAGGTAAACGTTTGGGAATAATTTCTACAATACATACATATGATTTTTAGATTTGTAAAGCCGTAACAATAGAAGAAAACACCGAAATAACCCAAGAAACCTTCTCGAAGCTATGTATTCATCTGGAAAACTTCAAACAATACACATACAAAGTAACAATGCTTTGCTCCGAGTACTACGACATTGGCCAATTGGTCCTCTTAGATTACATACAAATAATAAAAGATCAACTCAACGATTTCAGCCTCAGTATTTTCGAAAAAATGTGCGAGTTTCACATAAAAGAAAACACTGATATTATTGATGAGTACGAGAATATTAAACAGATTGCATTGAGTCATCCAAACACAACCGAAGAGTTGATGGAACAGGGCAGATTCATGGTTGAAGTTAAAGGTACTTTACATGGTATTCAGAAATATTACATAATACATATTGTGAATTTAAGGTAAGATTCTTGAAAGGCTTCGCGAGGAGACCCAGGATATGCTCTATAACCTCACCAAGCTGATTAACCTGGGTCAACTGTCCAGAGATCATTTGGAACTGAATGCTGTTACTGTAAGTACTTTATCGTACATAATATGAATGTCACCACCAAAAAACTGAAAATACTAGATAAACTGGATAAAGAAAATCGAAAAAATCCTCGACATAAACTCGATAAACTATGAGCAGCTGAAATTTGAAGCTGAAGAACGCTTAGGGAAGAATATAGCATACATACATGCTACAGTGGCTGATTTGTGTCCGAAATTGGTGATTTTAGATGAAATGGATGATGCCGCTAGAGCTAGAGAGTACTTGCAAGCTTTGTCGCCTTTTATGGCCTTATTAAGAGATTTAAAAGCCAAAATTGATTTTATAGACAAAGAAAGGCTTTGCCTGGGCTTTGCAGTCACTCCTTTTGAGGTTTTTGAGGAGTGTGTGCAGATTGTGTACCAGTTTTTTCATTTGGTTAAGGTTTGTATGAATGTTAATAGAAGCATTGCAGTATGGTACGATGGACCGTTCGAGTTTTTACTCTATGAGGACACAGAGAGACTCATGGAGGAATATAATAAAGAGTTGTTAAAAATCCAGAAATCTTACAGAATTAAACTTCGGCAAGCTCCTGGAGAAAATGATTTCTTTAGGTAGGTATATTGATAAAATCAGATTCTTTATTAGACACTATTTCTTTAAAGATTCTTTGGTGTAACCGATGACCCAGACATGTTCAGTTGGCCAGCTCCACTAAGATTAACCTATTTGGCTTTACAGTTTTTAAAGGAGTTTAGACCAGCGGCTAGTATGATGCGCATTATGTGCAACGATGCCCTGATGAACAGGCATTGGAAGGAAATGTCTCTAATAGCAGGTATATGTCCTTTTTGATATTATACAGGGTGTCCCAGAACTCGCACCTATTTTCCCTATTTTCAAAGGTTTTGACTTGACTCCAAACGCTGGAACAACCTTGAGGAAGATCACGCAAATGGGCTTGGAGGGAGATCTGGACAAGTACGATGTTATAAGCTCAGGAGCGACGAAAGAACGCGAACTATGGAGAAACTTGCAAAAGATGCAGGCGGAATGGAAAGAAATCTTTTTCAAGACAGGCAAGTTCAAGGAAACCGATATATCGATTCTCACTGCTCTGGATGATATACAAGTTGTGCTGGATGATCATATAATCAAAACTCTTACAATGAGAGGTAGTGTGTTTGTTAAGCCATATGAAGCTGAAGTAAGGCTTTTTTACGATAAGTTGCAAAGGATTAACAAGTCTTTGGATGAATGGGGGAAAGTTCAGGCGCAGTGGTTATATTTACTCCCTATTTTTTCTTCGAAAGACATTGTGGCTCAGATGCCGGAGGAGGGAAATTTGTTTAAGGAGGTTAATGACACATACAGAAGATATATTACCGTTGTTATAAAGGATCCCAGGGTGTTTGAGACAGGTACATATAACATAAACTACACTAGGTATACAAAAGCATAATGACATTTTATAGCTAGCGCGGAGGGATTGCTAGAGTCAATGGTGTATTGCAACGAGTTGCTGGAGAAAATCAATGAAGGCGTCACAAACTACCTAGAGAAAAAACGACTATTCTTCCCAAGATTCTTCTTCTTATCCAATGACGAAATGCTGGAGATTCTTTCCGAAACAAAAGATCCTCTAAGAGTGCAGCCGCATTTAAAAAAATGTTTCGAGGCCATATCCATGTTGGAGTTCGACGACGAACTCAACATACATGCTATGTTGAGTGGTGAGGGCGAGAAGGTCAACTTTAAGAATGTTGTGGCGTCCAAAGAAGCAGGTGGCAGTGTTGAGAAATGGTTGGTGCAAGTCGAAGATCAAATGGTGATTTCCGTTAGAGACCAATTGATAAGAAGCTATAAAAATTATCTGCAACTGCCTCGTACTAAATGGATGATCAAATGGCCTGGTACTACCACATTTTTCATAGCAGTATTAACGCTGACGTTCTTAATATTATTTAGGTCAAATAGTGTTGGCCGTTTCTCAAATGCATTGGACGTTGAATGTGCACAAGGCTTTAAATCAAGAAGATGGCTACAACATCGCTCAAATGTCCGAGGATCAACGAGTTTCCTTGACGGATATCGTGGATTTAATCAGAGATCCTACACTGACAAGTTTATCAAGAATAACCATTAAAGCCTTAATCGTTATAGATGTACACGCAAAAGATGTAGTATCGGAATTAAACGATAAAAATGTCAAGAGCGATTTGGAATTCAAATGGTTATCGCAGATGAGATACTACTTGGAAAATGACGAGGGTTATGTGAGAATTATTAATGCCACTGTAAGATATGCTTGCGAATATCTGGGAAACTCTGATAGGTAGGTATCAGAGAGTATCTTTAACTAAGTTACTTGTAACTTGTATCTAAAAAAAGTATCATTTAAGTAACGTAGATACTTTAAAGTAACTAAGATACTTAAAAGTATTTTAGTTACTAAAAAGTATCTTAGATACTTTCATATAGTATCTTAGATACTTTCATATAGTATCTTAGATACTTTTTAAAGTATCTTGTAACTAAAGATACTTTTAACTCAAAGTATCTAGTTACCGGAGGTAACTAAGTTATTTTGTTTAAAGTATCTTAGAAAAGTAACTAGATACTTTTCAGAAGTAACTTTTCCAGCTTTGGTAGGTATACTTTTATAAAAAAAAACCGAACATTAAACTTATCTACTAGGGTGGGTTCAAAACCATTGTCTTTAGCAATGCCTTTTAAAAAACTGAGCTCTTGTGTCTACTGTCTTGTGTGAGTCGAGTGTAGGTTTTCTGTAGATATGGAACTCCAGAGTATTGTTGGATCTAATAAGGTATCTAAAAATGGTAGGTGTAGGTTTTCAATTCAAAGGTGAATTTAATAGAGGGAATACAATTATTTAATTTGAAAACAAATTCATCTAAGCTTGGAGAATACCTCGAGCTACTAAGTTTCTTCTCAAAGCGATCAGCTAAAAAGGGGAACAAGAAGTTTCTCTAACTTTAAGTATTCAGCAACAGTCTCATTGGAAAAACTATTTTCTTTGAGTACAAACATTATTATAATAATGTTGTATTATAGGTTGGTTATCACCCCTTTGACAGATAGATGCTACAGGACTCTCATAGGCGCGTATCATTTGCATCTTAATGGGGCCCCTGAAGGGCCCGCTGGAACTGGTAAAACTGAGACCACTAAAGATTTAGCGAAAGCCCTGGCCGTTCAGTGCGTGGTATTTAATTGTTCGGACGGTCTGGATTACAAAGCGATGGGTAAATTCTTCAAAGGTCTAGCTTCGTGTGGCGCCTGGGTAACTGTAGAGATATCGCGAAATATTATCATCAACATTGCGTTTCAGGTGTGCTTTGACGAGTTCAACCGGATAGACGTGGAAGTGCTTTCCGTTGTGGCCCAGCAGATATCCTCCATAATTTTGGCGGTGCGAGCGAACGCCAAAAAGTTTATGTTCGAAGGCACGGAACTCAACTTGAACCCGGCATGCTACGTTTGCATCACCATGAATCCAGGTTACGCCGGTCGGTCTGAGCTGCCGGATAATTTGAAGGTCTTGTTCAGAACTGTGGCCATGATGGTGCCCGATTACGCTATGATTGGGGAGATCTCGTTGTATTCCTATGGCTTCGTGGATGCTAGAAATTTGTCGGTGAAGATCGTGACTACTTACAGGTACAACACATTTTTAATTGGACTATAAATAATGATTGTGATGACGTAGGTTGTGCTCGGAACAGTTGTCGTCGCAAAATCATTATGATTACGGTATGCGGGCGGTAAAGTCGGTACTTTCGGCTGCTGGTAATAATAAAAGAAAAGAGCCCGACGAGCAGGAAGATATACTTTTACTCAGAGCTATATTAGATGTGAATTTGCCGAAGTTTTTGAGCCAGGATTTACCGTTATTCGATGGAATAATATCAGATTTATTTCCAGGTTAATGGTATTGCTATATAGTGACCCGCAAAAGTATGAAACAAATTCATTGAAAAATTCGTCTTTTTAGCTTATTATTGTTTTTTGATATTCTACAAATATATGGAAAACTTTTAGTTGAGCTTTCAGTGAAGTATCTGTCTCTTAAGCGTTCTCCAAATATTTTTTCCCGGTCACTTTATAGGGTGTATCAAGTAAGATCGTAGACAGGTGTGGAAAAACGTGTCATCAAATAAAATTTGGCAGCGTATTATCCTTGATTTAAAAAGATGCAAGTGTCTCAATAAGCCGCACTAAAACTAATAATCCTAGCATTCTGATTGATCCAATCAAATTGACTTTTCTACGCTCTTCCTTGACCTAATGTATTGCCAACTAACATACTGTCTTAGGTATTGTGCTGCCAAAGGCAGATTACCATGTGATGACTGAAGTGATGACTCACAGAGCTAAAGCTAGAAACTTGGTGCCCAAAGATACCTTTCTGCTAAAAATAATCCAAACATACGAAATGATGATTGTCAGGTGGGGTTTTATGATTGTCGGGGAAACTAACGCGGGAAAATCATCGACGTTGAAAGTTTTGGCTGATACTTTGACTTACCTTAATGGAATGAAGGTCTAAACATTTATTGTCTTATGTTGGTACATGAAATGCTGTTTTGTTTAGGTTAAAGAAGAGAAAGTCACGTATCAAATCGTAAACCCGAAAGCAATAACAATGGGTCAATTGTACGGTCAGTTCGACCCGATATCCTACGAATGGTTCGACGGCGTTGTCGCTGTAATATTTCGTACGTTTTGTACCGACCCTTCCCCGGACCGGAAATGGATCATCTTCGATGGCCCGGTAGACGCAGTGTGGATAGAAAACATGAACAGCGTCTTGGACGATAACAAGAAGTTATGTCTTATGTCTGGTGAAGTAATGACTTTAACCAACTGTATGTCGCTGATTTTTGAAGTTATGGATCTTGAGCAAGCTTCCCCAGCAACAGTATAAACACCTATATTTACCAAAAACCTAACACCAAACAATATCTTTAGGTTTCCCGTTGTGGTATGATCTTCATGGAGTCCTCCACCCTCGGATGGCGCCCATTCGTGAAATCATGGCTCCCGCGATGCAACAAGGAATGGCTGACGGACAACGAGGAAATCATATCCACACTGATAGAGTGGATGACGCCGCCTTCCTTGCACTTCATCAAAAAGAATTGCTTGCAGTACTGCTACCCGGGCGAAATAAGCTTGGTTACGACGATGCTATCGTTGGTCGAGATGTACCTCGATGACGCTGTAAGCGTATGGAAGAAGGATGAGGATCAGAAAAGTTTAGCGGGGTGGATACACGCCGCGCTAATGATGGCGGGGGTTTGGGGGTTGGGTGCCATTTTGGATGAAGATTCCAGGGTTAAGTTTGATGAGTTTTTTAAAACCTTATGGAAGGGCCTCAACGAAAAGTGCCCGTACCCGGAGAATATAGAAATGCCGTTGGTTACTCCGCCAACTGAGGGTTTGTTCGTTGATAACTCGTACCTATTCAGGCTTAAAGGTTCGTGGAAGTATTACCCAGAAGTTGTGAAAAGTCAAAGAGTTGATGAGTGTAAAAATGTACTTCAAGCATTGATACCTACAGTGGATACGGCTAGGTATATGGCATTGATAGACATGCATATAAGGAATAAAAAGCAAATTTTGATTATGGGGCCTACAGGTACAGGGAAAAGCTTCTACGCACAGGATTTACTTATGAATCAGATTGATAAAGAGAAATATGAGCCGGCCTTCATCACATTCACTTGCCAAATATCGGCAAATCAATGCCAGGATTTGGTGATATCAAAGCTTAATAAAAGAAAACGTGGACATTATGGTCCCCCAAAAGGCAAAATATCTGTCCTCTTTATCGACGATGTAAATATGCCCATTAAAGAACAATACGGCGCTCAACCACCCATAGAGTTGCTCAGGCAGTACTTTGACCATAAAAATTGGTACGACCTGAAAAATACAACCGCTCTGTACATGCACGATGTGATTTTCATCGGTGCTATGGGGTTGGTAGGTGGTTCCCGACAAGACATATACCCAAGATTTTTAAGGCACTTTAATATATTCTCGATCAACGATTTTTCGGAGGTGAGCATGAAGAAAATCTACATCAACATTCTACTTTTAGGTTGGAAAAATAACGGCTTTCCCAGCGAAATTATAAGCATAATCAAGACCGTCGTTAATGCTAGTCTTGAGATTTATAACGCTGCTACGGCGAATCTAAGACCAACGCCTTCAAAGAGTCACTATGTGTTTAACTTGAGGGATTTTTCGAGACTTATCCAAGGTTGCTCGATGCTTAGAAAGGAGAATGCTGAAAATAGAACCACGTTTGCCAAGATATGGGCGCATGAAGTGTTGAGGGTTTTCTACGATAGATTAATAGAAAGCCAGGATAAAGACTGGTTGTTCAACAAGTTAAAGCAATCCGTTGGTGAGAGTTTCAGGGAGAATTTTGATTTTCTATTCGCGGATCTGCCCAGGGATGAGGACGGTACCATCTCTAGAGACTCGCTAAAGAACCTTATGTTCGGCTCGTACTTTGATCAAGATTCAGACAACGATAAGCGCTACGAAGAAGTGGAAAATGTACAACAACTCCTGGCTTTAGGAGAGCAATGCCTAGAAGAATACAACTCCACGCACAAAAACAAAATGGACATTGTATTGTTCGACTACGCTCTACAACATTTATCGAAAATATGCCGTATACTCATAATGAGCTGCGGCAGCGGATTGTTGGTAGGTATAAGCGGTTCGGGTCGGCAATCTCTAACCAGGTTGGGAAGTGAGATATTCGGGCACAAATTGTACCAACCTGAGATTACAAACAACTACGGACTCAACGAATGGCGTGACGATATCAAAAAGATCCTTAAAGAGGCGGGCGGTAGGGGAAAAGATTGTACATTTCTGATTACTGAAGGTCAGATAAAAATGGAATCTTTTCTGCAAGACGTTGACTGCCTACTGAACTCTGGCGAAGTGCCCAATATGTATCAAATCGACGAAAAACAGGAAATTCTGGACATGGTGAGGCTTGCCGCTCAGGGTGGCAACAGAAACCTGGATGTTTCAGCCTTGCAAGTGTTCTTTTTCTTCACGAAACGCTGCAGGGAACGCCTACACATAATTCTCTGCTTTAGCCCTGTAGGGTCGACGTTTAGAAACAGATTGCGACTTTACCCTTCGCTGATAAACTGTTGCACTATAGACTGGTTCGACGATTGGCCGGCCTCGGCGTTAGAAGAAGTCGCATTGGCCTGGATGACGGGAGTAAATCTTTCGGAAGAAGTTATACGCTACTCTGTGACAGCTTGCAAGTATTTCCACGTTGAGGCTCGTAAAGCTGCCAAGGAGTTTTTCAGCCAAACCAACAGAAAAATGTACATAACCTCGGCCTCGTACCTCGAGTTAATCAGGTCTTTCACGCAGTTAACAAACCGGAAGCAGAATGAGTTGATGAAGGCTAAAAATCGTTACATGGGCGGTCTGGAAAAATTATTCCACGCGGCCAAACAGATTGGAGAAATGCAAGTGTCGTTGGCTGCCCTTCAGCCTCAACTTAAAGAAATGTCCGATAAAGCAACCGTGATGCTCAAACAAATAGAAAAAGAAACGATACAGGTAGAGAAATCTTCGGCTTTAGTGAAAGAAGATGAAAAAATGGCAAATAAACAAGCTGCCATATCACAAGCATTGAAACTAGAGTGCGAGTCGGATTTGGCTGAAGCCATGCCTATTTTGAACGAAGCTTTAGCTGCTTTGGACACGTTAAAACCTTCCGATATAACCATGGTTAAAGCTATGAAAAACCCCCCAAGCGCTGTCAAGTTGGTAATGGAGGCCGTTTGTATTATAAAGAGTAAGAAGATTTTTCAAATATCCATATAAATATAAATAAAATGATTCTCTAGGTGTTAAACCTGACAGAGTTCCAGACGTAAGCACCGGTCGTATGATGAACGATTACTGGAAACCAAGTGTGCGCATTTTGGGCGACTTCAACTTTCTGGAGAGCTTGAAGAACTTCGACAAAGACAACATAAAACCTGAAGTGATGGCGAAGCTAAGAAAAGAATACATAACTCACAAAGATTTCAAGCCGCAAGTTGTGTCCAAAGCCTCGAGTGCAGCTGAGGGTCTGTGCAAGTGGATCATAGCTATGGACATGTACGACAAGGTGAATAAGGTTGTGGGGCCTAAGAAGGCGAAGCTTGCAGCTGCCGAAAAAGAGTTTGAAGAGATTATGACGCTATTGAGGGAGAAAAGAAGCCAAGTGCAGAAGTTGGAGGAAAAATTGGCCATTTTGAATACTAATTTGGCGGAAGCCATGGCTAAGCAGGAAGAGCTGCAAAGCAATGTTGATTTGTGTAACAATAAACTTATAAGGTAAGTGAGTGTAAGTTTGTGCAGTCATGGTGATACAAATTATATTTTAGGGCACAAAAGCTTATTGGAGGGCTTGGGGGAGAAAAAACTCGCTGGACAGCCGCCGCAGCTGCGTTACAAGCGCAATATGATGGTATAGCTGGCGATATTCTAATATCATGCGGTATCATAAGCTACCTCTCACCTTTTAATGCAGTATATAGACAAAGAATGGTGGCTGATTGGCACAAGTTGGTTAAAGGGCTTAACATTCCATGCGCCGAACATTTTGACATTGTCGCGACTTTGGGATCGGATGTTAAGATACAGAATTGGAACATAGATGGACTACCCAGAGATTCGTTCTCTATAGAGAACGGTATAATTATGGACAGTTCTCGGAGATGGTCGTTGTTTATCGATCCGCAAAGCCAAGCTTCCAATTGGATAAAACGAATGGAGAAGAAGAATTCATTGCAAGTTGTAAAATTCTCGCACTCGGATTATATGAAGAAAATCGAGAATTGCGTGCAATCAGGCTTCCCAGCTTTAGTCGAAAGCATCGGTGAAGAACTAGAAGCACCCCTAGACCCTCTACTATTCAAATCCACCTTCAAGCAAGCCGGTCTGGAAGTAATCGGTATAGGAGAAAACGTTATAATCTACAACAAAGACTTCAGACTCTATCTAACCTCAAAATACCGAAATCCCCACTATCTCCCCGAAGTTTTCAATAGAGTGACCATAATCAACTTTGCCTTGACACTCGAAGGTCTTCAAGATCAACTGTTGGGCATCGTGGTTGCCGTGGAGAAGCCCGATTTGCAGCAGATCAAGGAGGACTTGATTGTGCAGAAAGCTCAGAACAGAGGCGCACTTTTGGATTGCGAGGAGAGAATTTTGAAGACTTTGTCCGAGTCCCAGGGCGATATTTTGGAGGACGAGAACGCTATACAGATATTAGATGAATCAAAGGTACTAATTTTTTGTTTCTCCCATGATACACACAAACAAAAGTGGAGAAGAGCCCTTAATAAAGTTTATTTTTAGATTCTCTCAACAGAAATCAGAGAAAAGCAAGAAAAATCCCTGGAAATAGAAGCATCAATAGAAGAGTTCAGACTGAAATACCAATCCGTATCTGAACACTCTGCGATTTTGTACTACTGTATATCGGATTTGGCCAATATCGACCCAATGTACCAATACTCCCTGGAGTGGTTTATAAATCTCTACATAGGATCCATACAAAGATCTGAAAAGTCTCGTTTTATCGAAAAAAGGTGCTTAAATCTGATAACAGCCTTTACCTATGATTTGTATTCGAATATAACGAGGTCGTTGTTTGAAAAAGACAAGTTGCTGTTCTCATTTTTGTTGTGCGCTAAAATTATGATATACCAGCAAAAATTGGACGATAAGGAGTTTATGTTTTTACTTACTGGTGGCGTTTCTATACAAAACCCCCTACAAAATCCTAGTTCTTGGTTGCCGAAAGATTCGTGGGACGAATTATGCCGTGTAGACGATTTAGAAAATTTCAAAGGGTTCAGAGAATCGTTCAGCAAAAGTGTATCGTCGTGGCAAAAGATTTACGACGATTTCGATGAAAAAGGACGTTTCCCCGAACCGTGGAACACAAAGTTGCCCGGTTTTAGGAGACTCATAGTCATTAGACTTTTAAGACCTGACAAGTTAATTAGATGCATCTCGAATTTCGTCCAAGAGGAGATGGACGAGAGGTTCATCAAGCCGCCGCCATTTAATATCTCGGTCTCGTACGCCGATTCCTACAGTTTGAGTCCTTTGATTTTCATTTTGTCGCCGGGTACCGATCCGATGGCAGCTCTCATTAAATTTGCCGAAGAAAACGATTTCAGTCAGAAATTTTTCTCGATTTCGCTTGGGCAAGGGCAAGGCCCTATCGCGAAGAATCTCATAGAGCGAGGGCAAGAAGAGGGCAATTGGGTGTGCTTGCAGAACTGCCATTTGGCCACCTCGTGGATGACCACTTTGGAAAAAATATTCGAGGAGCTAGACCTATCAAACACCCAGGATGCTTTCAGGCTGTGGTTAACGAGCTACCCTTCGAACCAATTTCCCGTGACGCTTCTCCAAAAAGGGGTTAAAATGACCAATGAACCGCCCACTGGGTTGCAGAATAACTTGTTGAAATCCTACATAAACGAACCTGTAAAGAACGCGGAATTTTACAATGGATGTCCCGAACACGACGACATGTTTGCCAGGATGTTGTATGGTCTAGCGTTTTTCCATGCTGTTGTTCAAGAAAGGAGGACTTTTGGGCCTCTCGGTTGGAACATACAGTATGGTTTCAATGATTCCGACTTTGATATATCAGTCAAGCAGCTGCAAATGTTCATCAATGAAAGTGAGGATCCTTTTGAGGCGTTAACCTACTTGATAGGTATGTTGTCCAGATAAACTGTTAGATACCTTTAAGTTAACATATTTTATAGGTGAATGTAACTATGGAGGAAGGGTCACGGACGATTGGGATAGGCGTCTCATAGTGACAATTTTAGAGGACTTTATTAATCCTATAGTTGCAAAAAATCCTAAATACAAATTCAGCGATGTGGGAACTTGTTACAACCTCCCAGATGGTACAGATTACGAAGCCTTCATAAACCATATACAAACTTTACCGCAAATGCACCCGCCTGAAATTTTCGGGTTACATACAAACGCTGGCATAACCAGAGATTTGAAGGATTCGTATTTGCTGCTGGGTTCAGTGTTAAAAGCTTACGGGGAGACGGCTGGAGGGAGTGGTGGTGAAACGGATAAGTATTTAATGGGTTTAACGGAGGAATTAATAGAAAAAATACCTAATCCGTTTAATATAGAAGTGTCAAAGGCCAAATTCCCTATTGATTATTCGGAAAGTATGAATACTGTTTTGGTGCAAGAAATGGAAAGGTTTAACAGACTTTTGAAGGTTGTAAAAGCCTCGTTGCAGACTATGCAGAAGGCTATACAAGGTTTAGTAGCCATGTCGCCTGCAGTGGAAGCCTTGGGGACTTCATTGTTTCTAGCAAGGATACCTACGAGCTGGGCTTCAGTGTCATACCCAAGTCTTAAAAATCTTCCAAACTACGTCACAGATTTAATAGCGAGAGTGAAGTTTTTGCAGACATGGTTCGAAAATGGTAAACCCAATACGTATTGGGTGTCTGGGTTCTTCTTCACGCAAGCCTTTTTAACTGGCGTCAAACAAAACTACGCTAGAAAACACAAAATCCCGATTGATAAACTGACGTTCGATTTTGAGATAATGCAGACCGAGAACATATTTAATGTGCCCAAAGATGGAGCGTACATTTATGGGTTGTTCACTGATGGAGCGCGTTGGGATCGACAAAAAGGTATTTTACAGGAATTACACCCGAAGATACTGAACGATGTAATGCCGGCGATATGGATACAGCCTATAAAAGTCTTGGATTATAAGACAAGGGGGCGGTATACAAGTCCTGTGTATAAAACCTCCGAGAGAAAAGGAACTTTGTCAACGACAGGACATTCGACAAATTACGTATTGCCCATATTACTGAATACAAACGTTGATGCTTCTCATTGGATAAAGAGGAGTGTGGCATGTCTGTGTCAACTGAGTTAGCTTTAATATATTTTACATTAATAAAATAATACATGTACATTCTAAAATTTTATTTCCTTAATTAAATATAAACATCTAAATCTGGTTATATGTCCTTGGGCTTAGTGACACCTATATAACCGATAATCTCCACCGGCTTGATCCCTTTCATGTTTTCTTTGGCGGCGTTCACGTGCGTGTTGGCTTGGTGAAACAGCTTCACGCCTTCCACGGCTGCCTCTTCGGCTTTTTCCGGCGGCGCCATCTCGACGGCAGCTTCGGCTGCTTTGACGGCTCCCGCGAAAGAGATCATAGCCTCCGCCATGGCCAGCTTGTCCACTGCGGCGGCCATTTCCGAGTCCTTCTCCATGCGGAACTTCGTCTCGACTTCGATGCCGCTGGCGCCGGACTCCGCCATCCTGCTCATGTACTCGTCCGTGACCGGAAGTCCCTTCTTCGGGACCTTCATGTCTTCCGGGTTGTTTCCCGCGTCCGCGACCGACTCGTGTCGCTTCTGCAGCTCCTTCTCCACGTTCCTGTCGAACCACTCCATTATGGTCTCCTTCTGCTTCTTGTTGACTTCGGGGTCCTCATTTTCGGTGTCCATCGGTAGGTTTTTTATCAGGAATCTCGGGTCTGCGGTGTCTTCAGGCGGCGGCGGTTTCACCTCCTGCACCTTTCTTTTGCTCTGCTGGGCGTTCCTTGACTAAAAAATTTCGAGTCAAACGAGAAATTTACGGAAAACGTCAAAAAGAAATTATTATTTGGATTTGGCAGTGTCAAGTGTCATCCAAATACTATGGTTATAATACCATCTGCATTAAACTGGATATTCCTAAATCGTTCGAAGTCCAGTTTAGATTACTAGGTGCTCTGCCTGGTAAAAACGATGCATTTATTATGGAACCCTAAAAATACCACTTGCATTTAACAAACACAAACTTCAAGGCTTTTTACCTGCATATCTTGGGGGATACACGAATTGCATCCTGGTATTGTGAAAGTGGCCCCTGACATGTTAAGTCTCGAACTCCTTGTCCTGTTGGCGGAAAAATTCCCCCTCGAGCCCCTGCCTGAGGCATCCTGCCGTTTGGGCCGCTAAAAGCATGCAACATTACCGGATTATTGAAGGTTTGTTTCAGTTTACTTACGGTAGAACATCTGGGATTGTTTGGGTTGTTGCTCATGTTGGTTGTGTATCCGAGTTTGTCATGTACGTTGCGACTTCGTATTCAATGCAATCTCCCACGGGAATTTGTGGCGTCGCGTTTGTCAAAAGAAGTTTGGGTTATTTTGACGCACGCCAATTCATTTTGACACTTCATTATCGATATGTCAATATGCCCGAAAAAATTGAACAATGGAAATAAATTGGATTTAGTTTTTACTGTTACGTGTGGTGGCGCTTTAAACAATGTGTTTTTAGTATCACCCAATGTTTAATACTGCCCAAAGATAATATCTATCACAATCCACACAACAAGGTCTGTTCTATCTCATGCTAAAAATACTAAAAATCACTGCAACACTGCACAGAGTTTTTATTGTTTACAATTCTTGTGCTTTGGGTTTGTGCTGTTTAATAATTGTTTTAAACGTTGTGTTTCTTACAGAGGCACTTGTAAGCCTCAAATAAGGCCTTTAAGTGCTAAGGACAACCATTTTACTCCTCTTTTATAATAAATATACCTTATTCTATCAGGGCTGTCAAATGACAATTTGAAGGTTAATTTGTGGGTTATAATTTAACCTTAACCCTTTCAATACGACTTTTCGGAAATTAATTTAAAACTTTTTTATTAGTGTTAAAACTATATTTAGGTTAAAAATAGTTAATTGACTGAATAACAGATTTTTAACTTTGGTGGTATTTGAAAAAAAGGCCTGGGACAGATTTATCCCTGCAGTAATATGCCCTGGGATATATTTATCCCCACACTAAAGAAATTCTACTATTTTTGAAAATGTTTATTATCAAAAAACACTGATGGGATAAAACTATCCCCTGTCATATTACTGCAGGGATATTTTTGTCCCAACGTATATTTTGAGGAATGAGTTGTGACGTACAATGCACATAAAGTATCACAAAAATTCAAGCAAAATTTACACAAAAACTGCACAAAATAGGTTATGTGACTGGTCTTTTTCAATTTAGAGCGTGCAATGGCCGAAAAACAGCTGGTTATTGTTCACATGACGTTAAATAAATTAAGTTTTTATTACTGATATCCCAAGTCAAGACATAGAAATACTAAATTGTCCCGACCCTGTTTTATTTAAACGCACTTAATTAAGTAGAGACATTTTTTAATTTTCTTTGGGACGTATATATCCCCGCAGTATTGAAAGGGTTAAAATTGACATTTGACAGTTTTATGACAGCACTGATAAAATAAAGTTTATTTTTTACAATAGAGGAGTAAAATGGTTGTTCTTAGCACTTTAAGGCCTCTTTTAAGGCTTACTATGAGAAACACAACGTTTAAAACGATTATTAATCTGTATAAACAGGGCACAAACCCAAAGCACAAAAATTGTAAACAACAAAAATTTCCGCCTTTAAACTGTGCAGTGTTGCAGTGATTTTTTGTATTTTTAGTACGAGATAGAACAGACCTTGTTGTGTGGATTGAGGTTTACTCCTTGATTTAGCCAGTTATATTGGTGTAATTACAAACATATTTGTTTGTTCTTTGTATCTTAACAAACAAGATTGAAAATAATTAACTTATTTTGGTATATTCACAAATACATTAGATATATTTTTTATTTGTTTAAAATTTGACCTCTAACTTTTTTCTATCAACTAAAATTATTTTTGACGTGTTGTTTTCACTTTTGTTTTGTTATTTATTTTGCAATGTACACAATATGTTGTACTAATTTCAGACCCCATAAAATTTATTGTCTGCATAAAAATAGCTATTTTATTTATGGGTTTTAATTGTTATAAATTATATTAACAACTATTAAATATTAATATGAAATCTGAATTCCGACACTATTTTATCGGGATCGCACTGTGCAAAAAATTTTTGAAATTAAGGACCTATTATAAAATTTATCAAAAAAATATTAAAAAGTTTAATAGAATTATGAGAGATTTTCAATTTTTTTTACAATATTTTTTGTTGTTGTTCATTGTCTGTATGTTGAGATGTCCTCCAAATGAAAATGATTATTTTTTATTTTTGGTTGTTTCACTATTAGTCTAAAATGGGGTTTTTGGGAAGCCACCAGGTCTAGTATTAACATAACAAGTGGTTCTGCACTAATGCAACAATTTTAAGAAATCATACATTTTGAATATTGGAGCTTCACGGAAGATAGCTTCACGGAGGTTATGATTTCGAATGTTTTTTTAAAAACATCTGTTTGTATATTTGAAATAAGTTATTGTATCTTTTGACACCTTAATATTTTTTAAAAATACAATTGTACATACATAAATATTTATAAAAAAATCTACTTACTGAGATATTACTCTTCACGGTGGATAGGTTTTTAAATAGCAAATTAACGAACTTAAACTTTTGAATTATAAAACAGCAACACTCTCATCTGCATATAAATTCTAACTGACCTTCAGGAATCTATAATTTCGTAAACAGAGGTATTATTTAAAATGATTAAAACGCCATCCGTTTCATAAAATTTAAAGCAAAAACAGATTCACGGAGGATAGAATCAATTTTTGTAACACCTACATAAATGGTTATACAAATTATTTCTCTTAATTTTTAATATTTTATATTTGATTCGATTGCTTTGGATGTGTTTAATTTACTTAGTGAACTGATATATTTAGTATGCTTTTACTACCTCAGATATTTGAAAACATATGGGTTAACCCAGAAAGAGCAACCTTCACGTAGGATAGGTTTTAGACTTTTAAAACATTGTAAAAAATAATTAATTGCGGTTAAAAATCTGGAAGCTGAGCTGTAATATCTACTTAATTATGAAAGATCAAAACACAATAAAAGTGTAGGTCAAACTCATTTAGTTTTCCATCTAAAACCAGAACTTCGCCCACTGTGCGCATATTATTGAATTGATAGTGCACTTGATAACTCAATTTACCTTCGGTATTTAACCGAAGAATCGACATGGGGAAAAGGCAAATATTGACTTGGTCCGCTAACCGATGTGAAAAAAGTTTCAGTGTCTTCTTCAACAAGCGCAAGTCTCCACCACTGCTACGCGATTATTGAAACAAATCGTTCGGGGTCAAAGTTGCCACGATTAACGACATAAACAACGTTCAATTTATCAGTGTGCCTTTGCCAGAGCTCTAATTTAAATGAGTCTATAGTTAAGAACGTTTGAGAAATGTTGCGATCGACAGGTGCCAGTGTTTTGAGGAAAAAAACCAGGGGTGTTTTGGGAAACAGTTTGAGAAATTACAGTAGTGACAAGAATCTGCCCAAACAAGCTGATGTAGTTATTATAGGTAAATTCACAATTATTTGTAAAAATGTTACTATGAATTCCTAAAATTATTTAATTTTTTTTTTTAAATTAAAATTGGAAATTTCTGTATTTAATATTATAGACCATACAACAATATATAATTTTTTTGTATTTTTTAAATACCGTTAAATTTAAATTCATATTACTGCGCCTGTATAAACCCAAATGATAAACATTCATATTTGTTTATCTTGAATTAATTTTGTGAAGTCCAAAGTCCAAAATTGCAAAAGACATATGATGTTCACTTATGTACACTAAGGTACACTGAATGAATTAATTCGCAATTTCTAGACTGATCAACAACATTTTTAATCAGATAAATTTTTTCTATTATACATTTAAAACAATGTCCAAAAAATGCATTTTTATTGTCAAAATTAAGTATTACTTAAAGTAAGTAAAAAGGTCCAATATTTTATATATAATGATTGCTAAAATAATACCTTTGTTGACCAGTGTAGATAATTTTTTGCCAATTAAAATATTCAAATGCAAATACTCTCTCAAATCGAGCGATAACTGTTGTTTAATAATTTATATAAACAATAATTATTACATAAATTGTTTACAAAAAAATATTTGTTAATAGGTTTGCTGATAAGTAGAAATTATAAAAATAGCGATAAAAACTAAAAACCTGCAAAAACCGCACATCCTGTATAAATAATAATTTTGCTTTTAATTAACTACTTTGACACAAAACAGAAAACTAAAATAAAGAATAATTAAAGAAAAAATTGTCAAGTTTATTTTTTATAGTTTATATTTAAAGACCCTAGAAACTAAGTGGTTAAGTACATTTTGTTTAGTTTTGAGATAATCATGTTTAAAGTAAAAAAACACACTCAAAATTGTTTGTTGTTTTATGACTTTGTTTTTCAAGATGTCTAAGCTTAGAATTCAGTTATATCCCTTGTAAAATCTTTTTCTGTACATAACTACATTTTTTTTAATGACACTTGTATCCCTTGGCTTTTAGGGTCCTCATTTAAGATTTAATGTTTTAAAATAATCACTTGAAGTTTTGTTTTGTTGCATTAATTTTAAATCACTTTAACCACGTTAATGTTATGTATAACAATTGACAAAGTTTTTCATAAACCAAGTCATTAATATTTGTTGTACAGTAAATGTAAACTTAAACTTCATTTTGTGGTGAAATCTTTGAGGACAAATCGAACATAACGAAAGAAAAGAATAATACAGGAAACAATTGAAAGAAAAAATCGTTTACGTATTCATTACCAATAAGATAGCCGGTTTTATTAAAGCAACGTCCTCACAGTTAAGGTCATCTCAAGCATGTAGTGTTAAAATTACTTTGATTTGTTTTAAATATTAAAATTACAATAAAATTTAAAGGGGTGCTTATAAATTAACTTTACATACTAATAATAAGATTCTTATTAATTTTTTAGTGAGAATATACGAGCCCAGAATCATATCATTTGGCCCAGACAATATTTTATTTTTTACTTTAGGGTAAACCACATAGTTATTGGGCACTTAAGGAATATTATTTATTTAAAATTTATATATGCCGTTGTTATAAAAAAAAGTATATTAATTGGACATTTTATATAGTAATTGGACACATGGACCATAGTTATTGGACATACAATATTTATACAAACATAACAACTTTACATTAAATAACATAAATTGTTAAATATTTTTAAAGATAAATTGCTGTTTTAGGTAATTTTTTTATTTCGTCTTTTGTAAATATCATATAATTCATATATTTCTTTCTCGGATTCCTCATCCCTTTTCTGGATTCTGAAGGTAACTACTAATTCCTTAGTCTGACTCCTGAAATAGTTTGTTGCAAATATCATTATGGTATCATATGGTATCATTGTGGTATCTTTAGTTTGTGAAGCATTTATAATGTTTAGGCCGGAACAGGATGATTTATATATATCTAATATTTTTTCGAGTGGTATGTTAAAAGTATTTTCCGAATTTATTAATTTTGTTGCCATTAGTTTTTTATGTTCTCTATCATGCACTGTATTTAAATCACTGTTATTCTGCAAGATGTCCTGTGACGAAGAAATCACTATATTACTTACTCTCTAAAAATGAATTAGTCAAAAATGTCATAGCGAAAAAGCAGCCACTAATAATTCTCGGCAACAGCAATTTGTATCCAGGACATTTAGCAGTCAATTCGTATGAAATATTATACGCTGAATCCGAAAATGTCGCCAAAAGTTGAAATATAATCAATTTTGCATCAAATATGGAATTGACTATATCTCAAAAACTGCTTAACTTTTATGGTTTTAGGCGGTCTTTTCGGATTCAGGGGACAACTTTACATAAGAATTGGCTGGTAAATGTCCGGTATATAAATAGAGTATGATATTGGACGTATGTCCAATAATAGAAATTTACATTTTTTACCAACCAGTACATGGACACTGGCCATTTTACTGTTTGTTTTCAGAATTAAAATTAAAACGCATTAAAGTGACAATGTTTAAACCATGAGGAACACATTTATACCACACACTGATCTGTACACTTTTTAGGAATATTTTTTATTGTAATTTAAACACAGCCCTGCTCTTAACAAAAAAAAACAAAAATCTTACCACCAAAGTAACGTGCGAATTTTTTTGTCCTATATTGGACCCAAAATAAAGTGTTCTATATTATTAACTTTTTATAGAACTCTTGTTTTTACAATATTAATGTTAATTGTCCAATAACTATAAAGTGTCCGATATCTGTCTACTTTACCCTATATTAAAATAGTAAAATAAGTTTTAAGCAAAAAATCACATTTTTAATCTCATCATTTTTAGGGGGCGGAGTGATAGGATGCAGTACCTTGTACCATTTATCCAAGAGAGGCGTAAACGCCGTTCTACTGGAAAAAAATAAATTGACCAGTGGTACCACATGGCATACGGGCGCCTTGGTATGGTCTCTAAGACCCAACGATACAGACATTCAAATTTTACAGTCTACAAGAACCCTACTGAAAAATTTAGAAAAAGAGACAGGAGTTGACCCTGGTTGGTACCAAAATGGCGGAATATACATTGCTAGAACAGACGTAAGCACAGAAAATAGCATTTCAAAAAATTAGTTATGTTATTTTTTACTTTTAGCAAAGGCTTGAAGAGTATAAAAGACTCCACACCCTGGGTCACTTCTTTAACATCGAAAGTAGAATTATTTCACCCGCTGAGGCCCAAAAATTAGCCCCCATTTTGAACCCCAAGGCTTTCGTTGGAGCCCTGTACACCCCTACAGATGGATTTACAGACCCTACGATGTACTGCTCCGCTTTGGCCAAAGGGGCTAAGAACAACAAAGCAACGGTACGAAATGCGTTGCTAATTCATTCAAAAACATATTTATTAGTGAAAAACAATTTTAGATCATCGAGGAATGCCCAGTAACCAACATCCTCGTTGAAAATTCCCCGGACAGTAAAAAAATCACAGGTGTGGAAACAGCAATGGGCACCATCAAGACCAACGTCGTGGTGAATGCTGCTGGAGTTTGGAGTAGACAAATTGGGGACATGTGTGGTGTCCACCTACCCCTAACTCCAATGAAGCATGCCTATATCCTCACCAATTCGATTGCAGAAGCTAAAGGAAGCCCATGCATAAGAGACCACGACGGTTCAATTTATATTAGACCTCAGGGAGATTCCATCATGTTGGGTGGTTACGAAACTAACCCAGAAATTATTAAAGATGTAAGTAATACCATGTATTGTCTATTTTTAACTAAAACAATATTTGTTAGGTGCCAACAGACTTCCAGTTCAGTTTGTTTGAGCTTGACAGGAGCATCTTCGATTCTCATTGGAAAAACGCTGTTGAGTTGTGCCCATCTTTCGAAACAGCTGGTATAAAATCCGATGTATGTGGACCCGAATCTTTCACCCCAGACCACAAACCCTTGATGGGTGAAGACCCAAAATGCTTTGGTATGTAACATCAAAAGAACAAGCTACAGAAAGTAATACAATTTTTCCTAGGTTTATACCACAACTGTGGCTTCAACTCATTGGGAATGATGTTCAGTGGCGGCGCGGGCGAGCAAATGGCGGAATGGATTGTGAAGGGTAGACCGAATCTACCAATGCACCAATACGACATCCGTAGATTCACTCCGGTGCAACGGGAAGACAGGGCTTGGGTCATTGAAACCAGCCACGAATCATACGCCAAGACTTACAGTATTGTTTACCCCAACGATCAACCTTTGGCCGGCAGAAATCACAGAATCGATGCCTTCCACGAGGTAAGAGTTATGTTTGCGATTTTTGCAGTTGGTATAGGTTACTTGTAGGTTTTGGTAGCCGCTGGCGCTGTAATGGAACAGGCGGCTGGCTGGGAAAGACCAGGATACTTCGTGAAAGATCGCACTGTGCCTATAAGAGGTTATGATTGGTATGGAAACTACGATCACATCGATAATAAGGATAAAAGATACGAAAGAGAGCTGGAAGGCGATCTGACTTTTGACTTCTCCAAGCATCACGATCTAGTATGTATACAGAACAACCCAACACCATATAAAACTGTTACATTAATATTTTTATAGATTAAAGAGGAATGTTTGGCAGCAAGAAACAATGTAGCCCTATTTGATTTGTCTTGTTATACCAAGATGTACCTCACTGGTAGAGACGCTGAAGAGGCTGCAGACTGGCTGTTCACCAATGAATTGGACACAGAACCCGGTAAAGTGGTGTATACGTGCTCTCTTAACTCCAAGGGAGGGGTGGAAGCTGACGTAACGGTCACTCCCTTGCAGGAAGGTGGAGGAACCCTGGTTGGACCCGTATTAAAGGTATGGTTAGCATTCTTTTCAATTGTTACGTAACGAAATGTTTTCACTACAGGGTAAAGGTTATTACATAGTCGCTGGTAGTGCATCTGGTTTCCACACGATATCTCACTTTAGAAAGGAGATTGCCAAAAAGAATCTTAAGGCTGTTATCTCGGAAATTACAGAGAGATTGGGAATATTATCTGTACAAGGGCCTAAAAGGTACGTCATCTAATAAAACTGTATACTTCTAACATTAATTTTGTAGTGGTGAGCTTCTTCAGTCCATCACAGAGTTCCCAATCACAGATGAAAAAATTCCTTATGGTACATCAGTTATCATTGACATAGCTGGCCATAAATGCAGAGCGATGAGGGTCTCCTACATTGGAGAGTTAGGTTATGAAATTCACATACCGCTCGCATCTTGTGTAGCTGTGTATAACAAAATAATGGACGCTGGTCGCGGTTTCGATATGAAACATGCCGGTTTTAGAGCGTTAGAATCTTTGAGTACGGAAAAAGGTTATCACTTGCTTTTCCACGATCTGAAAATGAACGACAACCCCATGGAAGCGAATCTTATTCACGTTTGTAGAAAGGAGGGTTCATACCTTGGCAAACAACACGTGGAAAAAATGAAGCAAGAAGGTGTTAAGAAACGTAGAAGTTTCTTCACCTTGGACGCCAATGTGCCTTTGTATGGTATCGAAACCATCTGGAGGGATGATGAAATTGTAGGTTATATACGTAGGGCCGAGTATGGGTTCAGTTTGGATTGCAGTATAGGAATTGGGTATGTTTATTTATTATTTTAAGGCCACTTTTTTAACCATGAATGTTATATTTACAGATATGTGGAACATCCTAAAAACCAAGTTCTAACCAAAGAATTCCTACGCAGTGGTAAATACTCCATCGAGGTTAGAAACAAAAAATACCCCGCCACTTTCCACATGAAGAGCCCATTCGACCCTAAGAATTTAAGGGTAAAGGGTAAATACGAGAACGCTTTTGAGGAACAACAACATTTTGAAGACTGATTACAACAATTACATTTGTAAATATTAATTTAATTTTTTTGTTTTACGTTTTTTATACTTAATTTTGTATAGTTATGTTGTGTGTAGATTTAAAATACATTTTTACCAAACACGTTTACGTTTCTATCAAATAAAACAGCCTGTATAGTCCTTTCAATTAACACTACTTTTTGCTATAGTTTTTGCACACCCAATATTCACATGCTCTTCAAAAGTGTGTCTGTGTGTTTGTCCTGATAAAAGTGCTTGTGATTTTAACAATGGAAACCTCTTCAATTTTATCACTGAAGGTTCTACATTCCTACATTGCATCTTCAACAAACTTATTTGCGTTGTTTTAGAAACCAGAACCGAATTTAAACGTGTCGGACGTCTTATGCGAGTTAGTTTGTCCTGTATGCCTCAACTACCTCTACCCGCCTATAAAGCAATGTGCAACAGGTCACACGTATTGCGAAGATTGCTTCCAAAAACTCACAAGGTGTCCGGAATGCAGGGCACCCAAAACTGAAGCTAGAAGTTTCGTTTTGGAGAGGTTGTACAATAAGCTTACATTCCCCTGTAAGTTTTACGATGAGGGGTGTCAAGTCTTGGCTAAAGGTAAGTGAGTTTTGTTTAAACATAAACAAGGCTATGTTCTTGTAAAGGTTTTTGATGTATGAGGTTGAAGAAAGTCTAAACCACAAAAGTAGTTTTTTTTAATATTTGTGGTTAGGTAATCAATCAAAGTTTTTGATTCAAAAACCTTCGGAATGGTTCAAGAATAAGAAGTGGGATGAAACCTAATATATCCTATATCCAAAACCATATATATAACCAAAATAGACATACATACAATATTTTTCAGGTGTTAACATAAAATACCACGAAGATGGCTGTGAATACTCCATGAAACGATGCCCCCTAAGATTCAACAACAACTGCAAGTGGCAAGGAAAGAAGCTAGAGCTGGATTTGCACTGCAAGAAAGACCACAGCACCAACATATACTTCGAATCTTCGCAAACGTTTAAATGCAAAGACTTCTGCTCGAACGTGCACAGGAAATACTACATTTTATTCTCGGTTTTTGAGGAAATGTTCCGTTGCTCGATGGACATAAACGAGGAGAAAGGTTTGGTGCGTTTTGGTGTGTATTTGATGAGCAAGATTAGATCGCTGGGAAAGTTCGTGTATCAATTGACAATCAAAAAAGGGGATACTGAGTTGGAGGCCATGTCAGTTAAAGCACCCTGTATACATTTGACGGATGATGCACACAGATTCGAAAAAGATAAATATTTGATTTTTAAGTACAATATGTTGAAAGAGTTTTGCGGGGAAGCGGGAGATTTGTATTATAGTGTGAAAATTATTCCCACAGCTCCTTAATATATCATTATAATGGATGACGTTATACTTATGTATAGATTTTAGATATTTTGTAAACTAGATGTTAGTTTTGTGTCGTGTTTTAATACTGTAAAGAAACTACAGTTTCTTATTTTAATTTTGAATATAATGAGCATTTTTACCAATTACATTAAAATCAAATGACCTGATTCGTTATGTACAGTTAGAGTATTAACATTTAATGATTTATACCTTATTTGTTTGGTATTTTTTAATACATGTCTATTTAGTAAATTAAGGCAAATAAAAACGTTATATTTGTACTTAATTAAATTAAATTAAACATATTAAAAATAATTGAGTATTACCAACAACGTTGTTTGTATTTTGAATAATAAATATTTGTAATAACGTCTTTTTAAAATGGACTATAAAAATATAAAACTAGACCAAGGTAAGTAAAATTGCAAATAGTTTTAAAATAATAATAAAACAACACCTTAATGTAAAGCTTGACGTAATTTTTTTTAGATCACGAAATGCATATTTTACTACTATTTTCCATAAAACTTATGGGCAGCAAACTAGTAAAATTTCTGACTAGTTTTTGCATGTACGGTCATTTAATACTAATAATAAACACATTTGTTTTTCTATTGGACAAATTCTCATTGAATTACTTTATACAATTTGCTGCGACTAATTTTGGATTTCTATATGTAAGTCAGTGCCGTACGCAGGATTTTCTCATGGATTATACGTGGCCTACGCTTCATATACCACTTAAAAATAATTCTATAGAATATATATTCTATGTATACTAGGGTGTTTCAAAAAAATTAAAAATTATTTTTTTTCCAGTGGTGTCGAAAAATTAATAGTACATTAAAAACAAAAATGTTGGCGCCTATTTAAGCCCTTAATATTAATATTAAGGTTTGCCTCAATTCATTTTTTGTTTTTCCATTTCAATAACACGGGAATTTTTATTTTTTTAATTTTGAATTCTTATAACTTTGGAATGGTTTGTTTTCTCAACACCCAAGCGAGAGGAGTTATAGACAAATTCACGCTCTACAAAAAACATCTGAAGGTCAAAGTTCTTCAGATCAACCGTTTCAAAGATATCAGCGATCAAAAATAACACTAATAAAAAATTTCAAATAAAATACAAAAAAATATCATATGCCATATTTATATTATTTTTTATGTAAAATCACTTTAATTCTGTTAACCTGAGACTGTAAACTTTTTTTTATTTATATATATATATATATACATATTTGAAACACCCTGTATATACATTATGTATATGTATATAAATAAAAAAAGTTTACAGTCTCAGGTTAACAGAATTAAAGTGATTCTACATAAAAAATAATATAAATATGGCATATGATACTATTTTTGTATTTTATTTGAAAATATTTGAAATTTTTTATTAATGTTATTTTTGATCGCTGATATCTTTGAAACGGTTGATCTGAAGAACTTTGACCTTCAGGTGTTTTTTGTAGAGCGTGAAATTGTCTATAAATCCTCTGGCTTGGGTGTTGCGAAAACAAACCATTCCAAAGTTATAAGAATTCAAAATTAAAAAAATAAAAATTCCCGTGATATTGAAATGGAAAAACAACAAATAAATTGAGGCAAACCTTAATATTAATATTAACGCCCTATACCAAAAATAAAGATTATACTATTAATATTTTTTAGTGCATTGTTTGCCAGGGAATAACAATAATCTGCTATGACGACTTCAAAGAACTTGTCGAAAGAGTGAATAAAATGACAAGAAGTTTGGATAATTTGGAGAGAATTACTAAAAATAAAGTCAAACTTGCAAGAAAAATTACCAGCTGTTTATCCATATTTTCTTTAACTCTAAGTTTGGTTACCGCTTTCTTTTTTACTCCTTTAGGGGGTGGAAATAGAGAAATTTATTTCCCCATATGGTTTATGGAGAACTACCTCCCAAAAGGACCAATGGCAGATACGATGGGTTTTCTTTATTACAGTAGTTTTATTATATTTTTCATGACGATTGTATGCGAGTTGTTTCCATTAATTTTCATTATGCTGCAGTGTATTTTTCAAACTTTTCTTTTGAACCAATTATTATTCAATATTTCCAATGATTTTGATATTAGCGACTTGAATCTATACAATAACGAAGATTATCAGAATGTAATACGGAAAAGGCTTATTTTCTGTATTACATTTCACCAACAAATCATAGAGTACTATATACATCAAAGAAATATATATTTATATACATAATATTACATTTTTAGTATAATAAGAAGACTTCAGGATATAATTTTTTACCCATTAATAATTTCATTCATTTTTGCCACTTTATCTGGAGCAAGCCTATTATTCGAGTTTTACTTACAATTTGACGAAGGCAAGATTGTAAGATTTATTTGTTTGATTACTTTAGCATTTATTTCAATGGTTCAATGTTCAGTTGTTGGGCAAAATCTTAAGGATGTTGTAAGCTATATATGGGTGAATCTCACGAAATGTCCCCCGATGGTGTTACCCAGTGATATTTAATAAAACTCAATGAGTTTGACCTACCTACACTTTTATTGTGTTTTGATCTTTCATAATTAAGTGGATATTACAGCTCATGTTCCAGATTTTTAACCGGAATTAATTATTTTTTACAATGTTTTAAAAGTCTAAAACCTATCCTCTGTGACTCTTTCTAGGTTAACCTGTATGTTTTCTGAGGTGAGAAAAATATCAGTTCACTAAATAAATTAAACACATTAAAAATTAAAAGAAATAATTTTTATAACCATTTATGTAGGTGTTACAAAAATTGATTCTATCCTCCGTGAATCTGTTTTTGCTTTAAATTTTATGCAACGGATGGCACTTTAATCATTTTAAATAAGCAAAAACCTCTGTTTACGACATTATAGATGCATGTGATTCCTGAAGGTCAGTTAGAATTTATATGCAGATGAGAGTGTTGCTGTTTTATAATTTAAAAGTTTAAGTTTTCATTAATTTGCTATTTAAAAACCTATCCACCGTGAAGTTTAATATCTCAGTAGGTAGATTTTTTTATAAATATTGTATGTACCTATGTACAATTGTATTTTAAAAAATACAATAACTTATTTCAAATGTACAAAGGGATGTTTTAAAAAAAACATACGAAATCCTAACCTCCGTGAAGCTATAATATTCAAAAAGTATAATTTCTTAAAATTCTTGCATAAGTGCAGAACCACTTATGTTATGTTATTACTAGACCTGGTGGCTTCCCAAAAACCCCATTCTAGACTAAAAGTGAAACAACCAAAAATAAAAAATAATCATTTTCACTTGGGGGACATCTCGATATATTCACCCAGATACGATTAAGTTATAAATTCATTTTTAAAAAGGTTTTATTTATAAATACCTTTCTCAAAATGAACTTCCTCTTTAATTAATTAATTATATCTACAATAATTATTACAGACTGAGGAAATTTTTTTATCAGCCCTGAACTGTCCTTGGTATCTTTGGAATAATAGCAATAAAAAAATATATGGCATATTTTTGATGAATAGCATTAAAGGGCATTTTTTATCTATGTCGGAAGTTATATCTTTGAATTATAGCTTCATGACAAAAGTATGAAATTTTAAAATACACAAAATGTTTTTTTATTAATTTTTATGTTTAAGATTGGATCCAACTTATATTCAATAACGGCAATATTGGAAAACTTCTCAAAAAGGGACAAATAAAACGAATATTTTCTTAAAAAAAAAACAGTTTGTATTATTAAACGTCAGCACATTGTTCTGTTAAGCTTACCTGCACCAAAACATTTCAAAGGATTATAAAATATTAAGGTATATTGAAAAGAAATTTTATTTACCTCCATAGTACGTATGATTTACTTACATGAAACTCTTTGGTATATTCAAAACAAATGTTATGTACCTCCATAGTAGTATATATGATTTACTTACAGTTAAAATATCTATTCAATCAATAGTGTTCATTGAGGAAGTAACAAAGCAAAATAACCAAAGATGTTCTGCAAGTCTAAAAGATTTAATTACTCGAGTTCTTCAGATGGCTCACCGTCACCTGCAGATTACAATTTATCGTTTTCGAAAAGAAGAGAAGGTTATACACTTTATAAATCGCCTAGATTTCCTTCAAACTACTACGAACCAATGGACAAACCATTCTGCTCAAAGTACCATGGGTTGAACAGAAAGTCGATGGGTAACAACAGCACCGGAACCTACTGGAGATCATCTTCGATCATCTCGAAGAATCATGGCTTGAAAAGAAAGTCAGTGGATTACAACAGCACCGGATCCTACTCGCGATCATCTTCATCCAGCTCTAGCTTTGTTGAGAACGTGCAGAATAACTCTGCTATATACGAAGACGTTTTCCCCATAAATGACGAGTACATCTACGATGATTACGAGAGTTTCACCACCCTGGAGGAGCAAGAACACCTCATCAAGTTGGAGGAGTACGAGAAGGAGGAATTGAAGAAGGTTTTGGAGAAACGCAGGAGCAAAGAACACGATGCATCGGAGAAGAAAGACTCGCCCAAACCTTCTCCCAAGGTTTACAAAAAATCGGACGCTGTGAGAAATGCTATAGCCACCTTGAGACACCACAACAAGCTGAACTCCAGGGAACATTTGAATGTAGCCGAGAAGAAGATGCACATGCTTGTCACGGAGTTCTTCGATTTGGTGGAAGAAGAGAACTTCAAGGCTCTTAATAGGCATTCGGTGGATAATCTAGTGGGCCAGCTGGAGAACATTTTGCTGACTTCTGATGAGGAGTTAAACGAAAACCGCCATTGCGAGCAGTTGATAGGGACTGTTGGTGATATTATTTTAAGGGAGGGTAGATACAAAAGGGTTTAATATTGTGTTTAGATATTAGATGTCTTTGTATAGTGGTTTTATTTAGTTTTTAAGAGTGTCTCTGAGACGTTAAAAATAGAATATAATTCTATATGTATAGTATTGTGTACTGAGTATATTAATAAATATATAATTAAAAAAATTTGTTATATTAATCAACATTTTAATGTTTTCTGTCCTGAACTGTCCTTGGTATCTTTGGAATAATAGCAATAAAAAAATATATGGCATATTTTTGATGAATAGCATTAAAGGACATTTTTTATCTATGTCGGATGTTATATCTTTGAATTATAGCTTCATGACAAAAGTATGAAATTTTAAAATACACAAAATGTTTTTTTATTAATTTTTATGTTTAAGATTGGATCCAACTTATATTCAATAACCGCAATATTGGAAAACTTCTCCAAAAGGCACAAATAAAACGAATATTTTCTTAAAAAAATATTTTT